GCTACTTCCTGGAGTACCCAAAGCTCTAGGTTGATGATATAATGTATGGTAAAGCTCTAGGTTGATGATATAATGTATGTCTTATTTTATGTTAATTAGGATTGCTTATTTTTATATATTTCAATTATAATTTTAATTTTATAGCATGCATTGCAATACACACTACTCACTGTAAAACATCCCTTGTGACACATTACTGCCTGTTGTTATGGTTACCTAGTGACACAATGATATGTGTTCCAAAAGGCAAGTCTATACCTTTATTCATATAGTTCATTTACAAGGTAAGTATTCTGTTTTATACTAATAAAAAAAAACCTTTTTATTAAGCTAGATCTGCCACTTTTTTTCCATTCTGTATAAAGAATTAATTTAACACTCTTATTTATAAATTTGAAGTTACCTGCATTTAATCTGTATGTTGCTAATATATCTACGTAATTCCTCCATTACTCCTCTTGTGACAGCAGAACCAATATGTACTGCTGCCTGGATACATAATTATTTCTATCCCGCACTATTAACTCTCTTGTATGTGTATGTGTACCAGCCTTTCTGTGTTAGCCTATGTATTTGTGTATCATTCTGTGTGTGTTTGCCGGTGTCTGTCAACCTGTTAGTTTACATAGCAATCCATGTGTTTGTCAGCCTGTTATTCTGTGTACTCATGTGTGTCAGTATGTGTGTTTTTTAAACTACCTGTCTGTGTAGTTGTGTTTGTTTGTCTGTCAATCTGGTTTTATTCACTAAACACGAAATTGAAGTGAGTGGGAAGCCGAATGGCAAAATCTAGGCCAAGACGTGACTATAGTGACTACATCTATTGTATGTGTACTCTGCTTGCAGGTTTAAGTATATCACAAGATGGAACCACAAAAATGTCTTATTGAAATATGTTTCAATATTTCATCTAATATCCATAGGTTACAATAAACAAAGATATAGTGTTACAATGTTAGCTGCTCACAGTCTAATTTTGGTGTCTTAAACAAACAGTGAACTGCCAAAGGTCATAAGGAAGGTAAAACCAGGATGATCACCTAGAGACAGACAATTCACAAGCAGGGTTGAAGAATCACTAGGGAGCCAGGGACGCTCAGACCACCCAATATCTATGAGCACAGTTCTGCGTGAATTCTTATCAAACTCACCCTTACAAGGGGAAATAAGTTCAAGATGTAGGTCTGAAAGCATTAGAGCAGGGCTCACACCCTCCTTACCCTCACCTCCCGTCCACCCCATCCTCAAACATGTTTACAAGTGCTCTGTAATTTTAAGTCTATGAAATCATTCGCCTGGTTTGAAAGGGGAAAGTGTTTGCAGCCAAGAACAACTTGGTGTGAAAAAGAGTTGCCAGGATAAGGAGAAGCAAAAGGATTTAGAAAAAGAAGTAAAGAGAAGAGCACAGGCGATGTTTGATATATAAACCGTAATAATCAACTCTTATTTTTGTGGCCTGGTGACGTATGGCTTTGGGGAAGAAAGTAATTTCTTTATTAAAGGAATCACAGAAAACAATCTAGAATTCTGAAAGGAAGCTGAAGGATTGCGGCTATTACTAGAATTGGTGGAAGGAAGAAATGAAGCCATTTCAAAGATATGTGATTGGAATTTTATTCCATTATGTACAGCCATTGTTCATTTGGTATATGTTTAATTTAAAACACAGTAATATATTTAGTGTTAAGAATGACCCTCTAGTATAATCAAAGTGACCTTTTGGACTTGAAGAACATATATAGTGAGATAACAAGAAAAGATGCCAGACTTGGCCAAATTCAGAACTTAGGCCACCTAAACTTTAGTACTAGTTACAGCCAAGTCTTCTGCCGAGACTAGGTTTCCTTACACATGTAGACGTAAAGCATTGTAGATACTATAAAAATCGAGTCCTATTTTACTTCTCTTTTCATTAACCTTTCTCCTAATTATTTTAGCCATGATCAACCTCAACACATAACATGAGATAGACAGATAGATAGATAGATAGATAGATAGATAAATAGATAGATAGATACATAAATAGATAGACAGATAGATAGATAGATAGATAGATAGATACATAGATAGATGCTATATAGATATATAGATGATAGATATTTGGATAGATAGATAGATAGATAGATACATAAATAGATAGATAGATAGATAGATAGATACATAGATAGATGCTATATAGATATATAGATGATAGATATTTAGATAGATAGATAGATAGATAGATAGATAAGGCTCATGAAAATGCCCATTTCACACCCGAATAATTAATATGGCATGATTCCTCTTATTAAAAAAATAAACATTTTCCAAGTTATTACATATTCTCTAGTTCAGACTAAAATATTGTACAGGTACAAAAAGTAAAAGACAATGAGAATGGAACACTGACTGCATGAGAATATAAAAAAGGGTAGTAGGTGTGCAAAATGAATTAATCTTTAATAAATGAGATCTAAAATGAGAAGAAAAAAATAAACAATAAAAATAATATTGGAAAATAAAACTATAAGAAGGTGAAAGGTAATCAGAGGAAGAGCTTGGGGTAAGAAAAGAAGTTAGAATAATCATATATAAAATATATAATAAGGAAATGAGAGTTGGAAAGTCATAGCTGGTCTTCCTGGGCTTCACCCAAGATGCCTTCAAAGTTGGAGTCTTCACATGTTGATTACCCCAAGGAAATAAGGAAATACGACATAGAATACTGCTCTTTTATTTGCACAGAATATTTTTATTTTCTCTGAAGCTTAAATTGAGGTTTATCTTGTATTATTTTTTTTCTCTGAAGCACTAATACTATCTGCAACACCTTCTTATGCCCAAATTGAGACTAATTGCATAATTATAGGCTAAAAACAAAGTGTTTTGAGCTGCCTCTATTTTGGTTATAAACATTATTATAGTCTGATCTTCCTATAATTTTTTTTTATATTCTTACTATGCCATATATCTTTGTAATATTTCATGACTTTAGTGTTGTCTATTATTTTATTGTAATTTGGAATGGCTTCAAAATAAAGATTATAAAAAAAAAAAAAAAAACAATGATCATTTAATAAACTATTATAAACTAAAATCCAGGTACGCAAAGCAACTGTTGGATTTCATAGAATCCTGTTGTCCAGTTTCAATGCCCATGTGTTCCAACCTATGCATTTTGTCAAACTCAATTTCCCCTAAGGCTCAGTTTGTGAGGTAAAACATTAGCTGTCACAACAGGACCCAATATTTCTAGGTAGAGAAGATGGGCATATAGAATGAACAAGAAAGACAGAGTAATGTGAGGAAAGCACAATTTGCATAAAGTTTCCTCTTTGTGTAACAGGTTTTGACAGAAAATTCAAACAATTTGGCTATCTTGCCTACTCATTCTTCTACTTACCTGATAAAGACTCCTTCAGAGCTATACCGTTGTTTTATCCTATCCAATAGGATCTGCCTTTGGACCTCGTACCAGTGCCCAGTCCAGTCCTATCTCTTGTCCCAGTTTTCTACCTATGGCTAAACTTTAAACATTGCGTGATCTCTGTTGTCTAAAGTTCAGAATAACCCTAGGCTTACTTCAGCTGAAAGTTCATTCCATAAATCCACAGCTCAGTAAGGCACTTCCTCACATTGTGAGAAAGTCCTAGAATAGGGGCAGGCAACCCTTGGCACTCCAGATGTTGTGCAGTACATCTCCCATAATACTCTTGCAGACATAATGCTGGCAAAGCATCATGGAAGGTGTAGTGCAAAACGTTTGGAGTTCCAAAGGTTGCCTATCCCTGTCTAGATGTTAAACAATGTGTTGCTAAAACTGGAATATGCAAAGCAAACCCAAGTGAGATTTCACCTTTTGTATCCAGGTAGAAGTTATGAGACAATCCACACATTACCTTCAGCAGAGAATCTCTCTGCACGCCCACAAATCACTCTTTTGTGCCCAGGACCAGATTTGTATTTAACTTGTCTATAGGCAAGGAATCTCAGGTCCGTCGCAACCCAAAAATAAAAATAATAATAATCCTGTTATCTGATATGGAGGATGCACTTAGCAAAATGGAAAATGTTCATTGAATTATAGTCAATGCAGGCTCATTTAGTAGGCAAATGTGTTTACCACTCTGAAATCTCTTTTTGTATGATTGCTATATTTCAATTGTAATGTATGTACGTGCTTTTTGTTAGTTGTCTATTGTATGCCCATTATCTTATTACCTCATTATTTAAATGAGATTAATCACATGATTTGAAATGTTAGTAATCCCGTTTGTTTGTAAGCCTCAGAAAGGTCCATAGTGTTCCAAAATGTCGTCTTTTTGTTGTGGTAAATACAATCTTTTTGATTTTTCTCACAATTGCAATGGCAATGTAATGCAACATCATGAAGGCACTTGTCACTTGGCTCAATAAGCGCAAATAGCTGAAGGCACTCATGCCTCTTGCCTGAGGTGTCTTGGTTCTACAACTCCCTTCCCATCTGGAACCACAACTATACCTAGTCAAATACAGGTTATTTATTTGTAAATTTTGCCAAAACATGTGTAGGCCAATCTACCACAAGGCCCCAAGAGTCATTCAGAGATACACGTAAAACAATGAGGTTGGTAGGAATGTTACATATATTTTCTTGTTGGCAGACAGAACGCAGTAGTGTACTTAACAAGTATTTACCTAACAGGCAAAAGTATGCAGACCTTTGTCATTCGACTCTTACCTGGGAACAAATCAAGTTAATATTCAAAAACCAGTGCTGCTTTATAAAAAAATTATGACTGAGTCTCACTTCATATAATCTAAACACACTGTTATAACCCAGAACTCTGCTGCAGAGTTAATGATTTGTATACTGCTATCTACCTGAACTTCTTATCTTCTCTCCTGTCATTTTACAACCTGAGTCCTCTTATCGTCCTGGCAAGAAGCATGTGATACAAGGCAACCAATAGAGGCCCTCAACCCTCTTATTACATCCCATCTCCAAATGGGACGGATGGTTTACAACAGGTCAGTAATTCCCAGAAGGGTACAGAGTCCAGACTGTGAAATACCTGTTACTTTCAATACTGCAGCAAGGGTTTTTTTTTTGTTTTTTTTTAAGAAAAGGTGTATGGTAACTTTCTCTGCAGCATCTCACAGTCCATCTTGTCCCAAGGCCATCACAGTTTACAAGTCTCACATTGCCGCAATCGATGCAATTTACAAGGACGTTAACATAATATATTATCCGGAGTTGATCATGGCAGCAAGACATGAGAGTGTCATTATACAGGATACCATGAAACACGGATGTAATTCGCAGGGTGAGTTCGTCTTCAGGAATTTATTGGGTACGAGCTGTGTGTTTTTAACCCCTTCAAAAATTTCACGACTGCCACAAAAACAAGGTTCTGAAGGGGTTAAGAAAAATCTCTCGTGTTTGTTAAAACTGAGAAATTATTTACACCTCACATGTTTTGCATTCTTTTTTTTTTTTTATTGCAACCTAATTCTCACATATTGTTTAGAAGCAAATGTTTGAGTGACATTTTGAGAAAATGTTTGAGAAACATTTTGGATTTTTTTTTTTAAATGTTAGATAAAAAAAGTAGAATTCTCTTTATTTTGTGTACATAGCTTAAATTGCTAGAAATTAAATGAAAAAAGAGCAGAATCTTTATGGTGTTATTTGTATGCCAAGCATCTTTACCTTGCCCAGAGATAACACTTACGGTACTATGGGAATGTTATCTAGCAGGGTGATTTGGGTCAAGTTATGCATAGACACAGTAGAACTTGTTAGTTATATGACACAATAAGTGGAGAAAGTAAGAGGATCAGTTCTATGTGTTGTAGAAAAGGTTGGCATGTGATGTGATTATTTGTAGAAGTAGGTGGAGTTTTACAGAACAGGAACAGATGTATAGAACTGTAATAAGGAGCAACAGGAAGATCTGAACAATCAGTTACAGTGCATCAACAATTTAATAAATTCGGATGGTTCATATTGAAATTGTGGTGTTGGATATGTGCATGAATATGAGGAGGAGGACATTATGATTATAATGCTATAAGACAGACAGAGACAGACAGACAGACCGACAGACAGACAGACAGACAGAGATAGATAGATAGATAGATAGATAGATAGTTTTTCTATTCTTTCAATTAATGAGGATTACTTATTTAAACTGACATTCTTTCAGTCCTGAGAATGACTGCATTGTATCAGAGAAAGCAGAGGATTGATTTGCAGCGATGCTAAACACTTTTTAGGTCACAGTGGTTATTGTTTGCAGATAACCCAAACGTTTTCAAATAACACAAAGAAGAATTGAACCATAAAACACCTTTATATCTGGACAAAGAGGCATAAAATGTTATATTGCAATTTTCCCACTTCCAAGGTGAGCACATAAGAGATGGGACGAGGCAATGGCAACAGGAGTGCAGAGCTGGGAAATGTTAAATGCCGGAGTCTGGACTGTGTCACCCTGGGTCACTTTAGCTGTTTCCACTCATTTTTGCTATGTTAATTAGGTAATGACTCCAGACCTCATCTTATGCCGTGCTGAAATGTCATCCAAGTGTGAATTTAAAAGCAAGGTCACACCCCTGAAATTGCTACCAACATATGTTTAAGATGATTGTGCTTTAAACAGCATATTCCCCAGAAGGGACAATATTCCTGTTAACCCCTCCTAAATGAATTTTCATGTTATACTCTTCCTAGAGTGAGTGTCTGTCAATCTCACTTGGGCCTCCTATGATGCAGACCCCCTGCTTGACAAGAGAACATCTGGAAGTGTGTAGATGGACAAGGGAGAGATAAGGCCACTCACCTACACCTCTCAATATTATCAGCTTCTTTGGGGTTCTTTAAATCGTTTGTAGAGCTCACAAACCAGATACTTACAGAGTATGTTATAGATACATAGTAAAAAAAAAAATGTAAACATAGATATATTCAAATATATAAGGACACATCAGTTTTGACCTAACTCATATGAATTGACCAGATGCTGATCAGATGTTTGCTTTTACAGTAAAAAGTGTTTTATATTTTAAAAGCCTATTGAGACATCAGTTATATTCATAAATATCTACATTTAAGCAATCAGACTTGATGTTTAGCTAGTGGTGGCGTATATTCGGCTCTCCAACTGTTCTGGGCTGCTGTTTCCATTATGCTCAGCAAGCCATCTGGGTGATTGTTTTTTCATAGGAAGTTCCGATCGTTAGCCGTCATGCCATGTTTGTTCCAGTGGAAGATATTTCAGAAATGTAAATATTGTGTAAAATATTTATGATCAATTTTGTGAATATAAGGATGCAAACAAATTTAAAGAGAAGGGACAAGGTAAAGGAATTTCCAGTACTTTATTCTGCTGATAGGCATATGTTTGTGGCCGTGATCTGTGCATATCCTTGGCCCGAGATCAATTTACCAATTCTGTGTTTTCATAGATTAATTTTAAGCAGTGATGGCAGACACATTGGCAACATTATCTCTTAGATGACCCAAGCCAAGTACCACTATTTCAAATGAAAGATCCTACCATTATGTGTGTCTGTTCTGTGTATTCTGATGGGTGTATGTATCAGTATTGTTCAGCATGTGCACATAATAAATGATTAAAGATGAACCATGATTATTTAGAATACACCAACATATTTTGCAATGGACATGTCACAGATTTTCAGCTGGTTTTGCTAAGATTAAAATGTACTTCATTCTAATATAAAAAGTATATAAATTACTTTTTGGTTTTATTGTTTTTGTTCTTATAGTTATGATAGTAAAATTATGGTAAAAGAAAAGTGTTTCTACATGAATATATAAAATATATAAATATGAAATGTAATGAAAAAAAAGGGTGCTACACTTACAAAACAAAAATCAGACTATGCTAACTAACTGCAACAATGAACTAGGAATAAAATAAAACAAAAATAAATGCTGTACTTCTAATAATAAACACCAAACTGGTGATTAGTGAAGAAACATGATAATAAAAAATATACAAACTTAAATTTCAAAAATATGTGGATAAATAGCTTATAAACAAATATAAATAGAAAACCGTCATAGGACAGTGTTATATACAATGTGTATCTATGTAAGGACAACGGCTCATTCACACAATGTAGAGTTATCCTAGCTCTATAATCCCCATCTTGGGATGTAAGTTAAAAGCTCTTGATATGTCTTCAACTCAGTATATTTACATATGTATAGACAGAAGGAAAATACATATCACAGTATACCAGAATAATATAAGTATAGGTATATATAATCTACTTACATTTACTAGAGCATAGACTTACTCTAAGTGTATGAACGTAGGTGGAACCCACCAGTGGACAACCAGGAAACAGAATACCAGGTATCCAAGAAGTAGGAGCACATATTTATTAAAAACAAGTAAAAACAATTCTAAAAACTGAAAATCTAAAAACAGAAAGCAGATCGCTAAGAACACTTAATGTGTTTCACCTACAGCTTCTCTGCTGCAAATTGTCTTATATATAGGAAAATAAATGTAATTGATTCCTGGTGTTTTCACACGTTCCTCGTGTGTGTGGCGTCTTGATTGCCAAGACATGTAGGTAATTGTTAATGTGTCTGAGTCAGTGTAGTATGTACATGAACATGACAAGACATGTAGTTCATTGTGTATATGTGTCAGTGCTGTATATGTATGAACATGTGTAATATGTCCCTTCGTTAGTGCATTTAGTTTATTCCGTTTATGACCTTTGGAAATATAAAATCCGCCCTTCTCAGGACCCTCTCTAAGACTAAAATGACATCATAACATAATGGCTTTTCCAGTTGCAACTGTAAGGAAAAGGAGTATTCTAGTTACTATGGTCATTGCTCGGGGACTCTTTATTAAAGTTAGATGAGATACATGATATTCAATTTCTGTGTTGGATTTATTTTTTCATGAAGGTGCTAGTGATTTTCAAAGGCCCACAAGCTGATGCAGATCACAAACAAATTATTTGAGTAACTAGCTTGGTGTAGATTCTATTTGGGATTTTAAGGGACACGTAACAAACATTGTGTGTGAGACCAACAAAAAAAAAGAAGCATACAAACATTGCAGGGAAACACACTTTGTGTTCCGCTAAACAAACTTTCCTATTGTATTCCACCTAGGGCTATTGGCACATAAAATGCAGATTATACCAATGTACAGTGAAGAAGCTGCAAATAAGGCAAAAAACATGTCAGTACATGCTGATCTCCTTTGCAGAGTAACGTCAGGATGCACTCATCTAGTGGAATTACTTCCATGGTTATTTTCTCTCATTAAATGATTAATATAAGACCCATACACCCTACAGTGCACTGTAGTCATTATGGTGCCAGGAGTCCCTTGGCAATGTGCCCCATAAAAGTCCCAATGTCAGCGGGACAGTCCAGATTTTTTCTGTTCCATCTTCCTGAATTTGTTCCCCATTTGACACACTAGAACTACACTCAGGTAGTTCTAATACAGTGTTCATTGCATGTCCTGCCATCGGTGGGCTGGCCTGATTGATTGGCAGCCATTCTGGCATGCATACATGCCAGGCTGACCTGCCAGTTATCCAGAAAGTCCTGCCACCTTCCTGCAGCCATTGATGAAATCACATCACTGGTACACACTTTGCCCCCACCCAAATGGCATCTTGCCTCTTGGGACACCAATGTTGGGGGTATGCCTGTTTAGAGTCAAACTGTTTTTGAATCATCTGGCCCTTAACTGGTTCTTCTGATGCCGCGTGGTCTGGACTTTCTTTACAAATATCTCTAAAGTGGAAATTCCCTTTCTGGTTTACGACTATTAGTTCTGTATAATTTTGGATGGAACTCATTGTCTTATCTGACAATCTCAGCCAATTAATTCTATCCAACGATAGACGTAATTGATATCACTAATGCAGAAGGCGAATATAATGTTATTAACATTATATTTCTTAGATACTCGTTGGAGTAATGTTACCTTTCAAATACTATTTGTTATCTAAATTTATTACTAGTAAGTACCCCTTGGTTACTTCAGAGGTACATATACTGCAAATTAAGAAACTGTGATCTAGATAATACTAGGATTAGAACTTTTTAATCCCTGTTAACAACCTGCACACGTGCAGCTCTGGATGTGGCCAAAGGCCAATGCAGGGGTGAGACACTCTCTCCACTAAACTGCAAGGGTATATGAGAGTATCTGTGAGAGTGTTTCTTAGTAATGGTTTATAAAAGTGTCTGAGCATGTCCAATAGAATGTCTAAGAGAATAAATAAGAGTGTCTATCTTTATGTGTGAATCAATGTCCAGGATAAATTCTGATAACTTCAGTGATAGTGCCTGATTGTGTCTGTGTGAATCTTCACTTACCTGAATGTTATTTTTTATTTGAAAAGCTGGCTATGATTTAAACAGTCACATTCCCACTGGGACAGACACTTAAAAATGTGTGAGTCTGTGAAAGTGTGACAATTTATCATAAGAATTTTATATACATGGTGTGCAGCTTGGAAAAGTGCGCAATAGGTGTGGGCCACCGTCATGAATATATTACTATGTAAAACTCACAAATAAACCAGCACGAGAATAGCTGCAATAATAGATTCTAGTTAGGTGTAAGTACTGCATTATAATACTTTAACACACACATAAAGACTTACACAGAAACTGTCACCTTTATGTTGATAACTGTTTCAGCTGCTATTGATGATTTGAACTGGGTGAACTGTGTACATCAAACACATACCTAAAAGCATAGTGGTGGCAATCATCTTTTGTTTGATACTGTACACATGTGCATGTGTGCTAGGCAATATTTTTCCTATGAAAATATAAATAAAGCAGAATTTTATATTTATTGAACAGAAGATAGGAATTCCAGAAACATGTAAAAAAAAAAAAAAAAAAAAATATATATATATATATATATATATTTAAATATATATATATATAAAAGCTTCAGATATATGTGTCTATAACTGGTGGACTCTAGTGACATTATTTGAATGACACCTCCCTGTAGATATCACATTCAGGATACCAAATGCAGGTAATGGAACTGCACTCAACCCTTTGCCCTGGAATCCTGGGTGCTCAACTGGATCAGTCCCAGTACCAAAGGGACCAGATATAAAGTTTGAATGTAGAAAGTAATCCAGGCACTCCAAAATGTTCCAAAAAGATAGGGAATTTTATTGGACCCAAGAACCAAAAAACAAAGTTTCGACCCCTTAGGGCCTTTGTCAAGCTACTAAAACAGTAGCTTTTAGTAGCTTGACAAAGGCCCTAAGGGGTCGAAACATTGTTTTTTGGTTCTTGGGTCCAATAAAATTGCCTATCTTTTAGAACATTTTGGAGTGCCTGGATTACTTTCTACATTCAGGATACCAAAAGCATGACTTACCATGTCTGATGATAAAACAAGGTATATGGATTGTACTGGAGACAGGAATGTGGTTATAGTGATGCACTATCTTATTAAATTACAAATGTATAAAGTCGTAGCCGCGCGTGTGCTAACATTTCACAACAGTTGTGGGTCTGGTTATCAAGGAGGACAGATATAACCAATTTCCACATATGAATTTGGATATATAGTCCGTTCTATGGTATGTAAACATTATTCTTCAGTTATGTCATACTACATGTGGCCAAATTGTACGATATGCAGACAGATGCTTTTTTTGAAGATCTAATTGCAACGTATTAGCTATAGAGAGAAAGTTGTTGACATAATGAGGATAGAAAGTTATGTTCCTATATATCCTATTTTGTGGTAACATGCCGAAATGAATAACTTTCATGTATGGGGATTTCTAGAGAAGAAGTCATATTAATTGATGTTAAGATTGGAACATTTAACAAAAGTATTGAATTCCATTTGGCAATGAAAGTTAAGACTGTAAGATTATGTACAGTTTGTTATCTGCAGATAGAGGCCCATTGCCAATCCAGATAGATAAACATGTGCATTCACAAACACTGTGGATATGGCATGACAGTGTGTCACACTTAGAACATATAGCTACACGAAAAACTGTTTCACTATATCACATAGAAGCAGAGAGAAATAGCCTTCTTGCCTAGTTCCAATGGAGGCAGAGAATGTTTTTTCTAATATGTTCTGATGGGGATAATATACAAGGACTTGATCCATATTAGCACATTAGAGACACGTCATGCTGTAATGTAAGTGTATAAAAGTACCATATAGTAGCTGTGAACTGGTATAGAACATCACATGTGTAGAAGCAGGGATTGCATCCGTATTAATCCTGCGATGCAGATGTAAAATAACAGATGAGATTAGTACCTTGTAATATCGTTTTTTATTACACATGTTTAGATATAGATGCTTTGCCTCAAATTATTGAACAAAACAATCTTTGATCTAAGTTGGTCAGTTAAAAGTTGAATTCTCAATTTGAGCCTCAGCATCTAAAGGCAAACTCCAAGCAACATAACCACTACAGATTATTTTAGTTGTTATGGTGATAGCAGAGCCCTGGTATCATCCGACAGTAAGATATTAAACCGTTTTACCCAAGCTCACACTGCTTCCACTGCACCATGCTTCTTAAGTGGGAAGTCAGATTGCACTATAGAACAAAGCAGAATCATACAGAACCACATTCATTGGCTGAGAGCATTGGCTGTGCTTTGCTCTTCAGATACATCTTGCTGGAGAAGACTTCCCTAAAAAAATATACACACATGTACCCAAACTCATAAAACAGAGGCCAGGGCCCCAAGCTGGTCTCCTGCCAAGGGCCCTGGGCAAACGTAATTCGGCTCTGCTGCCAGTTTACTGACCCTCCAATTTGTCAGCCTCATTGTTTATTATTATTATTTTATTATTCATATAGCGCCATCAGATTCCGTAGCACTGTACAATGGGTGGACTAACAGACATGTAATTCATCAACATGCTTTGTGTGCTGTAAAGCAAGACGTTGATAAGATGTTTTTAATCTCTCCTGAGTGAAAGTTACAACTGTAGGAGGGTTGCACTGAGAATTGCAGAGGGTAGAGTTGCCATATTTTACAGCTAAACTCTTCATATGTTATCAATGATTCCCAACCAAGTCCTCGAGGCACACCAACTGCCCGGGTTTTGTCATTAACCACACTGAAAAAAATAGGGTAAAGCCTAAATCATGAAATGTTGCTCTGCCTTGAGGACAAGTTTAGAAACCACCACCCTAGTAAATGCTGTGATGAATTAGGTTATTTCTCCTTTTTCTCAGCAAGTGAACTCTGCATACTCCCAGTCAGAACTATTCATGTCTACATGGCGATCTTAGAACGCTGAAAACAAACATGGTTTAAATGGCAGTTCTAGTATTCATTTTATTTTTCTATCTTCCACAACTTTGTGAGGTCAGCTCATGCTTTATTGGAACAATGTCATGTGTTGGAAACATTTAAAAATATACCACCCAATAAGGACTGAGTGTACATAAAACAAGAGAATTGATTTGGGGTTGATGGGAATATCAAGTAAAGAGTGTAACTCGTCAGTGTTCACAATTACATTAAATACGCTTGATACTCGGAGAAGTCTCCCAGCAGATGCTGTAAATGGCATGAGAAGTCTCCCAGCAGATGCTGTAAACGGCACCTTTTCTCTACACATTATGATAGTTAAACTGCTACCAGATGTACATATAAAATTTTACATTTATTCTTTATGATTTCAGTTTATAACTCTATACCACGGACAGAGAGGCATAAATTACAATTAAGGTGCTTGCATTGAGTGCATATGCTCCCAGGATGCAAGGCTGCTCCTTAACCCCTTAAGGACACATGACATGTGTGACATGTCATGATTCCCTTTTATTCCAGAAATTTGGTCCTTAAGGGGTTAAACATTATGGGATATTGTGCATGTCATGTGAGCGTGCAAACCACATAAGGGTCAGGGGTACATATTGGAGGTAAGTGCCTGTTGAACATTTAAGGCAATTTTATAGTTTGAAAGAACAAGCCCGTTAGTTTAATTAGCAAATTAATCTGACTATCTGATTTTTATCTGCTGGTTTAGGGGTCTATCCAGTAAAGGGTGAATTTCACAGATATTGCAGCAAACTTGTTGTTCACTTAGTCACTGTGTTCCTATGTCCCTAGCTAGCGTTATAAAAAAGTGCAACGGTGTAGTATAAGTGTATCCCCCAACACTTAAAAGATAAATAGTATTATAAATAGAAATACTACACCAAATGCAGACTTAAATATACCAAATTATACTACCTAGCCAGCGTTAGCAGCATCAGTTTCCTTAGAAATCAAAGTGCATGAAACGTATTTGCTGAGTTTGGGAGAGCAGAAGAACCGTTTCAACTCTCCCTTGTCAATCAAATCAACAGCATAGAGTGTATGTCGAAGATTTGACTGAGAAATGGGAGAAAGACCTATTTTTAACTTCTAGTGTATTGTAACGATGAAAAGGAGCATGAGTGGTTTGGGTCATGAAACTTCCACTTAAAATTTTAAACAAATACATAAAAGTAAGGACTCCAAACTAAAATAATTGTTAAACTTAAATAAATTTAGGATAGTCAGCTACAGATATACAATTCAAATTTTGGCCCATTGTAATAAGCTCCCTTTAAAATAAAAGTAGCCATCCTACATTCTGCAACATTGAATTAAAGAAAAACATCCACACATAAAGGCTACATTTTTCCAGACACATGGAGCTAACTGCCAATAATAAAAACTCCTCCGGTGATTATTTAAAATATTTAACCCTTATCTTTAATAATTAAAAAAATGACTTTCACTAGTGCCACTCAAGGGGTAAGAGGATAGAAAGGAGCTTGGGACCTTCTAAATTTTGTTTATTATTTTATGGCCATAGGATAGCATAGCTTATGTCTGTAGGTTTGAGGCATCTTCCCAAATTCTGGGCTTGTCCCTTAATATCCGCATCTGGGAACACAAGGCAGATGTTCCCCAATTAGCACATTATTAGATGCTCTGCATTAAGTCCAGACTCTGAGTGCTTCAGTGGCACTCTGCATATGGTTTTCTCTGAGTTGGGCCGGCCAGTGAGGCTGCTAGCTAGCCCTGTCCATCATCAACAGCCCTGGCTGTTTACCCATAGCCTATCCTTGATTCTTATTGGGAGTTATGAACTAGGACAAAGAGCAAGGGGTGCTCTGCGGGGCTCGCCATTCAATCCTGGCTGATTATTCCAAGACTAATGAATTTTTCCAAGATGGCAGCCACAAAGCATTACAGCCCATCAGCATCAAAATAGATTAGGTTTAAGACAACGTAGGGCAAGCTCATTATAGGCAATTGTTTATTAAATGTGTCATTCTGAAAGGGGAAATGTACACTGCATTCCCTGAGGTGAAATGCATTGAGGGTTTAACAGCATGTACCCTAAGGCTTATATTATGAAAGTGCCAATTTCTAATACAAAATAGTACTTTTGTAAATGACCTTAGTCATGCCTCCCAGGCTTCAACCATTTGTTTAAAGGGACACTATAGGCACACGGACCACTTCAGCTCATTGAAATGGTCTGGGTGTATATTCCTAAGCCCCTTAACCCTGCAAAAGTAATTATTGCAATTTTTGAGAAACTGCAATAATTTCTATACAGGGTTAACTCCACCTCTAGTCAGACAGCCACTATAGGGACTTCCGGGTTTTTACATGACTTTTGGTCGCCTAACTGACGTTGGATGTCCTCACACTATGCATGAGGATGCCCAGTGTCACCCAAAAGTAAGTCCTAATGCGAGCGCGGCTATTGCCACGCACGTGCTTCAGGACTCCCGCACTTATGTCAGGAGCGGAGGAGGAGTCCAATCCAGCACCGAGGGACATCGGTGCGCAAGCTCAGGTGAGTGATAGCAGGGGTTTGTAGTCCCTTATGCGCCACTGGAAGGGGAGCACTGTATGAAACTATAGTGCCAGGAAAACAACTTTGTTTACCTTTAAATGTTTTTCCTGCCTTTGAGTCATTGTTCAAACCAAAAGATAATGTTTTTCAGAGGGAAGCATCCGATTGGCAGAGCACGGAAAATGCCTTAAATGTTCCATGGGTACCCATTCCTTCCCTATGAGAAGCATTGGATTAGAAAGAGACCATTAGTGTTGATGATCTCACCATGGGAGGAGTGGGCTGGACAGCGGAACCTGTCCTGGTGGTGAAAAAAAAGATGAGTTTAATAACTTTTTTTAATTAAAAGGGGAGGAGTCTAAATGTAAGATTAACAAAGGAACACTCCAACATTGAAAATAAATGTATTTATTTTTGATGTTGGAGTCTACCTTTATTAACATTTATTTTTCTATTTGGGATTTATTCACCAAACAATGAGATGGAAGATAATTTCCAAAAATTAGGCCAGAGTTGTGAAGTTTGTAAAAAAAAAAAAAAATGCAATTCTATTGAGCTGGATTTTGTTTTGTTTTTCCAACTCAAATTGTTATAGATTGTGTCACTAATGAGTTAATTCACAAGAACTGAGAGTTTAAGCAAACTAAAAAGTGTTTTTGTTTTTTTAAAACATGTACTTTACAGTAGATTAATTTAACTAGTAATTTATGAGGTATGCTTGAATATAATGACAGAAAAACCTTAAAAAACTTTTTCTCATAGAATTCTTGCTCAGTAAGATTAACCATGTAGGTGCCCCATAAATGCAGAGCAATTATATTGATCACTTGTATTTCAATCCAAGATCCAAACCTGATTTTCTTATAAAGACGAATACTGAAATATAAATAAAAATAACTGTGAAAATGCCCTGTGAACTATGAAAGCTATAGACTAGCTAAATTAGTTCCTCACAAAATATGCTGGTAATGTTTATATTCATCTATAACATTCTCAGAAGTTCAGTAAAAAAAAAATCTTTATGATGTGTGTGTTTGCAGTGGACAAAATATAATTTAAAATTCTCCAGGTACAGTAAAATGAGATTGTTTGACAACCTTTTCAATAAGAAAATTAAATCCTTTGCTTTGAAAGTTTAAAAAAAAAAAAAACTTATCTAGGATTTAAAAACCTGATTACATTTATTTGTCCACATCCATTAATCTAGTCAGATATTTTGAAATATAATTAAGATAATAATAAGTTATTTATTAGAAAGCTTCTTCTTTCTGAACTAATTTGGTAGAAAAGTATATAAATTTATTCATTTTTTTCTTAACTGAGCAAGTAGAATAGAACGTACATTTGACTGTAAAGAAATATTCAGGATTCAATTTAGCATTTTTTAATGACATTTTGTATTTTTTTATGGCAAAATTTACCCTTATAAAAAATATTGTCTGTTGTTGATTAACTGAATGTTTAAGTGTAGCTTTGCAATGCACACGTTTTTCTTAAGATAATACTTAATGCAACTGTTGTTAAAAAAAACTGGTCATTTCTTGTACAAAGTAAATTTGGAGGTTGTGAGATTTGCAATACAAATCTTTTAGATTAGGACTACAAAAAAACTGCTCTATGTGTCGCTTTCAAGTTATCCTTATACAATGAAGTGAGTTAATATATTGTTTTTAATTAGGGCATTGTTGGAGATTATGCTACTCGCTGGCCAATTAACAATCTTTAAATAAACAGTAATTAAAGAAAATCAACACAGATCTCAGCAGTGCAAAGCAGTGTGTTACATTTCTATGCTCTGATATAAAACAAAATAATATTAAATATCGATTATTTATTTGTTTTGATATATTTAGCGATTCAAAACCAAAAAGCTGTCCATTTAAATTCACATCACCTATAGAATTTAACCTACGGTATAATCAAAACTGATATATTTATTTTATTATCAGTATAAACTATTATTTTATAAATTAATGTAAAAAAAAATCATAGTGTTTGCATAAGATACATAGAAAGCTAGACTCATAATTCGTTCAAGAATTATAAAACAAACAAAAAAATACAACGTACAGTCAAATTAGCATAATACTGTTGCTTCACTGTGATTGGATAATACTACAAAAATTATATCACGCTGCACGTATGACACAAACACACACACACACACACACACACACACACACATATACATATATATATATATATATATATATAAAATTATAACTTAAAGTGTATGGAGAAAACACCGATATTTTTCCCTTCACTCCGGAATGTAGCTGGGAATAAAATATTTGTTTGCACAACCTCTTGACTCTAGCAGTAACATAGTGATAAGGTTAATTTTTAATTACACTGTGATGTTGCATTGTGTAAAGATACATTATTTGAAGAGGTGGGGGATAAACATTGCAGAACTCACTTACCTGTGCAATACATTTTCTGCATGTACTATTCAAATTTAAAATATATTATTAGAATATTTCCAATTTATCTTCCAGCATTTTAAATCTGGAAAATTGAGGTAAAATTTAAGTATACATTCACTATAAAAATAGTCACTTGCATTTTGCCTGGAAGATTTAGGAGCTAAACCGGCCATCACAAAATGTTTTTTTTAAATGGTCACCTTCCCCCAAACCCTTTTACCCAGGAAAATAAGTGAATGGTAATTTCATGATATGAACCTGAGTTTGCTGTAGTGTATTGGCATAGTATTCATTTAAAAATGTTAATTTAAAAATTTAAAAACGTTTTAATACAGAGAAATCCCTTAAAGTTTCTGATATATTTGTTAGAAGCAAACACAGGACTTTATATGACGTATTACATGCATACATCCCATGATATATGATATACTATGTGGGTGTGTGTGTGGTCTAAACTTGTAATCAACTTTTTTTTTTTTTTTTATATACAATACCAGATTTTGATACAGTACATTAACTCAAATGCCCCTTACAATCATATCACTGTCAGATCTCTTTGTGTCATGCAGACTTGTATACTTGTTTCATATAGTGCATATAGTCAGAGAATTATATGACTCTTAATGTGCATTGTATCAGAGCCAAATAAAAAAATTACCCCAAAGTGAGCTACCCGTAAATTTTAGCACATCTTTGCGAGGGAGTAAGGAATACTACTATAAAATTATCATCACAATGAATAAGTGCAGTCTTATACACAGAAACAATATTAACTATTTGCTTTTAAAGCTACAGGTGCATCTTTATAGGAGAGAGTGTCTGTCGCCTTACGTCTATTTTTTAAGGTGGCGCGTGTGCCTTTTTTTTTTTTTTTTAAGGTGGAATGTATATGTCTATGTGGGTATTTTTAATGATGGGGGGGAGGGAGGGGGGGAATCACAGCAGCAAACAGATCAACTCAAGGCATTCAGTACTTGATATGTTGTTATTAATCAGCGTTTAATCGAAACCAGGTAACTCTTGGTATTCAAAGAGTGATGTGTGTGTTTGCAAGAAGTAACGCCACCTTGTTTTAGATGGGAGAACTAACAGTGTTGGGGTTATCCTTTCTAATGAAGACCAGGATACAGGGGGTTTAAATCATTGTTCACTTGTCCCTTTAATACCAATGTATTTCTTTGTGTGCATCATTTTTTTTTATTATGCATTATTAAAGATCTTTCTGTTTATGTTAAGATGTGCTATTGTCTATCTACCAGTCAGTCAGTCTGTCTATCTATCTGTCTGTCTGTCTATCAATCTCTATTCTATTTTGTCATATTCTAGTCTATCTCTATAAAGACACACTAGAGTGAGTGAGAGCATATAGGACAATCCTGTTGCTTGGCTGCTGTTTTTTGTGCTGTGCCTGTCTGTGTCTTGGCTGCCTCCTTGTCAGATAGTGTGTGTGTGTCCTGTGCTCTGAGTAAACATCAAGAAGCAAAAGCATGAAGTTCACAAGTTAACACTTTGTAGAGAGATAGACACAACATGAGTGGAGAGGGCGAGGGGAGTGGCTCTGATAGGGGAGAGGGGCTGGCTGAGAGCCTAGCAGATCAGAGCCTGCCCCCAGTGCTCCCAGCCTGGAGATCAGAGAGGAGAAGGCTAGCTGACTGTCAGGCTGGATTGCAGACAGCTTGGGAGGAGAGTCAGGAGGTGCTGGACTGGCTGGTCCTTCCTTCCCTCAGACCTGAGAGGTCACAGCTCTATCAAAACACAAGTGACCCATCATCTTCTGCTTGGCATCACACACTTAAGAAGAGACTCCTAGCCCATCCCTGCAGCCAGTCAAACCAAGACTAGCTAGCCCTGACATTGCACCCAGGAAGATTAGCTGAGAAGACCCCATGTATTTATACCAAATATATTGTAGCTGAGCTCACATTACTCTTTTTGGCTTCTCTAGAATCCCTACCGATTTTCTGAGACCCATACCGTCCAAGAAGTGATATTTAGCCCACCCTGCCTGAACCCCAAGTCCCAATTTACCCCCCACCCCCACCCACTCTCTCCCCCCCAAGAAATCCCAATTTTTCCCGAGCCAAGTAGGTCTTCTTCACACCACCTGTACTGGGGTCTGACCCTGGTACCTGTGTGTACCCCAGGTGGAGGGGTACCCGGGAGCCTCTTCCTGCCCGAGCCATGTTGCCCAAAGTGGAGTCGGAATCCCTGGGACTATCGCGATCACACGGGGAGCAGGGCCAGATGCCGGAGAACATGCACGGTAAGTGACTTACCGCATCATACTGGGCTTATATTATATTATTATACCGCATCGATCATTAGAATGTTCCATGGAATGCTGCGTTCTCCGTACTGGGCGCTCTATAAATTCTATTATAGAACGTTCATTTTATTAGTTTTATTATAGGCTGACTGACATTAATACAAGGACAGTTACCGTGTCCATGTAATATGTTTTTATTTTTAAAATTTGTAGGCTTTCACGATTTGATCAGTACAGCTGAAAATATTGTTGTTGATGTGTATGTGTTTTGATAGTGAGCTAGGGTAATAGACAGGAGATTAGGTGCAGAGAGCATTCAACGCTGTATTTAATTAATATATATGTGTGTGTATATACATATATAGATATATACACACACACAGACACAGACATATACACACAATTAAAACAAAGTTAGCTATGTTCTATTTGTACGTGTTATTTACGTTCACACCAAGATCACCATCCGCATACAGTTCTAAGTGTGTGTACACGCACATGTTCCTGGATGCACATACCATTGGCCTGATGTTAATACATGTAACATTTATACAGGGCACGTGTGACTTGTCCATTTCCCTTTCCCAACTTCCTACACAGAGAGAGAGCTGTGACACCGTGTATACAGGATATCCCAGTATATAGGCATCTTGTAGTGTATTAGTATGACGATGATATATGGGTCATACCTCTTGCCATGCCAATCCCCAAAATAAGGAATTGTGCTTTCACTAATAATTCCAAAACACAAATTGTGTTTTGTCATGTAGAAAACTGCAACTGTACATTGCAAGGAGAACTGTGTGTGTGTGTGTGTGTGTGTATATATATTATATATATATATATATATATATATATATATATATATATATATATATATATATATATATATATATATATATATATATATATATATATACACACACACACACACAGTAATGCTTTGTAAATGTCCATTTGGGAGTTAATTTCTTAAATGCAATTTGCTGCATACCTCTGTGTATGCACATGTAGTGTCCATTAATATTGCAAGCAATGCTACTTAAAATTATTAGCATTGATTTAGTTTATAAGTAATAAGTTTAATTACATGAAGTATTTAACTACAGCAAAGTATGGTTCAACTCTTTGGTAAACAAAAAATACAAATGAAAACTAAAATTTAAAGTCTGCAAAATCTAAATTATCCAAATAGGCATTTTCAACTTTTTTTTTTAGTTTTTTTTTAGTGAAGTGCCTTAGTTATATACAGTAGAAAAAATGCTAGTGTGTATAAAATATACATGTATATATAAATATATAATATAAAATTACAACACTAAAAAAATATAATATATATAATATAATATTTTAATATCAAATAAAATAGTCCCACACTGTATAAATATTTGTAAATATTATTATTATTTGGGGGAGCATGTATATACATGCTCCCTCACATAATAATAATATTTAAAAATATGTATACAGTTTATATATATATAGATAGTTAATGCATTGCTAAACACAAATGCACACACCAGTCATTATGTGAGTTTGTGTTTAGCAATGTATTAACTATCCACTTACTTCAGGTGGAAGGGGTTTTCATCCACACATTTTTCCCCACCACAACTATTTTGGTGTATATATATATATATATATATATATATATATATATATATATATATATATATATATATATATATATATATTATTGAGAAAGATCTAGAGGGTTTCTGAGTTTTTTCATAAAACTGAAGGGTTTGTGTATATGCATATCTATGTATACATATAGTGTATTCAGATAACATAACAGTGACTTTGTGTTGAATCAAGAGAAGAGGGAATTTGAAAATCCCAAATGTTTTCTATAGTCTTGATTACTAGCTAAAAACAAATATATCAAACTAGTTCGTTTTTAAAGGAAAATCATAGATACCATTTCCAAATCTGGATTTTATTATATTTATGTGTCTCTCTTCAGTGCAAAATGTATGTCAGTGTTATGTTAGATTTTTTTTGGATCAAAATTTGAGATTTAAACATAGTTTTAAGATTAAAAAAAATCGAATAGGTAATTGAAGGCGACTTTGTACAGAATTAAAAATAACATATACATAAACTAAAATAAAGTTTGAAATCAAGTTAATTCATTTTGACTTTTTCAGTGTTAAACAATTAGTCTAGTTAATTCATTTTGACTTTTTCAGTATTAAACAATTAGTGTAGGCATTGTTTTTAAGTTAAAAAAAAATCCTTCTGTACTAAGAAAATGTTAAATTATCATTCATAATGAAACTTAAAAAATATTTTAAATACAAATGCATTTTTAAATAATTTAAAATCCATTTTAATAGTATCCATCTATACTAATATACTATTATTTTGCATAATATTTTATTTTAATAGTTAAGTTTTAAAGGCAAGTATAAATAATTTTGCTAAACGGCTTGCATATAAATGTTACATATTGTGGTGCATCATGCTTATAGTTTATTTTCTCAAAAGTCTTTAATAATGACAGCAAACAATATTAACAAGAAACCCATTATATTATGTACTTAAGTGGTATTAAGTAAAAGTGTAAATTAAAAGACAATCTCCTTTGAATGGTATTGTGGAATGTGTACATGTAATATATGTGCAAAAACGTTTGTTATTCCGAATTTGTGTTTATAGTTTTTCTATATGTGCATGACTTTTCTTTAGCATGCATGTATTTCCTGATCTCTATATGTAGGCATTGTTTTGAATAGTTGAAAGTTTGCGATGAGTTCTTTATATGTAGTAGAAATGCCTATTGTCAGATAGCCTGTGTTTCTATTTTCCCTGTGTTATATTTGTTTATCCAGTAATCTTTCTGTATTACACCCAAGATTTCTTTGACCGTAAAATCGGGGGTTCAGTTAACAAAAATGATTATTTTGAAGAAAGGGTTTGTTAGATCAGTATGTTTGTGTGTTTCCTAATTTTTGCATGTGTACATATCTATTTCTCTTGAAATACGAAAACAGATGTAGTGTAAACATATATATTTATGTGTTATAGTATGTAAAAGTATACAGCCATATAAATCTATATACGTAAGACTCATATATGTGTACATGTATGCATTTATAGAGACAGATGTTTGGTTAATCTGAGTCTGATCCTGCGTATGCAGTGGAATTTCTGAAATAATTTGATATCAAGTGGCTTTCATACCTTTGTTGGAGACTTTTCCAACCATTTAAGAATTAAGGGATCTATTCGCTAAATAGTTAGTTGTAATGATCTCAAAGTCATCTGGCGACAAGCAGGCACTAAAAAACCAACTGAAATTAAAAAAATAAATCATTTTAAAGTCAACAGACATTTTTCTATATTGATCGTTTTAAAAGCGAAACTTTGCAACAACTGAGCACAACTCACAAGTTAGTCAATACATCTCTTTGTAATCAGTATTCATTATTCAATATATCCTTTGCAATTATTAAAAAAGTATGCTAAAATTGAGTTTTTTTTTTTCTTTTCATTAATATGTATGCTTCTGTGTACAAGACTTGAAAGCAATTATTTTATTGTTTTAAGCGATCTTTGGAAAAGCAAAGGTTTACGAAAATAAGGTCAGGTAATTGAAATCAGAAAAATAGAAGATAAACCATACATAATTAGTTGAGATAACAATAGTTAATAAATTGTAATGATATTTGTGCAAAATACAGATGTCTCTAATGGGCATTTTAATGAATGAACCAGCTTAGCTTTCAGAGCTTTTAAATGATTTTCTAACCGCAGATCACCGGGAAGTAAATGGACTATTAATGTAAAAGACAGGAACCCTTCAATACAAACTCCTATCTCTTAGGGCAGTTACGAATACACATATATACACATATACATATATATATATATATATAGAAATAAAATCAACGTTCTGCATCATAACAATGAATTCACAAAACACCAAATTGAAGTGAATTGAAATCTCAACCTGCAACATTTAGGCTAACACAGGTAAGCTGTGACTATAGCCAAGGTGGAGAACTGGTCCAAATCAACATGTTTTTGCCTTACTGTTTGAAGTTGGATTTTCAATTCAATGCGATTCAATGTTTAGTGAATAAGCCCCACGATTTACTTGGACTCTTTGTAGAGATTCTGTTGGTACATCCCATCTACACACAGGGCAGTATAGGAGCACATTTTGGGACAATCACCAGGTGAATAAATGGTACGGTTCTGATGATTGCTCCAGATTTAACATTTTAAAACAGATTTGCTCCAGGATTGCCTTAACAAATGCGTTTTCATCCTTCTGTATGTAATACAATTTTAAAACAAATCTAAGCTATACATACAGCCATAAGAAAAGCATTACACCTAGGTGGAAATTACAGCAGTACACTCAACCGCAAATAAATCGATATGTAGAAATAGCGTTCTGTTCATTTTTGCACATCTTCAGTAATTCAGTTCTTTAGATATAAACATCATTCAGACACAGACACAAGTTCAGCTGGAGTTACACAATATTCTTGTTTTTTTAAACTTTTTTTCCTGTTGATCAGAAATACCTTAAGGTGCTGCAAACTATTTTTAATGCAACACGATATTTCTTAGCTTGTGCAAAGTGCTCCAAAGTTCTAGACTTATAGAATATTCATTTGTCTATCACTTTATACATAACATACTGATTACTAAATATTATTACTAAAATTAGTGTTGTCAACTTTTATCTGCTTGGAATTGGCACTGTAAATTAATTACCAAAATTGCTATTTTTTTAAATTTATTTTAATTTTGTAAAAGAAAACATTAGGCCTGTGTAGAACGGGTCAAATTAATTAACTGTCTTGTGGTTAATATTTGTACTGCTGTGTACATTATATGTCTGTTTAAGCTAAGGTCACTGTATGTCCAATATCATAGAATGCTTAAACGGTTTGAGTGGTCAAGCGATCTCTTGTTATACTTGAAAAGGGTCATTAATAATGGGTTTGCAAACATGTCACATATTTGCCAGTGGCAAGTCTACAACAAAGTGTACTAAATGTTTATTTTGAACCCTGCAATATCAAATATAAGGACAGTTGAATTAGATAGTTGATCATTTTCAGATCTTAAAGGATGTGTAAACAACACTGCATTTTTCTTTAAAAGTGATAATAACCAACTGCCAAATATTTGGCCAACAAAAGTGATACGTATAGAACCTGCAGACTTTAGCATAATTGTAATAACAGATAATTATGTAAGTATATAATAATTACATAAATAACACAGGTATTACATCCAAGCAGTGAATACAGAATGTAGGAGACATGTATAATTTTAAGACATAAATATTGATAAAAAAAAATCCTGTCAAAAGTCAAATTATGTACACCCCCGATGCATAAAAATGTGAGTTGTGATGGTTGATAAGAAGCCACTGGCCAATCCAATCTGCTCTTTGTGAGACCTCATGCTTATTTAATGTACTCATTCATGGAGACAGTTTTGCAGAAACCCCAGGCACTCATGCAATTCATAGGCTGTTTTTTTGTTTGTTTTTTTAAATACTATTGTACTTCGATTGGAAGGCGGTTCCAGGTATCCACTATTCTTTTGATTGTAGCAGAAAGCATAACATTTGCATATCATTTAAACTTCAGTGATTCGGCATGTATAACACTCATATATGCTAGGATAAGCACATCCCTATGGTGTGGATACTCATATTTATGTATGCTAAGTATGTATTTTCTCTGTTGCTGGTCTACATGGTAGCACTGTGTAATAAATCAGTTTGTCCTGTTTTGATCTCTAACCATCCTGCTGTTTCCTCCTCTTCCTGCAGTGCCCCAGTTTAAAATGATGGGCTATTCTTACGACGAGGACCTCGAAGAGCTGTGTCCAGTTTGTGGGGACAAAGTATCTGGATATCACTATGGACTGCTGACCTGTGAGAGCTGCAAGGTGGGATATAAGGACTACTTATTGCTATGGGTATTTTATTGATATATTTCACAAGTAGGATTGTAAATGTACTACAGATCCATCTATTTATTATTTAATTTTGTCATCATGAATTTATTGAACACCACCAAATTTCGCAGCCCTAGATACAAAAAGTATATTATAATACCTAATATAACGTACAGAAACAAAGAGATACAGCTGGTTTTGAAAGCTCCGTCCACATGCTTAGACTAAAAGATGTGTGGGTATATATGTACGGATTCAGAGCTAGATTATTGGTCCTATTGACATGAAACCAGATTTGTGTCCAACGGAAGATTAATTCAAGTCTATATATAAAATTGTGCATATTTGTGTTGTACAAATACATACATAAATATTTGTGTGTATTGATGTATGTATTGATAGATATGTGTATTTGTAGATAGACATATTTGCCTTCTGAAACCTTCAGCTCCGCCAGCTGCTATATAACTTGCACTCTGCCATTACTGATGCATTTTCAAGTGCCTGGGTGCAAACCTGTCGTAGTACATATATTGAACTACATAGATACCTGCACATACATGTTTCATATATACTACACCCAAATAGATAAGCAAAATCTGTGATTGGCTCGTCTGCTTGCTGAATGGAATAATGTCCAAAAGCATAACAGTGTAATAATAATAGTTGATTTCTAATATGGCCATGAATGTTTTTGTTTGTTTTGTTTTTTCTCATTTGCATATACTCAATATTAGGTAATTGCATGCCAATAGTATAATCAATGTAAACAAAGACGTGTTACTGTGGACTTATCAGTTTACTCACTAAATAGGGAGGAGACAGTACACTCATTAATTTTAAGACAAAAATATAAGACTTGAAAACAATTTATAATTAAGTCGATTTAAAATTTATCCAAACTCAGTTATTTAGGCCTAATTTTCCAATTCACTTGCCAACAATCTGGTTATCAAATGTAGGTTTAAGTTGCAAAGAGCTGTGAATGGATCTCTTTTACAAAGTAAATAGTTTCTTCCTGTCCCAGTAGAAATGTATGGCAAGTAATATATTTTTTTTTACAACTTTACTAAAATATTGGTCTGTAAGAAAGTGATGAACATTTAAATTTAGTTTCGGTTTAAAGCCTTCTAACTGCAAACCTGCCATTGAACAGGCAAAATAAATAGATGTCCGCTCACTATAATAGAATTTCGCGATCTGTTTAAAGTTTAAATAGATTTTTTTTTCATTCAAAACGTTATTTTTTTTTTATATAAGTATGTCTCGCTTGTGTTTTATTTATCAGTCTTTTATTTATTCACCAAATACCATGATAAAAACTCATTGCAACATTTATGCAATAAGTGCTGTTTTGGAATAATTTGCCAACTCGACCATAGTCATAATTTGACTGTTTAATCCTAAATTTAGAAAAATCCACTACAGTTTGGTGTTTGTTATATAAACCCTTATGTGTTGTTGGTGTATAATTAAAAAATTTACAGACTCTTTACATTGATTGTTACGTAATACAATGAAGATGTTATCAATACATTAAAACCGATTAATTGATTATTTATGCATTTTAAAGTTGGTGCTTATGAAAAGTACATGCTCTGGTCAGTTTCATACGGTTAAATTAATATCTCTTATGTGTCGTGCTAAATTGAAATCTTACAAATACTAGAAAACTGAATAATGAGCCAAAAGTTAAAATTGTGATTGTGAAAAGTTTTATTATCTTTTATCAGCTTTGAAATGTTAGTTGTTTTTTTTCTCTAGGTGATTTATAGAACTTATAGAAATCATATATTTATGTATCTGTGCCTCACTTTTAGATCTTTGTGACTTTATGTTGCATAGCACATTCTGCACAGTGCTGTGATTTTCAGATGTAGAATAAAGATTTAGGTGTGAGAACACTGAAGGAGTTCATTGAGTATTCAAATAAATGGGTAATGCGAGCGTTTGAGTTTCACTTTCCCAATTATTTCAGTTAGCATACATGTCGAGATTTTCTGGGTCACTTATTTCTGAGATGCTGGTCTATGCTCAGCAATAATCTGATGATACCCAAACTAATTTGTACTCATCTTGCTAGTTGGTACAATATTCGAAATGCTTGCTCTTAAACTACAGCACTTTAGAGTTTCCACGGGGGAATTGTTGCAGATCTCACTGATTACTGCAGGGCTTAGAAATTTCGTGATGGGCGTTTTAGAGTTAATAAGTTCCTCATGGTGGACTCTTTAAGAAAGTTCACAGGTATAGATATGAAAACATAGGGCAAATGATAAATTGGTCAGCATTCTAATGCACTCGTAATTTTAAACTGTTGTATAAACTCTACTAGCTATAGAAAATATATTTGGAAATGCAACCTCATACTTTTTAGTTTTTTAGCATTTTATTATTTTACGTGTAAGTCCCTTGTAGGACACACATGTTCATAGAAGCAGTCACTTAATAAGGTAATACATTAAAAAATATGGAAAAATACAATAAAAAATATAATAAGATATAACATTTAAATTTCTTGCTGCCACTGCAGATTCACACACACGCAGCTACAGCAGAGAGGCCCTCCAAAAAAAACAAAAAACAGAAGTCTGTCCTTCTGGCCTATGGTGTATCCCACAAACATCTATCTAGCAGGGATTTATGGGATATAGAGTTTCAGCCCTAGCAGCATTCCATTCATTGAATCGGATGAATGGAACTGCTGATTAAGCTTATAGCAGCCAATTGACAGCCCCATAAACAGTTGTGTGAATTTTTGCCTGAGCTGCAGACACACACTTGCATGGTGTGTAATAACTAAGAAAGTGCATGCCACGCAATTATTTGTACAGTTAAAGGAGGTGGTGTAAATACTTCTATTGATGTAAGAGCAAAAAGACGTAGGCTTGTAGGCAACTATATGTAATCACACAACAGATACAGGGAACATCCTTGAGCCACAACCTATAGCCACAGGTTGTTATGGTGCTAGGGTATCTGTTTAAAGCAAAGATCAAACATATTATTAATGTGGTTTAACCACTTTATTAGGATCTGTGGAGAATTGACAAAGGGATTACAAATTGTATGGCCAAATAGCTAAAACCCCAGTTAAATTTATAATTTTTGTGTAAAATTTGCAATTTCTCACAAGTCACAGTTTAATGTATAATGCGCATTGTGATATATAAAAGCTGAGTCTCACCTAGAACTATCATTTTATTTTTTATTTAATCTGCTTTTTTGAAGTACTTCTGATCAATTTAAATAGACTTATGCATTTTTCTTAAAGGAACACTATAGTCACTCAGACCACTTAATCTCATTAAAGTGGTCTGGGTGCAGTGTCCCTGTCACACTTAGTCCTACAATGTAAATCACGTTCTGCATGAGGACATCAAGTATCAGTAAAACCCTATAGGAAAGCATTGAAGCAATGCTATCCTATGTGGAGGGTCTAATGCACTTGCAGAGCTTGCTGCGCATGCACATTAGGTCCCCCAATGGATGGCGGCGGAGGATTCAGGTAAGTGACTAAAGAGTTTTTCAACTCTTTAACTGCTGGAGGGAGGAAGTGAGCGAGAGAAGGGGGTGGGGGGAGACCAGAGGGCTCTGTAATGTAAGGAATACAGATTAGTATTCCTTACACTATAGAATCCCTTTAATGTTTTACTTTTGTGTCACTTTTCCTTTTGAATTTAAGATGGCCGCCAAATGCTTCATAGCCTTTCTGTTTTGCAATGGTGCCATTTTACATTATTATATAGTATTTAGTACAGACCTCAAACACAATAGCAAACTGAACTGCAATCAAACGGAAAAACTGTAAACTCAGTTTGTAATCAAAACAACAATTTTTTTTATGGGGCCCAAAGCTTAAATAAACAAATTTTATATTAAATACAATATTTGTGAATGCACATGACTAAGTCTACAATTTATCCTGTAAGCCAGCAAAACTCTTTTATAACACTTGTGTAAACTGAAAGTCTCAAAGAAAACCCTTGCAATACACATTAAGGAACCACCATAGGCCAAAGCATGCTCGGTTTCTTTTCATATTCTGAATTGCAAACATAATTTCAAAGGTCACCAACGGGTTAAAACTCCATGTTTGCGTACGCATTGCAAAATTTGCATCAACCTTCTATGTTCTAACTAAATTATCTGCAGCAAATCTATTTTTCGAATTAGAAAGTATATTATTAAATTTAAATGAAGCATGTATTTAACAGAGCATTCTGTATATTTATCACATTTAACTAAGTGTCTGTTGGCTGATTTCCCATAATCTGTACTATCCCTTCTGTTTAGCAGATGAATCTCTATCAAATAATTTACTCCCAATTCATGATAATTATTTGGGATGTAGAGGGCTAAGCAAGTAGAGCTTGTCTACATTCCTTGCAACAGCCTGTTCGAGTATTCGCTAATTCCATTTCTGTTATCTGTTCAGGGTTTCTTCAAGCGAACGGTTCAGAACAATAAGAGATACACGTGTATCGAGAACCAGACCTGCCAGATCGACAAGACTCAGAGGAAGAGATGTCCGTATTGTAGGTTCCAGAAATGTCTGAGTGTGGGAATGAAGTTGGAAGGTAGGAGAAGAATGGTGGGACAGGATTGTTGAGTTGACCACTTGATTTTAGGAGGATTGGAGGTTATTTACAAAGAATAATTGCTACGTATTCTTCTGAAGCAAACTGCTGAAACATTCCGTTGTTTTCTGTTATAGTTACTTAAATCATAAAATTGGTTTCTCCAAAACATTTTTCTCTCAACTTTACTCTTAGAAATTAAGACTTATGTCATGACGATTTACAGAAAGTTTCCAGGTGCATTTCTGTGCACATTGATTGAATTAGTGATTTTAAGCACGTCCATAAGGGTCGTAATCATGCAAACATTTTAATATTTCTCTATATAATTGGTGTAATTAATCAAACAGCATTGTGTGTTGCAAAGCATTCAATAAGTGTTATGCTGAAAACCTAAATAATTTTTACTTCTCAAGTTGTTGATTTTGATAGACCAGGGTTAAAGAGGCAAGAAGTCATAAAAAATGGTTGTAAAAAATAATATGTCAAGCTGAAATTAGTTGATAAAATGAGCAATATTATGCAGTTGTTGTAGTAGTTCTCCAGGGCAGTTCTTGGGTTAAAGAATAGCTTTGTTTTGCCTAGTCTGCACTTTATTCCCTCTAGTTTTGAGTGGTTATACTAATTTGCGAGTACCACCCACTTTACCAGAATACATTGAAAAGGTAAGGGAAATATATCTCTATGCTGTGGTTCCTGGTGCAGGTAAGGGTAGCTTTACATAAAAATTCAATGCAATGTCACTTAAAAGTTGACTTTTGTACAGTTTTAACTTATTATAAAACACGTTTTATAATTTTCTCTTTTGTGATTGATTTTTAAAAAATGACAGTATATTTTAAATTAAAATACAACTGCATATGTGTGTACGCATTTTTCATGATGCTGCAGTATGACTATATGTGTAACAAATTTAAAGATTAACGTGTGTATGTGTGCGTGTGTTTGTGTGTGTGTGTAAAATTACAAATCTCACAAATATGCACAAACAGGATGTTTATTTCCATGTGTGTAAGTTAAAAATTTTTATTCAAATGTGTTTGCAATGTGTATGTTCTGTTATGATCAAGTGATCTGTTCAGTGATGTCAGTCTCTTTTCAATTTTTGAAAATAAAAAAACCCAGGACACATTTGTAGGTTTCCAGATGTGAAAGGAATAGTGTATAGAAAGCACAAAAAGAAAAATAAACGTGGCAGACCAAGAAATGTGAGAGTGCCCTGGGTTTTCTCTCTAGAAGTTTTTTCTTACCAGTCTTTTTCTGTGTCTAATTAATGTAGGAATTTCAGAAATAATTTAGAAAAAAAAGCTGCTTGCAACTTCCCATATGAATTTTTTTTTATAGTTTTTCTATCAGTCTGTTATCCTATCAGTCAGTCAATGTACTATAAGTCACACACTACTACTAGAGATTTGGTACCCGGTTTATTGACTTTTGGAAGGATGAAAGGCTGAGTGTACCCATTGGGATATGAACCTATCTCCTTCAAACCTCTTTGCATTTCTTCCCAGTATATGTTGCTGACAATGAGTTGAAACACTGGGGACATTTTTTAGTAGATTGTGTGAACACCCTCCCCTCAGTGAAGAGTAAGTAAGGAAGCATGCGATGAAACGGCAGTCACAGGGCGTCAAGAGGAAAAAAATAGAAAAGTGAAGCAACTGCAGTAAGGTGGAACAGAATATGAGAGCAAAATCATGTTGAATGTAAAACAATAAAAAAGGCAATGAGATTTATTGGGTCAAAATATAGGGGCAAACATAATGAATAAATATTCGAATAAAAGACAATTACACCAATAGTTAAAAAAAAAACAAAAAAAAAAACAGACAATAAAGATTTATGTTCTAATCAATATAACTAAAAATAGTAAAATAGTATGGCATACACCCAGGGCCGGCCCAAGGTATTGTGCTGCCTGGGTCCAAGGATGAAATTCTGTTTCCCCTTCCCCTCTCCCTCCCCCCACCTCACACCTCACACACAACCATTATGTTATGCAGTTTGAATAGTGAATGCAGTGTCTGTGTAGGAAATAAATATTGCATATTGCTTGCGGTGTGTATAGTGAATACATTGTGTGTGTGTATAGTGGATACAGAGTGTGTGTTTGTGTAGTGGATGCCGTGTGTGCGTGTGTATAGTGAATGCAGAGTGTTTGTATAGTGGATACAGAGTGTGTGTGTGTATAGTGAATGCAGAGTGTGTGTATAGTGGATACAGAGTGTGTGCATAGTGGAAACAGAGTGTGTGTGTGTATAGTGAATGCAGAGTGTGTGTATAGTGGATACAGAGTATGTGTTTGTGTAGTGGATGCCGTGTGTGCGTGTGTATAGTGAATGCAGAGTGTGTGTGTGTGTGTATAGTGAATGCAGAGTGTGTGTATAGTGGATACAGAGTGTGTGTTTCTGTAGTGGATGCAGTGTGTGTGTGTATAGTGGATACAGAGTGTGTGCTTGTGTAGTGGATGCAGTGTGTGTGCATAGTGGATACAGAGTGTGCGTGCGTATAGTGAATGGAGAGTGTGTGTATAGTGGATACAGAGTGTGTGTATGTATAGTAAATGCAGAGTGTGTGTGTAGTGGATACAGAGTGTGTGTTTGTGTAGTGGATGCCGTGTGTGCGTGTGTATAGTGAATGCAGAGTGTGTGTATAGTGGATACAGTGTGTGTGTGTGTGTGTGTATAGTGAATGCAGAGTGTGTGTATAGTGGATACAGAGTGTGTGTTTCTGTAGTGGATGCAGTGTGTGTGTGTATAGTGGATACAGAGTGTGTACTTGTGTAGTGGATGCAGTGTGTGTGCATAGTGGAAACAGAGTGTGCGTGCGTATAGTGAATGTAGAGTGTGTGTATAGTGGATACAGAGTGTGTGTATGTATAGTGAATGCAGAGTGTGTTTGTGTAGTGGATGCAGTGTGTCTGTGTGTGTATAGTGGATGTAGTGTGTGTGTTTGTGTAGTGGATACAGTGTGTGTGTGTGTATAGTGGATACAGAGTCTGTGTTTGTGTAGTGGATGCAGTGGGTGCAGAGTCTGTGTTTGTGTAGTGGTACTAGTGTAGTGTGGGGCTAGATAAGGGCTGTGAGGGGAGAGTAGTTTTTTTTAATATTTATAATTTAGTTTTCCCCCCTCCCTGCCTTTTACCTGTGGTCAGGGAGGGGGGACAGTAGTTTTCCTGGTGGTCCAGTGGCACAGCATGCTGTTAGTGTTGTCATGGCAACACACAGCTGGCGAGTGGACATGACCTAATACTGCAGGAGGTGCAAGATTACACTCCTGAGCCACTTCTTCACAGGATACGCTAGCAGGGGCTGGGGACTCCATATGTATATGGCGGTACTCAATATATATATATATATATATATATATATATATATTGAGTACCGCCATGTGTGTAAAATAAAGATGCATAGTGTCTGGTCTAACCAATCCTCAGCCCTTTTTTGTCTAAAACTTTATTTTTGTTGTGAAGGAGATAGCAGGTAAATATGTTCGTCAATAACATGCTAGCCAGGATAGTGTAACATCAAATTTAGGAATTGTATTAATGCAAGGATAACTGAAAACATGTCAGCATCAGAATGAGTTATAATATCTCGTTGCCAAGGTCTAGGTGATCCATCCCACAGATAACAAAATGTCCATATTAACCAAACATCATATCGTCTCCATGCTGCAAGCATATCATGTTCAACAGAGTATGAAGAGGTGGTCTGAGAAAGGGCCTATTGGAACCTACCGTCATAGCATAGAAGAGAATCAGAGTCCCTGAAAGAACAGGGATCCCATAAGTAGATACTCTATTTCTTCCAGGAAGACTCTCATGTAGTGTTACCAGATGCAAAGTTTAGTCCTCCGCTAACTCACAACATAGCAGTAGGAGTCGTGCAGAACCTTGCACCACAATCTAGTCCAGTGCGATAATCTCACCCAAAATTCCTCAGATAATTTGCTTAGTTTGGCCAGTACAGATTAGACAGTATGGGGAGACCACAAGACTGTAGAGGCATCCACCATCTTAAATCCTGTTGCACCTGTTATGTGGATTCGTCACGTTGGCCATGTTGGTCCAGAATTTAGTAAAATGGCATAAATTTAAAAATGATATATGGGTCATATATGATAAATCTTAACCGTCACTCACGTCACTTTCAACTGTTCGTAGCTAAGCTATTTGCCAACCTCAATAAAAGCTTATTGAATGGGTTAACAATTTCTGTCTAACAAATTATTTCACAATTGAAATGGCATTTCAGCTAGGGACAATTCATTAGCGACATTTTGCAACGTAATCCTACAGATCATTCTACATGTTTATTAAGAAAATATCAAATTATTGTCCATTGACAATAGCCGAATTGCTAAGGCCAGCATGTTTTAACTGGAGACTTTTTCTAACTGTGAAATTTAGCTCTAAAGTTTGTGATTCATTGGTCAAATCTAGTGATCTGATATAGAATGAAAAAGGAATCCAGAGACAAAAATTCAATAACCACCCTACCCCTCCAAAAAAAACCTGCCCTTTTAGATGTTATCGTTGTTCTTAGAATAAAAGTGCCCAATTTTTTTATCACAATGGTCTGGCCAAAGGAGGAGCTGGGGGGAAGATTTGCTTACCCGATAAGGCAAATGTCAAGGTTTGAAGGTGAAGAAGGAGGCTGCCTCTCTTACCATCGAACTCCTGGCAAGTTGCAAAGCCTTCAGCTTACTCCATATAGTCTTCACAACCAAGAAAGTCACTGACAGAGGGGTTATAAATGGTCTCAGAGGAATCCACAATAACAATTAAATAATCTCTGCCAAGTGGAAGTATCAGAAATATGTTTTAGCAATACATTTAATATTTAGAATGCACACTCACTGCAACCTGTGGCCATTGACCATAGCTATGTTACTTTAAACTACATGTACACGTCTATATTAAAAAGTTGGAATTTCTTCCTTATTCTGAACAGTATGCGAATCTTACTGAACACTGTGATATGAACAGTCTTCCTGAAAAAAAAAAATAAATAAATTTCTATAACTCACAATCCTTATAAATGAAACAGCATTGTATATTTTGCTAATAGTCCAATTAAGCTTAAATTGCCAGCTATAAATGACTGAGATTCATTAATTGCAGATGTATTTATGCTAGATGTGTACCTCAGATCCCCATGCATTTTTAATGGAGCTGTAATCTCTCTTTTGCATAAGAGCCACTGGCCAAGGTGGGCTCCGTCTGTGTCACCCGCTATCCCATTAAACTTGCACTGCAACAAAACTCACCGCTGTGACAAACCCCATTAAAATCACCCCCCTGGCTGCAGCTGAAACACATTTATTTTTAATTATTCCAAAAACCAAAAAGCTTTCTTTTTAGAAGCAGCACAGTATTAACTAAAACTTGCTTTTCTGTTAAAAGGAAATGGTGAGTTGACAGACTTGTAGTATATGAATGCATTATACGCGTGATTGCACACACACACACACACACACACACACACACACACACACAATATCTCTCGTAGGCACTATTGCCTCGGAAGCAATAATAGTATAGCGTAACATATTAACATATTAATTTATTTAGGAAAGTTGATCAATTGTAATAAACAATAAAATAATTCCAATGACTGATAATATTGTAAAAAGGGTAAATACTGTAGTTTGGTGATTAAAAGCAAGTGTGTTTAATTTGGAAAGGGTGAGTGCTGCTTACTCTTAGAAATGCAAAAAGAAATAACGGGTCAGATATAATGGTACCAATCTAATATGCCTCATTTCTGTTTCTGAATCTGTATTTCATAAAAAGTATTAAGGTGCATTTTTGAAATTTATAAATCTGAGTATCAAATAGCAAAAATAAATTAATAAGTATATCTGTGACTTATTGTATTACTATATCATCATAGCCATTTATATTTCAAGGATAAAAGGCAGCACTCTACATGTTAAAAAAAAAATCTATAATTTTGTAATATATATTGATCGACAAAAACATACTCACGTAAACCACATCAAATGTATATCATTTAGAAACATAGAAACTTTTGCAGACATGGCCAGTAACATACATGTACTAGTAATGGCACCTTCTTTTGCCATTAAAACTATTTTTTTTAGTTAATAAAGGAAATGTTTGAAGTCATTCTACAATTATAATTTGTGTTAGTCAATTACAAATCAATCTTGCCTATATACCCAACAGAAAATAATTCTGAATCGATAGTTCGACAAAAAACAGGAAATTTATTCGGAGAAATTTTGTCCAGTTAGTAAAATGGCATAAATTTTAAAATGATATATGGGTCATATATGATAAATCTTAACCGTCACTAACGTCACTTTCAACTGTTTATAGCTAAGCTATTTGCCACCTCGATAAAAGCTTATTGAATGGGTTAACAATTTCTATCTATCAAATTATTTCAGAATTGAAATGGCATTTCAGCTAAGGACAATTCATTAGCGACATTTTGCAACATAATCCTACAGATCATTCTACATGTTTATTAAGAAAATATCAAATTATTGTCCATTGACAATAGCCAAATTGCTAAGGCCAGCATGTTTTAACTGGAGACTTTTTCTAACTGTGAAATTTAGCTCTAAAGTTTGTGATTCACTGGTCAAATCTTCACTGTAATGGTTTAGTAAATAAACCTACAGATATGCAGATATAATAAATGTGAAGAGCAAATTTCAAAGTAGTGATCTGATATAGAATGATATAAAAAAAACAAAAAAACCTGCCCTTTCAGATGTTATCATTGTTCTTAGAATAAACGTGCCCAATTCTTTTATCATATGGGTCTGCTTGCTATAATAGGCCCCTTAGGGTTTTGTTTGTATCACCAAAGATAAACTTTACTCTGGTAACTGAATAGAAATATTCTCATTGACATCTAGATGAAAAATGCTATTCAATTAACAGAGATATGCTTATCTCTTTTAATAAACTCTAGCTCCTAGTAAATATGGAAGTACATTTGGCTGCAGATTTATCTACAAATGAAAATATAACTACCTAATTGTACTTATTTAATGAGTCCATTTATATCAGTAAGTTGTTAAATAATGAATTAAGTTTGTTGACTTTGCTGTCTTTTCCTTCCCTTAAAGAGGTTAATAAACTATTAAGACAGTCAGACTAAAACTAACAAATTAAAGCAATGTGACATGTGCTCTTTTTTATTTATATGCGTGTGGTTCAAAGTACATAAGTCACACTGTGTCCAGTTCACTTATACAATTGAAGTAAATAGACTGGGCATTTTGGTTTCAATTACTTCAATAGCAAATAAAATTTAATTTGAGCCTCTACTCTTTCTTCACAGCTGTGCGGGCCGATCGGATGCGTGGAGGAAGGAACAAGTTTGGGCCAATGTACAAAAGGGACCGTGCTCTGAAGCAGCAGAAGAAGGCTTTGATTCGAGCGAATGGACTAAAATTAGAGGCAATGAGCCAAGTCATCCAAGCTATTCCAACGGACCTAACCATTTCATCTGCTATCCAGAACATCCACTCAGCATCAAAGGGTCTACCTCTGAACCATGCTGCCCTACCCCCAACAGACTATGACAGAAGTCCTTTTGTAACATCACCCATCAGCATGGCAATGCCACCTCATGGAAGCCTGCAAGGTTACCAGTCCTATGGACACTTTCCCAGTCGTGCAATTAAATCAGAGTACCCAGACCCTTACACAAGTTCACCTGAGTCCATCATGGGATACTCATACATGGACAGTTATCAGTCTAGCTCCCCATCAAATATCCCACACCTCATTGTGGAACTCTTGAAATGTGAACCAGATGAACCTCAAGTGCAAGGGAAGATTATGGCCTACTTACAGCAGGAGCAAGCAAACAGGAGCAAACACGATAAACTCAATACTTTTGGACTCATGTGCAAAATGGCAGACCAGACGCTTTTTTCCATTGTTGAATGGGCAAGAAGTAGCATCTTCTTTCGAGAGCTAAAGGTAGGACAGTAAATTGTGAGGCTTTTTTTTTTTATGTTTCGTAGTCTTGTGCTCACGTACCTTTAAAAGAAATTTGACATGTGTCTCTTAGCTCATAAATCATTTCATGTTCCTAGGAAAGGGAAGTGATTCATTCTTAATTACCAAATATCATTTATTTTCTTTGTAAATAACTTATTTTTATTAATTAACACAGGTTTAGAAAAAAAAATATTTTTTGTTAATATAGCTCACTATAAACCTAAGCAAAACTCTTTTAAGGTGAATTAGACACCATGGTCATCTTCGAAAAAATGAAAGGAATACATTAGAGTTGTCTTTACGTCCCTGGAATCAATAGGCGTACATTCTCTAAAAATAATTCACCCTTTCCCATGCATACTGCAGTCACTGCTTTACTGTTAAGCCATTAACAGCTGTAGGAGCTGTCTTTGGGTTCACAGAATAGCTGGGCAAAATTAAAGAACAAGGAGGTTTTTCTTGCTTTTTATGGGTACCTCGCTAGGGCTTAGAATTGTTGTTCAAACAACACCTATTTTTGACAATATCCTGCATGCTTCCACCTATGAAACATCTTATGTCAACTAATGTCCCACCCTCTAATGTATTACTTTATACTTACATTAAAGGGACACTATAGTCACCAGAACAACTACAGCTTAATATAGTTGTTCTGGTGAGTATAATAGCTCCCTTCAGGCATTTTCATGTAAACACTGCCTTTTCAGAGAAAAGGCAATGTTAACATTGCCCCTAGGCACACCTCCAAGTGGCCACTCCTTAGATGGCTACTGTTGGTGCTTCCTGGCTCAGGACTGCACAGTAAGCAGCCCTGCCATTCAGCGTCCCCACGTTCTGCATGGAGATGCTGAATTGTTCTCATAGAGATGCATTGATTCAATGCATCTCTATGAGGAGGTCCTGATTGGCCAAAACAGCATTTGCCCCACCCCCATGCTGATTTTAGCCAATCCAATGCTTTCCCTATGGAAAGCATTGGAAAAGGAATCCAGAGAAAAAAATCCCTATGGATTGGCTAAAAATTGGCCATTGTGATGATGTCACAAAGAGCCTGTTAACACCAGCGGACCCGCACGGTGTTGGAAATAAGGTGAGTTTTAAACTTTTATAGGGGGGGGTAAAGAGGGGCAAGCCACTATAGGGCCAGGAATACATGTTTGTGTTCCTCACCCTATAGTGATCCTTTAATAAGCTTACTTCCCATTAAATCACTCCTTGTCACACCTATATTTCTACATGTGCACTATAGCCATGGCTATATACTTAAGAATTTCAGGTTGGTCAATATTTAAAAGGGCACCTTTACCTACTATAGTCTTTAGGGAGCACTCTGGTCTAGCTCTCCTAGTGGAGCTGTACCAAAATAGGAAAGTGGTTATATTGAAAGTTAAGCTGGAGTTTTCTGCTACATTTTTAAAATTGCCAACTTGGCGATCCAAATCTTCTACTGGGATGGAAGATGAAAATTGTACTTAATTGAGGATCAAAAGGAGCACATAGTAAATTTCTACCCGGGACAAATGAACGCACCTCTCCTTTCTTGTTTATAGGCATTGTATTAAAATATTTTAGTGCCCTCTCTCACAGATGTCAATGCTTGGCATGGTCATTAAACTTGGGTACAACTAGAGCATAAAGAAAGTTAAGGATTGTTGTAAAAATAATAGGGATGACAGGGAAGGGGTGAAAAAAAGAAAAATAGATAATATTTATTGAGAATTAGAAGTTAATTTCTCATGGTTCAAAATGTGACTGTACCATGGGCGCCAAAACAAATTTCTATGTGTCCATGGGTCATAGGACGAGGGAAATATGGAAGCTCAAGAAAGTCCAACCTCAAGCTAAATGCGCTGTGTTTTAATAACCCAAATCGAACCATGGACCATTCTTTCACAGTACACTTACACACTCTTAGTTATTGAAAATACACTTTACTGACCCATGGGGTCAGGATTTTCCACAGCAGTGCTGAAAGGATGTTTAATTATTTAGGCTAACAAGTCACATATAATTAGGCAGCTTGAAGTGTCTTAGTTTTTTTAAGTTATAAAAGCAGGAAATGTCTTTAACGGGCTTGATGAAAGGAACGTTCAAGTCTGTTCTTTCAATTACTGAGAGCGCACAGCAGACACAGCAGTCAGTCCATTGTACAAGTCACTAAATTGTACAACTTCCCTGCCAGTTGTTAAAAACAGCAGTAATTTTCCAGCCACTTGTCTCGTTCAGCGAAGATCTGATGTGTATTGATAGTATTTTTTTCCCTTAAAGGTTTAAGCCTTTGTATAGTTTTTTTTTTTGTTTGTTTGGATTCCTTTGCATATTATTATTATTCCCGTAACAGCAATACAGTTTTTTTTGTGTGAGCTATTAATATCACTACCGCTAGTACACAATAGGGCATTTTTTAAAATTTCTTAAATATTTTCTATCATTAGAATGATTTGATTGCATAATGTGACCGTGTGCTAAACCGTATTATTTTTAATGTGATGGACCGTTTTTTTCTGCTATGCTGCTTACAATGGCCACCAATCAATATAATAATTTTTTTATAATACACAAATTATTATTTGATACTGATTTTATGTAGTTGGGTTAAAAATGAGTCTCCAGGTTTGACAGCGAGATATTGGGTAATACAACTTGGATGGAAAACTTATATGTTTCACCGCCCACATCTATATCACAAAATACTTGCCCACTTTAGCTATGAAATTGCTTATTCCCAGCCATTCGTTGCCATTTTTTATTTCACCTTCCCACTCTGTTTTGTGGCTACCCAAATGCCTAACAAATATCAGATAATAGGCAATGTTTACATTGCTGGCTAATTACACCTCTCGTGGCAGTGCTGCACAGTGTGGGAAAGCTTCGGATTAGCTAAAATCATCACGATTGATGATCTAAGCCAATGGTTCCCAACCCAGTCCTCAAGTACCCTGTACCAGTTCAGGATTTAGGGATTACCCTGTTGTGTCTAAGGTGTTTTTTTTTTTCCTTCTAAAAACCCCTTAGACACAACTGGGTAATCCCTAAATTCTGGACTGGTAGGAGGTACTTGAGGACTGGGTTGGGAATCACTAATCTAAGTCATGGAGTCGGGACCAGGAGAAAAGGAGAGTAAAACCACCTTTAACCCCTTAAGGACACATGACATGTGTGACATGTCACGATTCCCTTTTATTCCAGAAGTTTGGTCCTTAAGGGGTTAATCTCCAGAGAGAGAGAGAATGGCCATGGACCCAATACCACATTCCAGCACTATAGTGTCAGGAATACGTCTTTATATTCATGACACAGTAGTGTTCCTTTAATTTCCTAGTTTCATTTACATTTGCCCTGTGATGGTTCTGTGTTACAGCATATTCTTATATTCTATAGTCTTATTGTTACCAACCCGACTTGCATTCTCATTTATCCTGTCCTCCGATTTCTTTGATATGTCTTGTCCTTATGATTTAGCAGGTTTTTACTATTTCAGCTTTCAACTTTAATAATATGTTAAAAAATTCCTGCACATGCATGAAAGATGCATGTAGTCTAGTACTTTGTATATATACCATATATGTGATCCCTGACATCAGCCAGGCCTCATCCCAAGATCAATGAATTATTAAAGGACCACTATAGGCACCCAGACCACTTCAGCTTAATGAAGTGGTCTGGGTGCCAGGTCCAGCTAGGATAAACCCTTTTTTCTGTAAACATAGCAGTTTCAGATAAACTGCTATGTTTACCTATGGCTTAATCCAGCCTCTTGTGGGGGCACCCTCAGGGCACTATAGTGCCAGGAAAACGAATATGTTTTACTGGCACTATAGTGGTCCTTTAACCCCTTAAGGACACATGACGTGTGACATGTCATGATTCCCTTTTAGTCCAGAAGTTTGGTCCTTAAGGGGTTAAAGGAACTTGGTGAGTTATGATGAACATGTGTGTACATACATATATGTACAAGTATAAAAATAATATGAATATGCTTCCACTGCCTATCCTTTGGGGATGAACTGTGATTAAAGGAACACTATAGCTTCAGGAATACAAACATGTATTCCTAATGCTATTGTGCTCTACTGCTTATTTACATTAGAGGACATCCCTAAATATAATAAAAAGAATGTAAATAAAGGTTTTATCTAGTATTTATGCATTGCAGCGTCATTGTCTTTGCAGCCAGTAGCTCCACCTCCTGCATCATCATCTGGACTGCTTCGCTTTCAATGAAATTATTCTCAGAGAATTATTACGAGTGAAAAGCACGTGCCTCGCTTGTCCGTTCAAATGCTTCTCATAGCGTAGCATTGAATCCCATGGTTCCATATGAGCAGTATTTAATGTCGATCAAAGTCCCTATGAATGTCACATGACCAAGTCAAACTCAGTAGCCACAGTGGAAGTGCCGCTAGTGGCTGTCCAGAAGACAGCCACTCGAGTTATGTTTAGCCCTGTGATTGGATGTCTGCTGCATCCAGATGAAGTGGTCTGGATGCCTTTAGTGGTCCTTTAAATAATTGTCAGCCATTCCACATCCAGGGCATGGAAGCCTTGGGTTCTTTCGGTTTATATATTAACATCTTCAGTATGTATTATATTATGCATGAGCCTTTATGAAAGTCAATCTTATTAGGTGGCAATCTATGGTCCGTTTTTAGACAGGTACCTCTTTACTCCTTGACTCATGTTCCTTAGGAAAAAAAATTATTCTCTGCGGGACTGAGCTAATAAACACTGATTATTTAAAGACATCTTGGACTTTAAGAAACACCAAAACAAGAGAGTGAGGATTTTGCTTATGGGTGATTATAAACAGAGGAAATATATATGAATAAAGTGTTCTGGCCCCCTGTCCTATGTTATATTTAGCACTTCCAGTAATATGAGCCAAGCAGGAACAAAAGGAGGGTTAAATATAGAAGTGGTATAATAAATAGCCATGAATATTCCTCGGCTAGTGTTTCCATGTCACAGGGAGCATTCAAAAGGGCAATTACATGTGTCAGGAATGGTTATTGTTATGGCTAGGTTTTAATTAAAGGGACAGTAGTGTTAAAAAATTATCCTTAGGTTCCGTAGAACAAATCTTGATTTGATTCTTTGCCCAGCTATTTTACATTTTGAAAAGTCTTTAACTCAGTTTTCAGTTGTTGAGTGAATCGACAGTCTCTAGAACTACACGTGTGCACATGCGTTAGAAGTGTTAGAAGAGCTCTCTCAGTGCAAGGTTTGTGACAAGTGAACTTAATTTTTTGTCACCCATAGTGGTGATTGCAAGGAAGCATACTGAGGTAGGTTGTCCACATCACAAACTGGGACAAAACCTGGCTAACTAAAGTCAGTGACATGTGAAACTTGTAAAAGGTTATCTGTCAAAATCTTATACAAATAAGTAGGTGCACTATGTTCTAATTGATTACCATGACAGCAAGTCTGGTTATTTCAACCTTGCTACATTATGTGACATGTATCAGATACCATATCAGTTATGCACTATCTGGAGGTTTTTTATTGCAAATTGGGCACTGTCTTGATGCTGGGGCTATATGGCACAGCCGCAGGAGAAATCAGGAATGTTCATGTAAGCTATCCAACACTCACAGGACTAGCAGTGAGATTAATAAATCAGGACAGCCAGCACCTATGATGCTTGCTTTAGAAAAATGCCTAAGGGGTTAATTCCTCTTCACCCTATGTGACATGGTTCAGCTAGAAGGAACTAGCACGTTAAACATGTACCAATGTGCATGTTTAAAGGGCTAGCTACTCCTCTCCCAGAGAAATATACTGTCAGTGTTAGGATGCACTTACCAAGAAGTCAATTGTATAAACAATACAAAAGTAGAATGTTAGGACAAATAATTGGAATTAAGAGTAACTATATTAGACTGTTGTTTGGGAGACACTTTAAAAATAAAGTCTTTGTTTACTTCCTGTTATAAATATAAAAACAAATAAACACATCAATCCCCCCTAAAAAAATACATAAACTAAACACTATTTATTTAGTTCATGAGCCCTTTTTATTTACATTGAGTATCTAATTATGTTACTATTGTATTTAAGTAAAGTTTACTGGTGTGGCTGAGATTACAGTTGTGCTTTCTGTCCATTTATCTGTATAGAAGACAATAGTAAATTAAGCTATTACACTGCTAGATGACCTTGTTGTAATGATGACTGCATTTGATAAAACAAAACACTGTTTTGCAGACATGGTCAGTGGCGGAATGGTGTGTAATACGAGGTCAGTCTTGATTCAATTATTGTTCTCCGTGCTTGGTAGTCTTATGCCTCAATTTGTGATACACTCATGAAGAGGCCAGCTGATACTTCAACATCAGTTTAATTTCAGAAGTGATTTTTATTCCATTGGACGCATTCATCTAATATACATAATAGCCATGTGGGTAAGAGGATAAGGCAGGCACAATGTGTACATTATTAATTTGTGTTCTGCAGCGCTGCCATTTTCAATGAGGACAAGGAGCAATCTCTGGCCAGAATATTACAAGTACCACGGTATACCATGGTGTGTCCATGGCAGGGGCATGAATGAAGAGGCATTTCAGCCTATGTGCAAGTGCTCCAGTAACATTTGATCTCTTTGCCGGGCACCTGGTTTCCTGGTTGCATCCACACCTTGATAACACGTTCAACGTCACCCTTGAAACGAATCGTGTTACTGCTCCCCTATTCCCAATCCCCCTCACCTACTCCCTTTCGTAAGTAATTGTGATCTCTTTTGCAATGAAACGTCAACCTTTTGTAACCTGTTAGTCACTTCACATCTGCAGCTTGTGATATCAGCATTGGAAATATCGATGACAGTCACTGGGCAGTGCTATATATGCTGTATAATTCAGGGCTCGGAATTTCAAACCTTATGCTACTAGACAGGCCTAAATGTTACTAGCCATTGCAAGCCTGAAAGATTGGTAGAAACATAGAATGTGATAAGAACCATTCGCCCCATTTAGTCTGCCCAATTTTCTAATACTCTCATTCGTTCCTAGCCTTATGTTATATCTAGCATAGCCTTATGCCTATCCAACCATACTTAAATGCCCTCGCTCATGGCACACTCACCAGGGGGGGATTTCTATTCACTGACATTCACCCCTGCTGAATATTTACTTGCCAGTGACTAGTAGGCAAGTGGAAGTTTTGAGTCCTGATATAGTATAGCATCTTGTATATGCATTATATATATACACTATATTATGTATTATCATTTCTTTTCTCTACTATAGTATTTGTCATTATATACAATTTTAACCTACATTTAATTTTATTTATTTGGTAAATTATGTGTTTTTAGGATGCAAAACATAATTATACACACAGATCTGCCCTGTTTTGTAATGCATCATATAAAGCATTCAAGTTATGCAAAAAAGGAAAGAAAACAATTAACAAATATATTCTCACCTTTCCTGTAGCTGAACTTCTGAGAGATGGATTTGATAGAATCTTGTCCACCAATGTCCTACAGGATGCATAGTTTATTATTTCATTACATAGGGGTGATAGTACGCTGTAAACTGATAGCAGCCATACTGACAGTCCTATCTATTTATACATAGCACAATTCAGAGCTCTGTGTATGTGCATGTGTTCAGCCACGGCTCCCCTCTCTTTGTATAGGAGAGAGAGAGCCCATCCTTACATGTGAGCACAGAGTGCAGACACACAAGTTGGCCAAATTTGATAAAGCAAAGGATACGTGAAAACTGCGTCTGAACTATCGGACTGACTACAGTGATAATAAGTCAGTTTTAAAAGCGAGTTGGGTGTGGGGTGCAATCATGTAAATCTGTTGCTTAGACTGTCCCCTTAAAAGGAAAATTGTTACTTCCCTGGAAGTTTTAGTATTTTCTTTATTTATCCAAATAGTAAACAAATATGTACTTGTGAGGTGTGAAAATAAAATGAAATGTCGAAATCCACAAGTCTTTAACCTGCAGCTGGGTGCCTCCATCTTGTGCTTTGCACCTATCAGTCAGCATACAAAAAAAGAGGAGACATTAAATACTGTTTCTATTTCTCTTTTTCATTTGCACTGTTTATCCTGGCCTTTGCCTTGTCTGAACTGGATTACGATGTATTTTGCCAAGTCTTTTAATAGATATTTAAAAGAAAACAGAGCTTAGGTGAAAACATGTTAACACAAGTTCTAGGTGAATTGCAATGTTTTATTCCATGGTATAAATTAGTTGTGTTAGCTAGTAACATTGGGAATTGTTTTTTTCTCTCACTTGTCACACAGATAGCAAAGAGAGTTTAAGAGTTACTTTCTGCTGGTTTATATACTGACTAGTGATTCTGTGTACACAGCTATTGTTGCAAGGATTCTTGGCTCAGATTAGGAATGATCTTTCAACTATAATGATTCAAAGAGACTTTGTAGTATTCATATCAAACTTCTAATCTTATCAGGCCTTAGCACTAAAATAAACTTAAGAATGCTGCAGTTCTACTGAAAGAGCTGTAATGTGTGTGTAATGTTTGTACAGATATATCATGATAACTATGGAAATTGGAAGCCTTATCAGTAATATAAAATAATAAATATGCACACATACAGAAATAATCAACATTTTCCTGCTGAATGAAACCAGGTTACTTCAATACAGATTTTCATACCTGGGTGCTGACCTTGCGAAATACGCTATTAAACAAACAAGATTCTAGGATTGATTAATTTTTGCTTACAAATGTAGGCTTAAAGGTACATTAAGCACCAGAACAACCTATACACCTTTCATATTTAAAGGACCACTATAGTGCAAGGAAAACAAACTTGTTTTCCTGGAACTATATAGTCCTTAGGTCCCCCCCATCCTCAGGGCCCCCTCCCGCTGGGCTGAAGGGGTTAAAACCCCTTCAGCCACTTACCTTAATCCAGCGCCGGGCTTCCTCGGCGCTGGTGACCTCTCCTCCCCTCCGATGTCAGCTCCAGAGTGGAGCCGAATGCGCATGCGCGGCCAGTCCCGCGCCCGCATTCAAACCGCCGATAGGAAAGCATTACTCAATGCTTTCCTATGGACGTTCTGCGTGCTCAATACGATTTTCACATTGAGCGTTGCGGAAGCACCTCTAGCGGCTGTCAGGAAGACAGCCACTAGAGGCTGGATTAACCCTGCAAGGTAAACATAGCAGTTTCTCTGAAGCTGCAGGGTTAAAACCTGGGGGACCTGGCACCCAGACCACTTCATTGAGCTGAAGTGGTCTGGGTGACTATAGTGGTCCTTTAAGGCATAGTCCTCCTGACTGTCACTATGTCCCTGCATATATTTACAAAATTCACAATGGTCCTTCTTACGCTGACGTAAGTGGATTCGTCAGTTTCACTTATCAGATCTGATGAACTGCGGCTGAACTACATATCCCATACAACTGTAGACCAGAATGAGAGGCTCCTGATTGGTGAATCCTCTTACTGATCTGTTAGAAGTTTGTCTTCATTAGAAATTTTTATTTCCTTCAAACAATTTGTATGCTTTTACAATTCAAACTAAAATTAACTGATGGTAAACATAGAAACATAGAATGTGACGGCAGATAAGAACCATTCGGCCCATCTAGTCTGCCCAATTTTCTAAATAATTATCCTGTTTGATTCAGTGCTGGCATGCAGTGAAACAAACGTATCTGACAGGGCTCCACCCAGTCCCTCTACATCCACTAGAGGGTTTAAAAATGGCAGCCTTTCTCCTGCACTCAAAATTTATAGCTCTGGATGCGAAACAAGCGAGGGTAGTTTTATCCAATGTTTTGTGATACTTATGGCTCCCACGTTATAAAAATGTTAGTTTTCTTTTTTGACAAAAAGTGATTTGCAGGAGTGTTTTGTAGTTTTAAAACTTGCCAGTTCGTCCTTTAGTTAGTCTGCATAGACTTCAAAAGAAATGCATGTATATATATTAGGTTTGTGTAAATTTCCAAATTTACTGATTACTTTCATTCCTATGGTTACAGCCTCTCCCTTGTTTCCCTGGTTTTTTTTATCACTTGCACATATCTCCATATTTATTCAATAATCAACGATTAATCCCTCAGGGATTGTCTTGATTTCCCTACTCTACAATACAGAACAAGAGACCTACCCAGAAAAAAGATGGTGGATTTGGCATCCCTATTGACAACCTTTCAAGCTGGTAGTGACACACCTATTATATTCTCTGTAAGCAATAATAGCAGACATTGCATTTGGTGTTTATTCACTAACACCATCTTGTAATGAATACAAAATAGAATTGCAAAATTTAGCAAAAAAAAACCCCCAAAAAACTACATGTAGAAAAATGTCCTTAAAACCCGCTACAGTCACAGCTGGACAATGTTAGCCTGAATTTTGCAATTCAGTTCGCCGTTTCTTACAACTGAATGTTTAGAATATAATCCTGTTTTCTGCCGCAGCATGGAAAAAAGTAGCAACGCACACTGCAGTCAGAATCTAAAGGAAAAATTCATAAATATTACATTATGAACTATTCAGCAGTGGGAGTATCCTGGATACAAATCAGTAGAAAAAGCTTCAGAATCTGCCTCCCCCCTTCATTGTAACTTATATACAGTGTGGAAGGACAGTAAAGACTCTGCTTGACTCTGGCAGTGATTGGGTTAAGGTACAATCAGCTGTAGCAAATTATTTTAACTCTCTGTATGCCTCATTTGATCAAATATTCTAAAATCAGAGACACACATTGAGATGTTTATTGCTATTTATAAACCTCACTTTCTCCTTCAAAGGAGCACTAATGTGTTAGGAATAGAAGCCTGTATTCCTAACACTTTAGTGTCTCTATCCCTGGATAGATAGCCTGTATTCCTAACGCTTTAGTGTCCCTGTCCCTGTGTGTACAAAAAAAATTATATAATAAGGATTTTTACTTACGGTACCTTTTTCCTTTCTCTTACCGCTCACCTCTCCGCCTCCAGTCATGGAAGAGGCATTGCCTCCTCTGCGATTGTCCACTCCAATACCTCAGTTCTTCATCCAGGAACATTGGGCACCTTTTGCGCAGTAAGCACCATTCATGCATCAAAGCTTCACCATAGGAAAGCATTAAATCAATGCTTTTCTATGGGGAATTCTGTGTCATATGTCTTGTACTTGGTCTGTGCCACATAAGCGCCTCTAGTGGCTGTCAGCGTGACAGGTCCTAGAGGTGGACTGAACCATGCACTGTAAACATTACAGTTTCTAATAAACTGCAAAGTTTTACATTGGAGGGTTTAAAGTAAAGGACCACACTGAATCCCGACCACTTCATTTAGATGAAGTGGCCTTGGTGACGTTAGTGGTCTTTAACTACATTTAGATGAAGTGGCCTGGGTGACGTTAATGGTCTTTAACTACATTTAGATGACGTGGCCTGGGTGACGTTAGTGGTCTTTAACTACATTTAGATTAAGTGGTCTGGGTGGCGTTAGTGGTCTTTAACTACATTTAGATGACATGGCCAGGGTGACGTTAGTGGTCTTTAACTACATTTAGATGAAGTGGCCTGGGTGACGTTAGTGGTCTTTAACTACATTTAGATGAAGTGGCCTGGGTGACGTTAGTTGTCTTTAACTACATTTAGATGAAGTGGCCTGGGTGACGTTAGTGGTCTTTAACTACATTTATATGACGTGGTCTGGGTGACATTAGTGGTCTTTAACTACATAAAGATGACGTGGCCAGGGTGACGTTAGTGGTCTTTAACTACATTTAGATGTAGTGGCCTGGGTGACATTAGTGGTCTTTAACTACATTTAGATGACATGGCCAGGGTGATGTTAGTGGTCTTTAACTACATTTAGATGTAGTGGCCTGGGTGACGTTAGTGGTCTTTAACTACATTTAGATGACGTGGCCAGGGTGACGTTAGTGGTCTTTAACTACATTTAGATGTAGTGGCCTGGGTGACATTAGTGGTCTTTAACTACATTTAGATGGACGTGGCCAGGGTGACGTTAGTGGTCTTTAACTACATTTAGATGACATGGCCAGGGTGACGTTAGTGGTCTTTAACTACATTTAGATGTAGTGGCCTGGGTGACGTTAGTGGTCTTTAACTACAAAGCCAACAGGGTTATACATAAAAGTGAGAATTCAAAGTGAATTTTAAATGTAAGGTATAAATAGTCAAACTGAAAGCATTCTCTTAGTCTGTTACGCTTGGAGTTCAGCTGCTTTGGCCTTGAATTTGAAATTCACTTTAGTAAATAAATCTGTGTGTGTTTTTGGCTTTTATTTCTACCATTAAATGATGTAGCCTAATCACAAGTCAAATTTCAGTTGTCTTCTCTCGCATTTCTTTCACTTTTAGTGGAACAAATCAAACCATTGTTATCCTGCATTATAGCTCTTGCAATATTATAAAGGGGGGAATTTAAGAATATGTGAAACGAATACAAAATGTTACATAAGATGATGAGGATCCTGCTCGAAAGAGCCTTTAAAATATTATGCCTAATCATTTCATTGGATGATTGTTTTATACTGTAAATTCTTCCCCAGTTACCCTGGAATGAGTCTCCTACCATCTCTGCTAGGAGGCTATTTAAAAAAACTAAATTAAGTGTCCATCTGGAAGATGGCAGTTTTGTATATGACTTGCTGATCTTGGATCCTGTCTTCCCCCATTAGCTGTTATCCTTCTGCCTAGCCACAGCTCCAGTAGCTTAAACCTGTCAAAAGTCTCCCCGCATCATTGACTTTGAATTATCTCAAAGCCCTCCCCGTGTTCTGCATCTACTGCTGTCCTCAATATATGAACTACAAGTAAGAGAACAAGACAAGGGTCGTCCTCTGAAGGACTAGGGGAATACCAGGTGAAGCGTTAATGGACCCGGAGCGTAACCACTCTCTTGATATATGGCCCCCCATCCCAAAGCCAGCATTGCTTTTCAAAGATATATTATTTCATTTGAGCAGAGCCGTCCGAAACTAGCAGCGCTTTTGTCCTGATAGATGATCCTGTGTCCACAATCTGTTCTGCAGTGTGATTTTTTTCTCTGCTGCCCTTTCCTGCAACTCATAAAAATTGTGCTGAGCTCTCTAAGTTTTCTATGGTTTCCCTTTAACCCTTCGGGTCACAGGTGCAGAAAAAAAGCAGAACTGAATTAACGCTAAAACACACATCCAGATGCCTGCCCACACAGTGATTAAGTGAGCCCTACAGATTAAGTACTTTTACCGATATCCAACAAACAAGATTTTGGTAAATAAAATCTGAAACCACAAAGAAACAGCTGATCTGGAAAAAATTTTGAACTTGGGTTTAGTCACAGCTAGGCTATTCTAGCATCATTTTACAATTCAGATTTAGTTTTCTAAAATTCTAAGTGAAAACCCCCCCTTATTTATTGTTATATGTTAGTCAAACATGCTTGCATTCACTTTTCTTCTGAGTGTGTTATTTCTGATGTTGTCACATAACACCATATTTTCTTGGGCACATGACTTCATACTGACGGACAGCACATGAAAAGTCTTGCCCTATTTGTAACATTTGTGCGCTGCTGGAGGGAGTTTGTATATTGATTAATGAAGTGTTTTCCTTCCGGTATCGTATAAATAATGTATATATGAGGGCAGCACTTTTCCACGTTCTGCTTGTTGACACATAGAATTCACATTTTCTGTGAAAACAATATTGCATCTAAAAGCTTTGATTAAATACAGGCGACCCAATTAAGGATATCTTTAAACGGAATCTGTCAGGAGAAATTTGACAGCCTTTTTTTATTGGACAGCTACAAAACAGCTAGCAAAGGAGTAGATCAGTAAATCAGTCAATAAATCAATAAATTAATCACTGAGATCTCAAAGGAACAGATGTGATTACATAACTCATTTCACGTTGGGGTGTTCGTGTATTCCACGTACAGCTGGGCAGTACTTTCAAGCCTTGCCTAAATCCCCAGGCTTTACAGCAGCTGCAGTGAACCACCAGACCAGGAAGAACCATAACCAATCACATTGCTCTCCTTAAATTCAATGGGAGCTGAACATGTCCCATACATTTATAGGACATATAGTTCACCACAACATTTTTCACCTTACTGACAACTCCATTCACAGTTTTTGTGAGTGGACCTATCAGACATGGCTTCTGCCCTTGACCATACAAATTCATAGGCAGGAAGCAAGAAGAAGACATATTCCTCCTGTAGTATCTGTCACTGAATGGGTGGGCTTATAAGCTGCATCTATTTCGTAGATAAGTGCAATTAAAGTACATCTGTAGCGCAAGGCAAAGACATGGACCTCCTCGTGCCATAACCTATGCATCAGTTGTTTTGGTGCTTTTAGTGTCCCCTTAAAGGACCACTCTAGGCACCCAGACCACTTCAGCTTAATGAAGTGGTCTGGGTGCCTGGTCCAGCTAGGGTTAACCCAATTTTTTGTAATAAACATAGCCGTTTCAGAGAAACGGCTATGTTTATGAATGGGTTAAGCCTTCCCCCATTCCCTCTAGCGGCTGTCTCACTGACAGCCGCTAGAGGCGCTTGCGTGCGTCTCACTGTGATTTTCATTGATAATGCTTTCCTATGCTTTTGCCGCCCGTGCGCATTCAGCCGATGGAGAGGAGAGGAGGAGGAGAGCTCCCCGCCCAGCGCTGGAAAAAGGGAAGTTATTACCCCTTTCCCCCTTCCAGAGATGGGCGGGAGGGGGACCCTGAGGGTGGGGGCACCCTCAGGGCACTATAGTGCCAGGAAAACGAGTATGTTTTCTGGCACTATAGTGGTCTTTTAAGTGCCATTTCCAGTTACCGTCATTTCTACGAATTTCTGCTGTTCTTTGCCATTGTCTTAAAGTTGGTGTTGCACAGAGCCTATGGGCATCATTTAGCAGTACGTTTCCAGGTATTTATAGAGTGTGCGCCAACGTTACCTGGTATGTCCCACTCCCAGATTAAGACAATTACCTTGAGAAAAGTCGTTCAGGTTGTTCTTAGATGTAGTTTGCACTAAAAATAAAAGAGAAGCGCATCATTTTATAGAAGTGTTAACAACTTTGACAACTTTGGTCTCGCGGTCTGGTATATCTTTGTTTATAGCATTAAACCTAGTTACCAGTCTAACCTTTATTAGGAATCTTTCCTAAATGCCTGACTATGTTTATAGATACAAAGTCCAACAGGCACATTTTGTGTTAACTCTTGGATCGTACTGTGGATATGTGAAAACTTTCTCTTGAATAGCTTACCTTTACTTGCAGGCAACTATAGTGTTAAAACCATAGGTTAAAGTACAAGAAAGTTGATGATCCAGTTATAGAAGTATAAACGCAAAATATACTTTTGTTTCAACATATAATTGTTTAAGGATCTCTAGATAAAAGGTTGATCTAAAACATGAACGATGAAAGAAGTACTGTCTCATAGGGGCTTTACCAGAGATGTGCATACATCTATCCAAACTGATTTCATAGTCTTAATTGCCAAATGGAAATCCTAATTTTAATCCTGGCATTCACATGAAACACATTTTAAAAACTGCATTAAACTTATTACAGCCCGAAAGTCAGTGTGCTTGCAGCACGCTGGTTGAAATGCATTGTATTAGAATATACTATAGTGGTCAATGTGCAAGAAAAACCTTATTGGTCTTTGAAACCACAACACAAAATGCACAATAGATGTTAAAGCTTATATATGTGTGTAAATTAGTCACATAAAACACACACAACATCAAAAGGATATAAAGGCGAAACGAGTTAAGGCAGCAAACGTTTTTTTTAAACTTTTCATAAAAACTGATGGCTGGATTCTTGTAGCAGAGTAAAGGTTTCCCCCGCTTAAAAGGATACTATAGGCATCAAAACAACTTTAGGTTATTGGAGCAGTTTTGGTGTATAGATTATGCCCCTGCAGTCTCACAGATTACTTCTTTTCTGGTTCTGCCCATTCAGCTCTAGCCACACCTACACAGGTGTTAACTTACTGTAGAAGTTTTTATCTCCTACTCGGTAAATTTAACTTCAATTATACACAGGAGGCTCCTGCGTGTCTAGAAGGTTATTAAAGAAAAGAAAAGAAAATCTAAATTTAACAGAATTTTCAATGAAGGAAGTTTAAACATTAGATAACTCTTTACAGGAAGACTATGCAGGTCACATGAAACGAGGTGTGACCAGGACTGCATGAACAAAGTGATTTAACTCCTGAAAAGCAGTAAATTTAGCAGTGAGACTGCAGGGGCATTCAAGATAATCCAGTTTAGAATCTTTAGGAAAAGTTCTTTTTTTGACTATGTTGAAATTTCTTTGAAACACCAAGGCAAATCAAAAGATAAAATAAGAACAATGTAAAGATTATCTTGGCTCACCTGATTGGCAATCTTTGGCAAAAGGCAGACTGATAGGAGTAAGCATTATCTTGTAGGAAGCACAGTAAATTAATTTGTGAAAGATTATCTGTGGAAGGTCTTGTGGGATCCTCCTTAGACTTCATTTTGTATAATTGCCCATGTGTGAGAGTATAGTAGTGATGATGGCTCGCAGGTGATGAAGTCACTTAGAGCTAAAGAAGTATGACATCATCAAAGAGGGACAGAAAAAAACAACTCTGTCACTTGTTAACTCCCTCTAGCGCCTGCTCTCCCTCCCCCCATTGTCCCTCTCCCACCCCCGAGCTCCCAACCATCTTTTTTGGTCCCAGGACCATTGCAACTTACAGGTTTTATTGATGTGCTAGTCTAAGATGGCAAATGGAAATGCTATCGTCTGCCCTCCACTGGGTGTACATGTGAAATCATACGCATGCCCAGTACATCACATACAGTTTGGCACAGACATTTGTTGCTCACGTGAGAGCAAGCACTGACGATTAGTAACGCAATGTTGCAGGAAAATGAGTATTCACCAAGATGGCCAATGACAAAGTTGTGGAACTTGACTAACGTTTTACCCTTTGTCAACCTGTCAGTTATACAAAAAAGTAGTCCCACTGTTGCTATATGTTTATTCAGTCATACGTTTCTTATTTTTAAATTAAGTGCCCCAACACTGTTTATATAATTTTGTTCAAGAGAAATAGGACTTTCATTTCACATCAAATGAAACATAATATGAATAAAATCCCCCAAAATGCAAGAAATTAAGAAATTTAATTTTTCAACTGTGTGGCATTCTAACTGTGAGTGTCATAATACTGTTAGCTTTTACTGCAATAAAATACACATATTTGTATGCGATGATGTTCACAACTGCAAGTTTTATTGCCTTTGGAAAGTAACAGAGTCAAATATAGGGCTTGCAAATTAAATTCTCTGGTATTTATATATATGTTACTTTATATAAAATGGACACTATAGGCACCCAGATCACTGCAAACATTGCAGGCTTAAGCGTGCCTCTAGTGGCTGTCTAGCACATAGCCACTAGAGGCGCTTCCTGACCTTGCACAGAGTGAAATGGCGCTGGACGTGCTCATGCTTTGCATGAGAACATCCAGTGTCTTCAAAATTCCTATAGAAAAGCATTAATTCAGTGCTTTTCTATGGTAAAGGTCTAATGCACTAGGTTCCCCGGATCGGGTAACATGGTAGCAGGACGTGGAGCACAAGGGCTTGTAACCAGGTTAATTTATAAAAGTGTTAATTTCTATTAAAATCTACACTTTTTGCAAAATGAAAAAATGAGGACACACTCTTTACACAAAACGATTTTCACCAAGCTAAAGTGCTTTAGGGATCTGGTGTGTTGCTTTAAGGTCATTTTATCTCCCTAATTGCCTCACCCTCAGAGATCTAAATACAATACAAATGGACAAATGGACATGATACTTTGTGGGATCTTTCCCAAAAAAATGTCAATGCCACTGTAACACTCACCCATGCAGCATTATGCTGTAGGTGCATTATGCCTAATGATGGCTCACCATATGTCAGGCTGGCTGTGCATCATGGGAAATGTACCTCACAGATATCTGGTGTGCCATGATTAGCCATCATTGCTAAGGGTGGCTGTAACAGAGCTCGAACTCCAACTATAATGCTTTGCTAGCTTTATGTCTGGTAAAGCAGTTTGGGCACTGTAGTTGCTGTGGATCTACCTTTGGTCACCCCAACATTTAAGGGATACTCTGTGCAACTTAACCACCGCAGCGCACTGTAGTTGTTATGGTGTCAGGAGTACCCTGCTGCATTTGGCCAGTAAACCATTTCCAGGAGTTTGACACTTACCAATCTCCCTTGGATGCCCATGCAGCTTCTGTGCTGAGATGATATTCTATAGAAGAAATTCATACTTGTATATTATCAGATCAGCTCATACCAAGTTTAGACAAAATTATATGGCTGAGTGTGTCAGCTGATGGCCAGATAACTTGGTATGAGTTGGTATGATAATGTGGAAGCATGAATTTCTGCTTTAGCATAGCAGCTTCGATCAGAAGAACTGTGCGTGCCCACCAGAAAAAGATATGTGTCAAACTATTTGTAAACAGCCTGACAGTCTACTGTTGAATGATGCCTGGGGACTCCTAACAACAAAACAACTACAACACGGTGTAGTGGTTTTGATCCTTTGAATATCTCTTTAGCATTATATCACAAGGATATTGAACACTTGTGTCTGCAGCTGCAGTGCGTTTAACCTCTTCAGGACTTGTGATATGTCCGGAGTATCAAAACCACAAGATTTTCTGAACCATTGTCCTAGGGTTATTTTAGCTGCAGCTTTTTATCTAAAAAGTAGAGCGAGTAGCAGATTAATGGCAATTAATTAATACAAACATTTGCCGGCTAAATGCTGTTTAATTGCGGTTTATTTGTAATAGTAAGGAAAATATTAGAAAATCCACATGCAGTGCTGTCAGTGGCATGCTACAATACCGTTCCCTATGGTGCTTAGATATTTAGATCCACGGTGTGCAAATTATCATGTTTTTCCAGCCAACCTTCTAGATCCCCGGAGATGCCTCCAAAGAATTGTAAACTATTAATGTCAGATAGAGAAGAACTGGTGGACTAGGATATGGGGCATGTGGTGTACGCCCCACCTGAAACCTCATTGAGTTAATATTAATAATTCTGTTCTCACAGCACTCGCTTGATGTAATTAGCTTTGTAAAAACACTCATTAGTGTCTCTTCGACTGCTCCAAATAAGAACCCTTAATTAAATTCAGAGTAAGCGGGGGTCAAGACGATGTCACTGTAAGGCAGCAGGGGATTCCACCATTGCTTGGTTTCCTCTGTATGTCATAATATATGCAGTAGATGGGCTGGTGTCTTGTATCAGTATGCGTTGGTAAAAGATATTTATTTCGTCAGTGCTATTAAAAATCAATGAAGTACACTTACCAGTTTAAATTAAAGGAACTGCACGATAAGAATTTTTGTTTCTTAGCAATGAAAATCCATCCGAATCTTATATGACCATTATTTTAAAACATTAAATATTGGGTTTAATTAGTAACATCTGATAACTGGGGTTTACTCACTAAAGAGAAAAAAGATGGAGATTACAAGGGAGAAGACAATTTAAGGGAAAAATAGAAATCCCCAATCTTGGCTGTTTTTCTATGTTAATAATTTTTCCCTAAAATTTGAATTTCCCTTGTCTTTACGTGGTTTAGTGAATTATTCTCACTGTATACATGAGTCACTACCTGATTAATTGACCGCTGTGTAAAACCTCTTCTAAGACAGTCAAAAGGTATAAAACTGAAAAAAAAACACTTCTACAACACTACTTCTAATTCTTTAATGCCGACTGAATTTCAGGTGTTCATATACTGGGCATCTTATGTGAATACACATATTTTTAATTAATATTAGTTTTTTTGCCATATCTTGACACCGGCGTATACCAAATAATCAAATCATGTGTATTGATTGACTACTGACACGAAGGCAAATGTATTATTGTGCTTTGGCTTAATAGGACATGACAATCCTGGGATTTCAGGTTTATAAATTAACCTCTTAATGGCAGAACTTTCCCTAACTCGCTTGTCCTGAAGAGGTTAAATTGGAACATCTACATGTTATTTTTCATTATAATTACTTATTTTATTACCATTTTTAAATGGTGAGAAATATTTCAAAGGCCAAAATGTGCGATATGAAGTTTTATAAGTTAAGTAAAAGGAAACTCTGTCCAAAGTGCATATTTGTATGCAAATGATTGAATATTTCTTAAGCCATATATACTTACACCAGTTGCAGAACTGGCCTCTGATGTGATGAAGATTAATCCTCTATTTGCCCATCACTTACTTACTTGTTAATGTTGAGCATTGTCCAGTCCCATGTTTCTCATAGAAAAGCATTAAAATCACAGCTGTGCCCCTCATGGCCACTAAAACTGCAATGGTTTACCTTGCAGGATTATAACTACTAGGCCCTGCACCCAGACCACATCATTGTGATAAAATGGTCTCAGTGAATTTAGTGGTTCTTTGTGATGTGACCATTAAAATAACTTGTCATATTGAGCTATTGTGAACTAAATTGTTTAAATTGTTTTTCATAAGCCGTGCAGCAAGATGCATATTTAAACTCCCACAGCCTCACCCAGAATAACACCGAGAGTGATAGGTCTGTAGTCCAGCAGGGGCAACTTCTTGCTCTAAATTTGATGGAACATAAATTCCTAACAGAGTGGCTTGTGTTTTTTTTCTCCTCTGACCTCTGCACCTCTGTTTTTTTCTTTATCAAGGAAGGGATTAACAAAAGTTGCCCAGAACAGATATTGCTATCCAACAAGATGGTGTTTCAGGTAGTTGATTGACAGTCCAAGGAGGTGGCCCTACATACATATGCTCCATAACCACTTGATAAAGATAAAGTGATTATGGTGCTTAGAGTGACCCCATCGGTCAGCCTGAATTTTTTAAATATTAATGCGTGATGTTTTAAGTTCATCGATAGGTAGGAAATTGAGGAGTATAGTATTACAATAATTTTGTCTGTTTTGACTAATGCAAAACCCATTACAGTAATGAATTAAGGCAGCTAAGTAAAGGACTGGCTGCTCATAATAGAACAGTTATTCTGGGACAGGAATTCCTATTGTCAGGAAGAAATTACGGACCATTTTGTGACACTGCACGCTATTATTTGTTATCGCTTTAAAGACATGGAATATATCTCAGGAATGTTCTGTTTTGTTCTTCCGTATGTATTTACGCATACACTGTACATTACTGGTATTTTGTGTTTTTACATCCCCTTGAGACTGTTTGTAGCATTGTGATGCTTGCATATGTGATGGAGAATTTTGGAAAAATATCTGCATATGTCTCTTTTGTATTATCTGCCTTATTAATAGCATTCTGATAAATATCACATCTCGAAGAGATTCCAAAGCCCAAACTTCAATCTTCAGCACCCTGTATACTCTGTGGGGTAAAGCAAGAACAATGCAGATAAGGAAAGATTCCAAGTCAAAACCCTGTTACCATACATGCATACATTATTTATATAGGCTACATTACGTTAGCAGGTTAAGTGCAGGGAATACCATACATATGGATGCATTATGATAGGAGATACCCGACTCTAAGGTCTGGGTGTTATTTGCTGTTCATAATTCATTCACACACACAAATATAAACATGGTGAATCTCTAAATGGGAAATTGTCGGGGGTTCACCAGTGAATTGCAAGTTTTAGTTCAAAATAACCAAACTGATAGAATTCTCCAAATTAGCTTTGTTTCTAGCTCAATTCATGGTTTTCTGAATAAACCCCAGATTGTGATAGTTTTTACCAGCTCCCAAAGTGTCAAGGTAGGAACGCAACTTTCTGAAGTGACAGACACCAAAACTTACGAGACTGAAGGACCTGTGACCTCTTTAGAGCAGCTGTTTAAAGGGAACTTCTACTTCCCAAGATTTTTACTACTCGATTACTAATACTCTGTATTTAACAAATATGTATTTGTAAGCTGTGAAAAATAGATTTAAATGTTGAAATCCACACCTTTTTATCATACAGCTGGGCGCCTCCATTTTAGTTTCCAGTTATTCACTGTTATAAGCTCCGCCTTTGCACTTGGCAATCAGCATAGAGAAAGTAAACAGAGAAGAGGAGAAATTAAACAATGTTTCTATTTCACCTGCTAATTTTGCAATTCTTGCCTTGACTGTGCCGGTGTTGTCATATAACATACTTGTTTTCCTGGCACTATAATGCCCTGAGGGTGCCCCCACCCTCAGGGTCCCCCTCCCACCCGGCTCTGGGGAGAGGAAAGGGTTAAAACTTACCTTTTGTTCAGCACCGGGCGGTGAGCTCTCCTCCTCCGATCCTCCTCCTCTCCTCCCCTTCGGCTGAATGCGCACGCGCGGCAGGAGCTGCGCGCGCATTCAGCCGGTCTCATAGGAAAGCATTCATAATGCTTTCCTATGGACGCTTGCGTGTTCTCACTGTGATTTTCACAGTGAGAAGCACGCAAGCGCCTCTAGCGGCTGTCAATGAGACAGCCACTAGAGGATTTGGAGGCTGGATTAACCCTAACATAGACATATAAAAAAAAGGGTTAATCCTATCTGGACCTGGCACCCAGACCACTTCATTAAGCTGAAGTGGTCTGGGTGCCTAGAGTGGTCCTTTAACCCCTTAAGGACACATGACATGTGTGACATGTCATGATTCCCTTTTATTCCAGAAGTTTGGTCCTTAAGGGGTTAATATGAATATAAAAGAAAATGTATCATCACATGAAAAAATATTAATACACGTTACAAGTGATTGTAATTGTTTAATTCAGTAACTTTAATTCCAGAGAAGTGATGGTTTCCCCTTTTAAAGGGAACCCATAGTCCCGGAAGTATTTGATCGGTTCCCTTCTGTCAACCCTCTTTGCTACTGTTGTGGTGATGTCAACATCCAAGACAGACTTACTATTAGAACCTCATAGCATTAATAATGAACAGATCTAGAAATTAAAATAATTGCTTTAAATCAAAGACTCCCCCCAAAGGTAAGATGTGGTACTGCAGAAAAGCAAAACCACTTGGCCCAATACTAAAATTATACAGAAATCATAGAGTTATTTGTCCCGTTCTTATTCTGTCTCAAGGATTAAGTCTCTGTTGTGTTTTACAAGCAATCAGCTGTTAAAGTACCTGCTTTGTTGGCGCTTTATAAATAATAGTAATAATAATAAAGATGCCTTGTTTAGAGTTCTAAGGTCTACCATAATAGTGTTATTTAGCCCCTAAATGGATCTGGTATTAAAAACATGTCTTTTTAAATTCCTTGTTGCTTTTAAGCTGTCATTTTCAGAGACGTGCATTAAGGAATATCGGACTGTGCACTTCAATTTTTATTTTACTTCCAGACAACCCTAAACTGCTGTTTATATAGATGATAGGTACCTAATATTTGTCTGAATAATTGATTGGATGATGAGACGCTCATAATTAGTTCCTAGCAAAGCTGTGGAAACCGCAGCCTGTCAGTCTCCGAGCTGTTTTAATTTATTAGTAATATATATAAGGGAAACATATCTTGTGGTTAACGGAAAAGCTTCCCTAATTTATTCCAGGGGGATAATTAAGGATTACAGTGGTGTGAACAAGAAAAATGTTGACTTCTCAAAGATTCTCAAAGCATCTAATTTCTCATACATTTTACCCCAGGATTTATATCTGATGAAGCCAGGAGCCTTAATTCATCTGAATTAACCAATTTTTTCTTACAAATTACCTTTTTTTATTTAATAATTAGCTGCAACATTCCTCCTAACATTTGAAATGATCAAACAAAGGATTTTTTTCCAGATGTCATGTCACATTTCAGAAACCTTTGAATCGATTTCATGACATATATATAGCATTTATTTAATTCAGTCAGAGCAAGGCATGCAAATCTTATTAAACAAATACATTTATATCCTCCCCCCCACCCGCAAGCACAAAAAGGGTTAAAACTCTTCCCCCCCCCCCCCCCCCCCCGCTCAACCTAATTACAGCGCCAGTGTCACTCCACGCTGGATTGCTGTACTCCTTTAGTGTCGTCACAACGATAGAGGACCTAATGCGCATGTGCAGAGTGTTTCGCGCGAGCATTAGACTTTCTTTCTTAAAACGTTTTGAATCAATGGTTTTCTATGAGGAATTTGAAGACACTGGACGTCATCAGGCAAAGTGTCTTCCCACTCTGTGAGAAGCCAGGAAGCTCCTCTAGTGGCTGTCTGGGAGACAGGCAGAAGAGGTGGATTTAACACTGCAATGTTTACAAGTTGCAACGTTTTTTTTTTTCGTAAATATTTTTTATTCACAGAATTTTCTTAAAGTACAGTTACATCAATAAGAAAACCATTCTGTATTGACATATACAAGGTTGGTTTTGCAGAATTCTTATTTCTCATATGATCATTTCTGAGATTCGCAGGTCTCAGATTTTCTATAGAACATTAGGTCAACATGTATCAGTTGAAAAATTAAACTGCATTGTTTTAAACTGAGTAAAAGACCCATGGACCCTGCACACAGACCAATGAGATGAAGAAGTCTGGGTACCCATAGTGTCCCTTTAAGCTGGGTGTGCATTGTTGGGCTGATAGTCCATAGGTGCTAAAGACATTGTAAAATACATTGTGTTTTATACTAACCTTCACTGTAACACTCGATGTTTACTGCTGTAAGTTAAAGAGAATTGTGACCAAATTATTTGCTGTCACTTCACAAAAGCCTTCCCCCTCCCAACTCCCATTGTTTCTTGGGGGAATAACACAGCGGACTAAGTGAAAAACTTAACCCCACTGTACTTTTTTGTAGCTTCGACTTAGTTGTCCTGTAAAGCCACAAGTGCTCACTCAGGCATCTAACAAAGAAATGCTGTATGTGCACATGCACCATGCATATATGTAAGTGCAAGATTTTACAAACTAAGACAATAAGTTATTGGCATGCAAATTAAAATTAACTGCTAAAAACTGTTATTAGGTTGCACAAAGATTTAGGAAATGCCCATTTTTAAAGGTACATCTAGACAAACATATGTGCAGAGCGTAAGTCACCACAGCCAAGTAGAAAAAAAAAAGAACAAAACAATATTTCACATGTAAAGACAGATTTATAGATTGAAAAATAGTCAACTGGATTATGTTTAACCCCTTGAGAAGGACATTGCTTATTCACTAGCTTTTCAGAGTTTCAAATGCACTGGAACATAATTAATTAGTAATATTAGATCACCATATTCTGTTTAGTTGTGTTGTTTTTTTCATCTTGCAGATTCGGAATATAAGCAATTCTTTAAGATTCAAACAATATTTAGAATTGCTGGTCATAATTTTTTTCCAGCAATTAAAATGTGCCCTGTAGTCATGCCTAAGGAGGTTTAATAGAAGTCAAAAATCCATACATGTCATAATTTAAAAAGTTATAATTTGAAATCCTATGAATGAGGTCGTCAGGGAGGATGAAAGTTCAGAGGTCAAAGCGATGAAAACCTTTTTTTCCCGTTCTAGTATGGGGCTCGGATCAATTTCCTTGCTTTAGGTTATTGATCTCACTTCCATCGGTATATCTCGTCCTAGATTGATTAACATGCTTGTGATATTGGGTGGATGAATTTCTGACCCTGAACATCATAAAGGAGAGGCTGGGTGACAGGGTGTCCTGATCTATTGTGATACTGATATTGGCGGTTATTGTGACTCGGTTCGCTGGGCATGAAATAAGAAGCAGGGAGTTATAGCAAATATCGTATGGGTCAGAACACGGCCAGCACATAGGTGACACTTGCAAGTGACAATCCCTCTTAGCATTCTGAAAGATCAATAGTATAAACAAAGTTGCAGTGTCATTTCCTTTCTTAATAAGATATAATGGGGATTAATACGTTTTCTTAGCTACTTCAGTTTCTTTTGGAACGTAAAGGTTCCTGGTTAATGGTGATGTGTTTTAACATATTGGACTGCTGGGATCTGCAGTTTCCAACTTGTGATCACATGACTGCTGCTTGATATGGTGAGACTGGAAGGATCATAGTCATCTTAGTCTCTCTTTATGTATGTTACAAATATCCTCTGGTCCTCTGCTCTTTAATGGAGCTTAACGTTTATCTTTCTTTCTTTATTTATTTACTTATTTTAAACAAGGCGATGCCATCTGGGCTCCTTACTTCTGCACTGAATTTTCTCTATAACTTTTTTTTAATTATCAAAGGATCACACTCTCGGTCACTTAGAAGAACAGTGAAGTAACACAGGACGTTGCCTCTGATATATGTGAGTCGAAATTATGATTGGATTCACAACCAAGGGATCTTGCATTCTGACTCCCATAACACTCCAATACTTCCTCGGGCAAGACTAGCTATCCATGCCAGTGTCCTGGAGGTCAATTTGGCCAGAGTGGCTGACCATATAAGAGCAAGGTGGTAGAACCAGTTGCTATTAAATATTTGAAAATTATGTATATAAGTAAAAATGAGGCGTTGATTCATGCATTCACAAATTATTTTTTTTTGTATTACATTTCTTTCAATACATAGGTTAAAATGCTTCTACGTGCAGTTATGATATATTGCTGATCAGCTAGCTCATTTAGTGGTGGATTCTTTAAATCAAGCTGAAAATCAGAACTCATAGATCTACAACAATAAGAGGTATGCAGACTGGCAAGTCCCCCATTTATCTTCAGTAAATTCCACTGGATGTGTTGTTTTTGTGAGTAGTCAGGAACAGAAAATCTTGTATGAATGATCATCTTTCTACAAATGTGCACACCTGTGCGTACATTGAATGTATCAGCACTCCAGACATGTTTACAGACAAATTTTACTATCTTTTTCCTTCAATTTGTCTTTGGAAACATAGATGATGTTAGGGACAGAAAATGTGTCATGATGAAAATTCCTTCTCCTCTGATCTCATAGCACAGGAAGGAAACCTTGTAATATACAGGAAGAATCCTGTCTCTGCAACACCACTCTATACCACTTTGGCAGCCTCACTGCATAACAATATACGTGTATACATTATGTATATACACAAGGAAGTTAAATCGCACCTACTCTCAAAACCAAGTGTCAGGTGGTGGTCTGCAGAAAAATAAACTTGTCTATGGCCATCTATTAACCCTTGTTTGGTTAAGTAAGGGCCCATCTTCTCCTACATTATGTGTAGGATGTGTTGAATATATATGAGATGAAGGGCCATATGGACCCTTCCTGACTACACAAGGCTGTTGAATTAGGGTTATTAAAGTTGTGTGAGGGCCCTACCCCAGAACCTATAAAGCAGGTATTGGAGCAGTCTACCATCATTGTATTTACTCACCCCAAGTCCAGAAAATAAATGGGTTATTATGTTTAGTATATGACCCCCTTTTAACTGTTCTTCCATTTACCATGGCCTGGGCTGTTTGAAAGGAGAGGTCAAATACTAGACCAGGATGTTCCCAGTTAACTCTTATGGGGCACATAATAGCGCTCTGCTTAAAGCACTTTTGGTCTTGTTACTTCCTGGTTTGCATAAACTCAAGAGGCAGCAATTGACCAGAGCACCTACCTGGAAAAGACTTTTAATTGAGCTGCAATAGGAAGTATGTGATTGGACAGTCTGGGTTGTATTAGAAGGGGGGAGGGGGCGGCGGGCTGTAAAGGCCACAGTCTATTGGCTGTTGTATCTCTTCCCCCCACTCACGCCTGGTGGGGTATGACAAGTCAGAAAAAAGCCATTGCTCCCTATTAACCATGAGAAATCATGTGTACCCTATACTCAAACCCCTTTCAAGGGAGTAGACATTTGTTTAATAGTTACAGATTTCTTTGAACCCTGCAAAACAAGTGTGAATGTTCCAAGATTCCTTACTACTCAGGAGGCTACCTACACCTCAATCACCCCGTGGAGCTCAATGAAAAATTCCGGCATTGCTGGTTTTACAAGTAAAAAAAGTCTGATCCGTGACACATCTACTTCTAGAGTAGGACTTAAAATAATATCATGTTGGTTGCTTTCTACACTCCATACCAGTCCAGATTTTCTCATTATCCCTATTAGAATATAATTGAGATTTCCCTAAATACTGAACCTTTGTAACACTGAATCATGTGTAACTCTGAATTATCTGGCTGAAACCATGATTAATGCGTTGCATTTGATGAGAGCAAAAAAGGAGATTTTTTTTACACTACATTTTTCTCATATGTTTACCAAAGTTTTGCTCTTTCGAAAAAACAGGACATCTGTAATCATTAACAATTTGCCCCTGGGAACACTCACCTCTCTAACAATACGACTCCTGTCTGACTCTCATTCTTGCACACGACATCAATACGGAGAATTCTCACGTCTTTGCGGCTCAAGATAATTCTGCCTCCGTCCTATAATTAATGAGATATATATTTTCTGGGACTCTGGGGAGAGCAGCTTATTTTCCCATAGGACAGTACAGCTGCTTTAACAGTCCTGTACTTAACCATTTTACTGCCAATTTGCCAAGACTGGAAACCACAAAACCTAGCCTTTCGCAATTATTAATGTAGCTATCAATCACTTTCTCGTCATGTTTGCCATTTTAAGCAATTCTCATTATTTGATTTCTATATTTATTAAATGTGTATTTATTTTATTAGTACATTTTTAGAATCTTTACATGGAAGGTGTCCATTCCAAATACACTTCTAATTTGTGCAATATATTTAATTATACACCTGCTAAGAATGAAATGTGTGCAGCCACTAGTTTGTTTTTTCTTTTGTTTTTATTTCTAAATAATAATAATTTCAATAAATTGCCAGGCTTTCTGTGAGGCAACATATACTTCACACTTTTTAAATGTAAACATATATTGCACCATCTACTTGTATACATAAGCATATTAATTGATGACGTCACAGATTCCAATGGACTAAGTTACTGAATAAATAAAAATGTCTGGTAATTGGTACATACACACCAGATTCTCTCATATAGGTACTACAGCAAATTGTGCCACAGATGCCCTCTTAAATATAACCAGGCCTGTAGCAGTCACAATATTCCATTGAACCAGGGCTGTTAAATTCAAACTGCATTGAGAATTTGTATGTTCAATATGCAGGTGGACGACCAGATGAAGCTTCTCCAGAATTGTTGGAGTGAATTGTTAATCTTAGACCATATATTCCGGCAAGTTCTACACGGGAAGGAAGGTTCCATTCTTCTAGTGACTGGCCAACAAGTGAGTACTAAATTATGTGTATCATTTAACCATTGACAATTAAAGGGACATCCTCTGAAAATCCACTGCCCTTTAACCTTCAGACCCTGAAATATAACTTCCTATGTACTGTTGTATTATATTTGGACCGGTGGTAGGCAACCTTCAGCACTCCAGATGTTGTGGATTGTATCTCCCATAATTCACTTACATGCTGGCAAAGCACTAGTGGAGATGTAGTCCCCAATACCCTGAGTGCCGAAGTTTGCCTACCGCTGATAGATGGTTATTCTGTATACTAGCTTTGCATTTTATTAACTGATAAAGCATTCGTTCTTTACTGCAATTATTCACACCTACCTATATTTTTTATTCAGCAGTGTATATTTACAGGTTTCGTAGAAGAAGATCTACACTTGTTGGTATTCACAGTGCCTAAATGGTGTGTTTACTAACTGATACATTCTTATTAAAATAATATAAATGTATGATTTCTGGCAATCACGATTATGAGAATAAAGCTTGCGTTACTGAATCCAAATTCTTATATACTTAAGAATGATAATTCAAACATGTCAGTAGCGCTGTTGTTTAAATAAAAGTAGCAAAAGGGACATATTTTCTCATTTCTACCAGGCTGCAAACTTGCTTTCTTTCAGTGTTACAAATTTTGTGATGACAGCTGGGTTCAAGGTTCACACTTAGTGTATAGACTGTGAGTCCTTCCCTCAGTAAGCAGCACTCACAGTACAGACTGACTCAAAGCGAAGTCTTGTGGTCCATCCTCAAACACAGTGCAGTCATTAAAGGCAGATACTAAGTGGCTGTGGATTTGTGTCTAGCACTGAAAGCAATCAATCTGTTTATCAGATTTGCATATCATGTCATGACTCAGGAGATGATAGCATGTTTGACATCACTGAAGGTCATGTTTGTGTACTGAGTGTACAGAAGATTAAATCTAGACTCAGCAGACTGGGATATCTTGATACACAGGGATGCAGCATTCTATATTAAACCAGAGAATTGACTTTTCTAATAGTGAGACAGGCAGTATTTATTGACATATTATATTTTCAGGAACCAGAACAGAATATGTTATGCAGATCTCCTGAGATTTATATTATTCCAAGTAGCAGACCGCATTCACCCATCCAACCACATACCCACCCATCCTAAAAATCCTGCATATAGCTACTATCTTTCTTGGCTGGTTAGAGCAGTGGTAGCATCCCTGCCTTAGAACTGAGAAACCCCAGTTTGAATCCTGTTCAGACCCCTTTATCAGTAAATGTTGGTGGACGAGACACCTAACGATATTAACCTACCTCAAATCTTCTTAGATTGTAAATTCATTTTAGCACCTTTCTAGAATTGTGAATAGTATCCCTTTTCCTCACACTTTTATATTCTTGCAACCAATCTTCTTCCTCCTTCATTACCTCCGTTCCTGACCCCGTTTCTTTCTCCCACTTACTCCTTTACCCTGCTCCAACACTTGAACTTTCTTAATCTTTTTTGTCATTTTAGCACTTCTTTGCTGGATGCTTTGAGCATCTTTTAAATTTTTTGGCAGCAAAGCCAGAATAAAGAGGTCTCTCTGAGCTAAAGTACCCCAGGTGAACCAGATGAGCTCTGCCAAAAATGATCAGAGCTGGACTGGATACAACACACATCACTATCAGGGTTATTTACTGAAGAAAGAAATGTCAGACATTCAAAGTGAATTTCAAATTTAGGGCCAAAATATCCAAATTGCAAATATTCCCCCTATGCTTTCAGTTCAGCTAATTTGGCCTTAAAATTGAAACTCACTTAGAGTTCCTGCCAGCTCTCACTTTTGTGAATAACCCTGTATATTGATAATACTACCTATAATAAATATATATTTTATATTCCAGCATAAATAAACATCCTCAGACATAGATGTAACTGCAGCAGAGTGGTAAACCAGACAGAAAACATATTCAAAATGACAGAAAATATAAATGCAAAACAGAAAATATATTTGCACTTATTATGAATGTTAACACACGTTTTTATTTGTTCCAATATGACCATTTAACTCATACAGACAATAGAACTGCTGTACAATAACACAGAATTCAGCATTTTTTGGGTGCACAACACACACATACTAAAGTAAGAATTTGGGTATTTAAGTATTAGTTCAGTTTGGCTATTATTTGAAATTTACTTTGAATTCCCTGCAATTCTCCCCTTAGTGAATAACCCTGACAATCTAAAGCAATGTCTCCCCCTCTGCTATTCTTGGAAACGCATTCTCTGTATTGCAACAGGTGCACATTGTCGCAGCTGCTACTGACACACTCAACCTGTCACCTGTTCTCATGTGTGCGTTTCACAGGCAAAAACACAACTCAATGTGACCTGACGAATTGAGTTAAGTGTCAGTCCAATTGAAAAATAAACTCCATACCATATTTCACCCATCTGGCTGTGTGTTCAGCACGCTGGAACTGAAAGAGTTAAACACTACTAGGTGTATGCAGTTAACCATTTTCTATCCACTGTAATGTTAGTCTAATGACCGAGCACTGATATCAGTGCCAGTTCTGATGCTCATTTGCCGGTAGCCTAGTCATTCCACCACAATGTCTGACAGTACAGACTGGTAAGTTAGTTATTATTATTATGATATTTATAGAGCGCCATCAAATTCCGCAGCGCTTTACAATGGGTGGACGAACAGACATGTAGTTGTAACCAGACAAGTTGGACACACAGGAACAGAGGGGTTAAGGGCCCTGCTCAATGAGCTTACATGCTAGAGGGAGTGGGGTAAAATGACACAAAAAGGTAAGGATAGTATTAGACTAGTGACAGTTGCAGAAGAGGAATCAGTCAGGAGCTATTAACAGTTTAATTGATACGCTTTTATGAAGAAGTGGGTTTTTAACGATTTTTTTGAAGGAGTGGAGACTTGGTGAGCATCTAACGGAGGAGGGAAGCGAGTTCCACAGGAACGGTGCAGCCCTCGAGAAATCTTGAAGGCGAGCATCAGAGGTGGGAGTATGGACAGAAGATAGACTTAAGTCTTTAGCAGATCGTAAGGGCCTAGACGGGACATACTTGTGTATAAGAGAGGATAGGTAGGTTGGAGCAGCATTATGTAGAGATTTGAAAGCAAGGACCAGAATTTTAAGTTGAGCTCTATATTTTATAGGAAGCCAATGTAGGGACTGACAGAAGGGTCAGTTGGGAGCACGTAAGACCACTGATAAGCGGATTACAGTAGTCAAGGCGAGAAAGGACAGTGGAATGGACCAACACCTTAGTCGCATTTGGCGTTAAGTAGGGGCGGATGCACGCAATGTTTTTGAGATGAAAATGACAGGATTTGGCGATAGATTGAACATGAGGCTTGAAGGAGAGGTCGGAGTCAAAGAGAACACCTAGGCAGCGAGCCTGCGTGGTGGAGCTGATGGTAGCACCATTGACTTGGAGGGAGAAAGACACAGGAGTAACAACACTTGAGGGAGGAAAGACCCGAATTTCATTAGAACTGCATAGATTTTGTATAAATGTATACATTGTATCAATGCTTTGTAGATCACCCAGGGCCGCCACCAGAAATGTTGACAAAGCACAGGGTCTGGGCCCCCCACGTCTCCCCCCTCTCTCCCCTCCCCCCCCGCAGAGTGCAGAGTGTGTGTTAGTGCAATAAATGCAGTGTGTGTGTCAGTGTAATGAATGCAGAGTGTGTGTCAATGTAATGAATGCAGAGTGTGTCAGTGTAATGAATGCAGAGTGTGTGTCAATGTAATGAATGCAGCGTGTGTGTCAGTGTAATGAATGCAGAGTGTATGTCAGTGCAATGAATGCAGTGTTTGTGTCAGTGCAATGAATGCAGACTGTGTTAGTGTAATGAATGCAGAGTGTGTGTTAGTGCAATGAATGCAGTGTGTGTGTCAGTGTAATGAATGCAGAGTGTGTGTCAATCAGTGGCAGATCCAGAGCCTGATCTCGGGAGGGGCACTTGTAGATTATTTAAATAAATAATCCAGGTACAATAACCACTACAGCTCAGTGTAGTAGTTATGGTGTCAGTAGTGCCAGGATTCCACCCCAGAGTAAGTAGTCATACCGTTTAAGAACAGTTTGACAACTTACCTGGGGTCTGCTGGGATATAGGGTATAGGAGCAGTGGTGTGTGTTAAGGGTGAAGTGTGTGAGTGTGGCAGTGTATGTCAGGGACAGTGTTTGTGGGGCAGTGTGTGTATGGGGACAGTGTTTGTGGGGCAGTGTGTGTGTATGGGGGCAGTGCGTGTATTGGGACAGTGTGTGTATGGGCATAGTGTTTGTGGGGCAGTGTGTGTATGGGGGACAGTGTGTATATGGGGACAATGTTTGTGGGGAAGTGTGTGTATGGGGACAGTGTTTGTGGGGCAGTGTGTGTGGGGAAGTGTGTGTGTGTAGCAAGGGCAGTGTGTGTGTATATGGGGACAGTGTTTGTGGGGCAGTGTGTGTATAGGGACAGTGTTTGTAGGGCAGTGTGTGTATATAGAGGCAATATACGTATAGGAACCCAGTGTTTGTAGGAGCAGTGTGTATGAGGAGTCAGTGTGTGTATAGGGACAGTGTGTGTGTATGGGGGGTCAGGAGTGTGTGTATATGAGGACAGTGTTTGTGGGGCAGTGTGTGTATAGGGACAGTGTTTGGGGGCGTGTGTGTGTAGGGACAGTGTGTGTATGGGGACAATGTTTGTGGGGCAGTGTGTGTGTATGGGGGAAGTGTGTGTATGGGGACAGTGTTTGTAGGGCAGTGTGTGTGTGTTGGGACAGTGTTTGTGGGGCAGTGTGTGTATGGGGGACAGTGTTTGTAGGGCAGTGTGTGTATGGGGAGAGTGTTTGTAGGGCAGTGTGTGTATGGGGAGAGTGTTTGTAGGGCAGTGTGTGTATGGGGAGAGTGTTTGTAGGGCAGTGTGTGTATGGGGGACAGTGTTTGTAGGGCAGTGTGTGTATGGGGGACAGTGTTTGTAGGGCAGTGTGTGTATGGGGAGAGTGTTTGTAGGGCAGTGTGTGTATGGGGGGGGAAGGAGGCTTTTAAATAATATTTATTTTTTATTTTATTTAATAAAACAAATATTCTATGTCCCCCCTCCCTTCTTACCTTTACTGGGGAGGAGGGGGGACATATTTCTATCCCTGGTGGTCCCAGTGGTGATTCCCTGGTGGTCCAGTGTGGAGAGTGAGCTCTAGCCCGCGCTCCCGGGCTAGAGTTCACTCTCGCGAGATTTGGAGCGTTGCCATGGTAACCGCGGCAACGCTCCAAATCTCACGAGAGGAGGACCTGGAGGAGCTGCAGCCTGAGCTCCGGGTCCTCCCTCTCACTCTCTCCCTCCGCCGCCGGCCGCCAGCACAGTGCCTGCGGACCGGGGAGGGAGATCTGTGATCTTCCTCCCCGGTCCGCAGGCACATTGCACGGCTGGCAGGGGAGGGAGACCGGCGGATTTCTCGGGGGGGGCAATTGCCCCGTTGCCCCCCCCCCCCTGGATCCGCCAATGGTGTCAATGTAATGAATGCAGAGTGTGTCAGTGTAATGAATGCAGAGTGTGTCAATGTAATGAATGCAGAGTTTGTCAGTGTAATGAATGCAGAGTGTGTCAATGTAATGAATGCAGAGTTTGTCAGTGTAATGAATGCAGAGTGTGTGTCAGTGTAGTTGATGTAGTGTGTTTGTCAGTGTAGTGGATGCAGTGTGTGTGTCAGTGTAGTGGATGCAGTGTGTCTGTCAGTGTAGTGGATGCCGTGTGTGTGTCAGTGTAGTGAATGCAGAGTGTGTGTCAGTGTAGTGAATGCAGTGTGTGTGTTAGTGTTGTGAATGCAGAGTGTGTGTTAGTGTTGTGGATGCAGTGTGTGTGTAAGTGTAGTGGATGCAGTGTGTGTGTTAGTGTTGTGGATGCAATGTGTGTGTTAGTGTTGTGGATGCAGTGTGTGTGTTAGTGTAGTGGATGCAGTGTGTGTTAGTGCAATGAATGCAGTGTGTGTGTCAGTGTAATGAATGCAGTGTGTGTGTCAGTGTAGTGAATGCAGTGTGTGTGTCAGTGTAATGAATGCGATCATAGCTATATATAGGTGCAGAGAGTAATTGTGGGGCCCTGGACTGCCAAAGCAGTCCGGGCCCTCCAGGACCTGTGACAAACGTTATGGTTGTCACCCCCTGATGGCGGCCCTGGTTGTCACCCCCTGATGGTGGCCCTGACATCACCTACAAGTAGATAGTCTGTATCTCTGCGTTATAAAGCACGGTCAGTGCAGGGTCACATTCAATGGCTGAGCACGCTCAGGTGAGCCCCGTCCTCCGTAAAACTAGACGGATCCATCTAATGGAGAAGACTGGAAGCTGGGGATACAAGGGCAGGTGACCTGCCGGACCCAGGTAGGTTGTCAGCCCATACTAAAATGGATTGACTACTTACTGTAGGATGGCACTAGGGCACTTCTGGTACCATAACCATTACACTGAGCTGTAGTGGTTATGGTGCGTGTAGTATTCTTTTAATCCAGCTTACACAATGTGTATATTCATTTCTATTGTAGTTTCCAAGACTGTTTTTCCTTTTTTTCCATGACAGGTAAAATGTAAATGTAATCTAAGGCATAGATTTATTCTGGTAATATTTGCTTAATTGGTGCTCTTGAATCCTCATTAGCAATTAAGTTGTTAACATACCCTAAACATATTTACAAGGTTATAATTAGCATTATATAACAAAAACATTTTCTTGCATCTAACTGCGTAAAATCTCTAAACAGGCCCAAAAGTTCAACTCCTTGCTTACACCATGCATGCTATTTGTAGACTCTAAAAATAAAATTAAACAATTAATTAGATCTGAACCTATTTTTAATTGCAAATTGTTATGAGATTGTCTCTAGACAGCCCCCATCTGTGCTGTGGGGAGAGGCTTGCGCACATAATTATGGAAATTAGCCATCAATATGTATAAAAAATTCATCTAACTTGGTCTGCTTGAGTGGCAGTTGTGAGAGAGGGAGATAGAATCACCAAGATTATTTTGCTGTTGCAGCAAATATATCCTGCACTTATTGTTTTGGTTTCATAGGTTAACTCACAATGGCCTCTCCAAAACTCTAAGGGGGCCATTTATTAAACCACAGCAGCGGGGGAAAGGAGGGGAAACATGGTTAAAATTATGCATCTAAAAAGTCTGCTATTATGAAGTAATGTGCCATTATTCTTTTCTAGTTAAGAGTGTATTCGTGAAAATATTATTTTTATTTGTGTTCAACTTAACAAATGACAATTTTTTTGAAAAAAATAACCGGACCCTATTTTTTACTTTATGTTGCATTTATCATTATATTGGGTTGTTGTATTTGTAATGTTCTAATCATTTTCAGAAGAATGAAATTGATGAGGGTGAAATTCAAGTTGGCATATATTAATTATGTATGGTAATTTTAGTGGATTGTTACACAAATACTAGATTTTTAATATATAATGCAAAAAACAAAATTCACATTCTAATTTAATTTGATGTGCTTTAAAACTACACTGATATGAAAATTGTTGATAAATATAGTTAATAACAAGAAGTTACTAAATTCATCTCCCTAATTACTTTACAGAACTCTTGCATGTGGCATCTGCTTCTTCATCTTTATATAAATGTGTCCTGTATACTGTTGCTAAATGAGAAAATGGGAATTTCTACCCTATTTCTTTAGTCATCCACTTTGTTCATTAACAATGCTTTGCTTTCTTTAGGTGGATTACTCTGTCATTGTCACGCAGGCAGGAGCCACATTAAACAACATCATGAGCCAAGCGCAGGAACTGGTGGCCAAACTCCGGTCTCTTCAGTTTGACTTGAGAGAGTTTGTGTGTCTGAAATTCTTGGTGCTTTTCAGTAATGGTGAGTCCTTCATCTTGTCATTCCATTTCCTTACTGAAACAAGGATAGAGTAACATACCTTTTTCACCTCAACATATCTTTTACTGCCCATTGTTAAAACTTTATCATTTAATAGCTCCCGACTAAGGCTTGTATCACAAAATAATTGGTATTGGCTGCTCAAAAATATTTTTTGAGTTCCCTATATCCTAATGTAAAAGTTTCTGGTTCAGTCACCTGTATCCCATTGGGGTTCTTCATAAAATCTTCTAAGATGTCTTTTCCCTGCTCTAACCTGAGATTGAATGTGATAAGATATGATCTAAAGAAAGGCTTGCAGATCTTCTGATCTCCTTTGAAGACCACCCTGTTAAAACTTGTTTAGCATAGGGTCCAGTACACTCTCAAGGCTCAAGGCTCCAGTTGCTTCAAACATTCCCCAGTAACCTGTAGGTATGCAACTTACACTTATATTTCACAAGTACCTTTGCTGTAATTCACCGCAAACATATACATTTACTACGTTGGTGGACTAGTATACATCACACCTCTAAACTTATTTACTTTAATAGTAAATCCGAACTGCAATTTTCTGCTTCACATATGTATCATAAATACATACAAATCTAGAACATGGAATTAAAGGGTTACTCCAAACTCCTTGACCAATTTATGGTCATGGAGGCAATAATTGGTATGTGCAGTGTTTCTGCTTGAAACACTGCACATAAAGAGATAGTTGAAGATTTGTCCCAGGGGCAAGTTAACCCTGGCACATGTAACTTAGGAAACTCTGTTTCACCTTGCTTTATGTAAATTCTGTGCAGAAATTACATCTGTCATCAGTGACCCCCAGGCTCTGGAGACAGATGTAATGAGCTTCTATCACTACAGGCAGCACTGGGGGCACACCTGCAAGGGGGAGCTTATATCTCCCCTCCCGCTCACGTTTAAAGCCTTCCTGTCTCCCTATATTTCCTATGATTTGTCCATTTTTTTATTTTGTTTTGTTTTTTATATCACCTTTCTCACCCATCTCCCTCAGGTCTCTTCTGTCCCTACCTCAGAGCGCACGCTTGTTCTCAAAGCAGTTGAGGAAGGTCTAATCAAATGCTTCTCTGTCATGCTATGATATTCAAATAAGAAGCATTTGATTGGACCACAGAGAGGGTAGCAGTGGTGTCAGGCTGGACGTGTCTCTAGACAGCCCCCATCTGTGCTGTGGGGAGAGGCTTGCGCACATAATTATGGAAATTAGCCATCAATATGTATAAAAAATTAATCTAACTTGGTCTGCTTGAGTGGCAGTTGTGAGAGAGGGAGATAGAATCACCAAGATTATTTTGTAGCTTAAGGGTTATTTTAAAGCTTATAAGGGTGGACCTAATTACTAATGCCCAATAGGACAATCACAGATTTGTAAATATAAATACTAGAGTTCGACAGACAGATCCTGCCTCTGACCCTGATATGCCTGCTTGGCTGACATCATCAAAAGTGTTGGTCTGAGCTAATCACAATTATTCCCCATAGGATTGACTAAGACTGTCAAAGAGGGAGAACAGGGGCAGAGCCAGCACAAGTCAAACACAGCCCTAGCCAATCAGCATCTCCTCATAGAGATAAATTGAAAGTTTAGTGTCTCCATGCAGAGGATGGAGACACTGAATGGCCCCAGGAAGCAACTCTAGTAGCCATCTGAGGAGTTGCCAGTAGAGGCATCCCTAGGCTGTAATGAAAACATAGCATTTTCTCTGAATAGACAGTGTTTAGTACAGAAAAGCCTGAAGTGAATGATTCTACTCACCAGAACAAATATAATAATCTCTAGTTGATCTGGTGGCTATAGTGTCCCTTTAAAGGACCACTTTAGTGCCTGGAAAACAAGCTCGTTTTCCTGGCACCGTGTAGTCCTAAGGTCCCCCCACGCCCTCCTCCCGCTGGGCTGAAGGGGTTAAAACCCCTTCAGCCACTTACCTTTAGGCGCTGGTGACCTCTCCTCCCCCTTCAGAGTGAAGCCGAATGCGCGCGCGGCTCTGGTCGCGCATTAAAAACGCCCATAGGAAAGCATTATTCAATGCTTTCCTATGCACCTCAGCGTCTTCTCACTGTGATTTTCACAGTGAGAATCGTGGAAGCGGCCTCTAGTGGCTATCAAGAAGACAGCCACTAGAGGCTAAATTAACCCTGCAGTGTAAACATAGCAGTTTCAGCTGCAGGGTTAAAACTAGAGGGACCTGGCACCCAGACCACTTAATTGAGCTGAAGTGGTCTGGGTGTCTATAGATCTGACTATACTATGCTTTAACCATTTTTGACCCTACCTTGACTGCTTACGGTCTGTGCCAGTAGAAAATAATTTTTAATAGTCTAGGTGTGCCTAACATGTTCAGTGCTTGCTCCAGCAGTCAATAGTATATGTAATATTACCATTAATTAAATTATGTATGATAATAGCTTTTTTCGTGGAACATTGTGGCATTATAACTATGAATTTTCCCAAGAATTGCTGTAGGTAGCATTTAAATTCAGTCCATCATGCTAGAATATTAGAGAAATCATAGAGATTGTTTTGTTTTATTCCATCGTGTTTTTTCTCCCTTCAAGCAGTTTTTATAGACAGCCTGTAAAATGTACTAGCTGACCGTAAAAGAGCTCCTTTCCTCTAGATGTTTTCGTCTGTCTGATATATTTTGTTTATTACTGCTTCAGAACATTCAACATACAATCATGTCTCCTTCACACTTATATTTTCTGCATCTGTGTACAATTATACAACTTAACCTTTCTCCTCCTGGTGTATCAAAATCTTAATTTCGTTTTCTGTTATAAAAATCAGAATCCAAAATCTGAATGCCCAACCCATGAACATGCACTTGCTTTGCCTGTCACCTTCATTTTGTGCATTAATGGAACACTCCATGCACCATAAACACCACATCTCTCTGCAGTAGTTAAGGTACCAGGAATGCCATGGCTCCCTCTATTGTAAGGCGTCAAACTGTTTATGAATGGTAGTGGTTTTCATGCCATTAATGTTCTGTACCTGCATCCTCCGGAGAGCTGGATATTAAAAAAACAGGATCTTCTGTTAACACTCCTGAATTAAATCTTTTAATGCAGTACATACATAGTTCATTGGCTGAGAGCGTCAGTTGATCACTCTTAGCCAAGGAGCTAAGCATTGCCAGCTTAGTTCAGGAGAGCTAACAGTAGCTTCTCCTAGGTTCTCCTAGGCTTATGATGACAAACCTTGACACCCCAGATGGTTTTGAAGTTCATTTCCCATAATGGTCAATTAGCCTTATTACGCAGGCCCTATTTTCACATTTGCACGGTTTATTTTTGAATTCTCAATTTCCAATCAAGGTGCAGATCAGAATGTAGGTTTTTTTGTTCTTTTATAGATTAAACAAGGTCATGTATACTTTATGTATGTGATATGTGTCCTTCAGAACATGTTGTTCTGAATCTTTCATAAATATTGACCCAAAAGGGACACAGTGTATTCACTCAATACAATTACTCCTCCACTATTTCTGCCATTTATTGCCACACAGAATTTATTTTTCACTCAATATGTAGATGTTTATTGTTTAAATGGTGGTATCTGGGCCATCCATGCAAGAGAATGTTAGGTAGTCTTTTAGATTATATGCTAGATATGTGTTTTGAAAATTTTTAGAAATTATTTAGATGACTGCAAATTAAATTATGTTTATTTCTTACCAAACAAATTCATAAATAGGGAATAATATAAAAGTTTTAGATTTATTAAAGGGGCATTATGAGCACAATAACCACTACAGTCCTTTAAAGTGGTTAGGGATCAAAGAAAATATGGTCTTTTCTTGCTTTTACTGCCCAATAAATCATTAAAAACGTTGTTCAGAAATATTTGTACAGCCAAGGTTAACTGTCACTCTTGTGTTACAAATGGAACTCACCAGCAACTGTATCCAGTATTATGGAGGCATACTTGAAATTACATCTTTTGACCAGAAGGGGCACTATAGCGCCATGTTTAGGGGCTATCTGATCAATAGTGAGGTTGTCTTCACTGTAGAGTAGAGCAGACCTGTACTTTTTATGCATTGTAACAACTGGAGGATCAGATGTTTCAATTTGCCATCATTACAATTTAGTGCTTATAGATCCTATACCAGCATGGAATGTTCTGCTTATATTGTGCTGTTCGTTTTATAAAGCCCCGCTGTAGTTAATTAAAGTGTTTATTCCATTTTAGATTAGAATCCTCAAATAAAAGTTTTCTATGAACACCTACACCACCATTGAAATTTAATATATAATGTAAAATGTCTGTAATATAAAATCTCCAACACTTATGACAATCTACAGTATAAAGTTACCTTATTAAGGAATGTACTTGTAATAAAAAACAACATTAACCCGTTACATTACCTTTCTGTCAGATGACATGTCTCTTTAAAAAGTCTGTGCAGATAAAAAAGCACCAGGCCCATGATAGATGGGCTCTTAAATACTTTATCAATGAACAAATACTTTTCCTAGTAGCTATTGATCTGTCACTTATCAGGAGACAGTCGAGGATCTGAATGATAATCGGTGACATTTTAAATGCCTTATAAGAACCCCTGCCAAACCAGATATACATTTATAGGACAGCATCTCTTGTTTTATCAAACTCTACAAAGCTTTAATATTCTTTTTATCTCTGTGTGTCTCTATTTCTCATATACTTATCTATGACTCATATCTACTTTGATAAACAATGTTGCAAAAAACTTGGTAATAGCCCATGTATATTGGCAAAACATTGACCATTAACTTGATTCAGATTTCATCAAAGATTGTTAAATTTAGCTGGTAGAAATGTTCTCTCCTCTTCAATATATTCTAGCTTAAAGGGACATTACAGTCACCAGAACAACTACAATTTATTGAATTTGTTCTGGTGAGTAAAACCATTACCTATAGGCTTTTTGCTGTAAACACTGTTTTTTTCAGAGAAAATGCAGTGTTCACATTACAGCCTAGTGATAACTTCACTGGCCACTCCTCAGATAGCTTTCAGAGATCCTTCCTGGGTCATGGCTGCCTAAAATGCATCCACACATTCAGTGTCTCCTCCCTCTGCATGCAGACACTGAACTTTCCTCATAGAGGTTCATTGATTCAATTCATCTCTATGAGGAGATGCTGATTGGCCAGGGCTGTGTTTGAATCATGCTGGCTCTGCCCCTGATCTGCCTCCTTGTCTCAGCCAATCCTATGGGGAAGCATTGTGATTGGATCAGGCTACCACTTCTGATGATGTCAGCAGACTGCTTGTTTTTTTTTTGAGGCAAACCGCATGCAGATATACAGCTTCTGGCTTGAATACAGTAAGATGTTGCTATATTTATGGAGGCATGAGGGGCCCAGGGGGGCTAGATGGTGGTTTTAACACTGTAGGGTCAGGAATACATGTTTGTGTTCCTGACCCTATAGTGATCCTTTAATAACAATACATACATCTCTTGCAACATGTCACATTTCTCGATAGTCTCATTGTTTGCCATCTTCTCCAGACAAGGGGATTGGATTGTCTATAGGTCCGCCAAGAGCTTGCGTGGCCCCACCCACAAAACACAAACACACTAGTGATGTCCCGAACGGTTCGCCGTGAACGGTTCGCCGTGGACTCATCATTGAGTAAACTTTGGCCCTGTACCTCACAGTCAGCAGACACATTCCAGCCAATCAGCAGCAGACCCTCCCTCCCAGACCCTCCCACCTCATGGACAGCATCCATTTTACATTCATTGTGAAGCTGTATTCTTAGTGAGCTGTCCAGGAGGTGGGAGGATCTGGGAGGGAGGGTCTGCTGCTGATTGGATGGAATGTGTCTGCTGACTGTGAGGTACAGGGTCAAAGTTTACTCAATGATGAGTCCGCAGCGAACCGTTCGGCGAACCGTTCGGGATATCACTAAAACACACCTGTTTTAAAGGTGAGATTTTCATTATCTAGTAAGCAGATATTCTGTGGTATCCATATTTGCATTTTTCCCTGCTATTTACCAATTCCATAGAGATAAAGTCTTGGAAAATACTCATTATTTTAAAAATAATATGTAGTCATGGCATTTGCTACCAGCTTCCCACTGCAGTGTATAACTAACCTTTAAAGTGTTTGTGCACATAAATGTGATGAAATTCAAAAACAAAAATCCCTATCAGGCAGATGGCTTCTAGTGAACTAAAACTGATTTACAAGAAAAAATGTATAATTTATTTGTACACCGCCTTTGTATTCATGGCATGAATAAAATAACTTATCGTGCAAATAATAGCTCATCGGCTGTCAAGCACAGGTAGGGTTAATCCCAGCTCTGCCAGAGTTGCATCTTTATTAAATTGAATGTAATAAGTATTTTTTCTTTTTTGTGACTAAAGAAGATCATTGATCATAAGTCACTGCGAGGTTTATGTTCAGATCAATAGTTATTTGTTTAGCAGGAGAGAAAACGAATGTAAAATATATGCAGAGGGATGAGTATTTTTAACTAGTTTAATAAAAACATTTTGATTGCATCTCATTTCTTTATCCTCTAGTAGTGGAAGGGAGAGTAGTACTTGTATAAGGCAGCGATGGTCTTGAGTTCGAGAAGAAGTTGTTCTTTCCTTGTTGTCTTTACTTTGAACAAAAATAGATTAACCAAAAAAAATGGTTATTTATAATAAATTAATAATTCTCAATACATTTCTGTGACAGTACAACGAATACATGAATGTAGAGAAAAAAAGTGTCATGATCTGAAAAGTGGTATCAAGTTCTAAAAGTGTAGCAATCACCAATGGAAGGTTTGACTCATTCCGTTGGTTTCCACCTTTAGAAAATGTGCCCCACATTACAATGTAAAATGAACACGACTAAACTACGCCTCACGAATGTCATCAGCAGTTGCAAAACCGGTACTCTGTTAATTCTTTTGACAAAAAAAAAGTTACACAATGAAAATTGTACATTGATTACCATTACTCCCCCCACCCCCTCCTAATTTCTTTTTTCTGTATCCTACCCACTGTTTACAATTTTGCAAACATATTAAAATAAAAACTGTCAATTTAAAAAAAAAGAAAATGTGCCCCACATTTATAGTTACAACACTTATAAATCGTCCCCATGGTTTGGAGATAATGAAAAGCTGATGTCCTTGCAAAGACTTGTGGGGTCATTATACATAGAATATAGAATGTAATGGAGGCACAATGGACTGATCTGAAGGCTAAAACCATTGAAATGGAAAAAAACTGAGGCCAGAATAGTTTGTGTAGTGTGGGTGAGAGCAAGTGGGTTTTTAGGGGTGAAGCTAATGATGAGGAGAACCAGCTACAGATCAATAAATGCTTTTTCTGGCTATATGACTACCTACTGACCAAGACACTTGTTTTAGGTTGCCAATTAATATTTAGATGCCACCTTCTATCACATATTTAACTTTGTATATTTACTCAAGTCCCAGATTGAATAATACTCTCGTGTTGTCCCCCACAGGACAGTTCCTGTCAAGCAGTTTCTAATCTTATAGTCATCTTCTGATACCCCAAAATATGTAGATTGTGGAATATCTCACACATTTTATAACAAAATAAATCCCCTGACATGTGTAGGTAAAAAAAACTGGATATGTAGAATGAGTCTGCCTACCTTTGTTGTTTCAAACAACTCCCATGACTGAGCATAATGAGATTTATTGGTGGACAATGGATGGTAGGCCTTAGAATTGTTTATGATTTTCACATTTCTTTATCCAGTGCTCCACCCCTTAGGAGCAGCCCCTAAACCTATCCTTATCAATGTACCAATCCAAGGTATGTGGCTGTCTTTACTGCAGTCATGTGCATCTCATAGTTAATCTGTGGCCCTTCTTAGTCATTAGGTTGCATTTAACACATTAGAAGGAAAATAATGTTGACAGCTGTCCTGTGTAATTAATATGAGGAAGCCAAACAGAATTCCATTGTATGAATTTCCGGTATATACTAGGTGATTTCCACTATTGCTACTGAATCAGGTCTGATTTTACAGTAAAGAGTAATTAATTTACCTGAACACTAAAATCCCAGTTAGCATTGGTGTCCTTGGTTGAGATACAATGATATATATCTACCTTCCACAAAATCTAACTAAAATCTCTAAATATCATCTTTCTATAATTGTAAAGCGTGGCAGAATATGTTAATGCAATATAAATAATCGTAGTTTTACCCTGTTAACATGAAGCACAGCTTGTATCTTTAGAGCTCTGTTAATATAGCCTGTTGGTGTGCTTAAATGTTGAATTTCTTGTATTTGTTACACCTGGGGTAGTGAGATCAATTCCCAGCAGAACTAATTCTTCTTTTCTGCATAGATAAAATGCATAGGCATTGCGTAATAAAAATATCTATACTCCGAGACATACTTGGAAAGCATTAAGAGCTAAATGTTTCCTTCCTAGTTAAGTTAATTTTGATATTATTATCATCACTTTTCCTTTGTTGAATAAAGCCCTTCAAAATGATCTAACTACATTTTTGGATCCAGTAACCATCGTGCTATACGGGAATTTGTGTTCCCCACGGACCAAATTATGCATGTAAAGGTTCTAATAGCAAAAATGTAATGGCCCGCAAAGACCAGCTATCATGGCGTTTTTCCTTTTTTGTAACTGCAAATTGCTACCCAGAATATAATTACACATGTCCCTTGTTGGACAGCTGCAGAGTGAAAAAATGATAGAAATTTATTTCCAAGTCCACCTGAGGACCACCCGTATTATTTTGAAGTATGCCACCTAGTACCCCACATTGTAGCTACAGAAACCACAGATGAACAAGTAGCAATATTAGCTGAGTCTTTCCTAATATTGGGGTTTGCTTTTGTCTAGACCAGGGATGTGATTACTTGGCCGTCCCATAAATTGCTGCCAATTAAACTGTTTAATAAATAAACCCCTACATTGTTTCACTGTTAATTCGTAAGGTGAGAGAAATATAATCTTTGAACTACCAGACTTTTCACTGTTTATTGGAATGATATGAAACCTAGACCATTCTTTATTTATTTTATTTTCTTCTAAAATATTTCTACCTTCTTGTTTTCTTTCATTATGCTCCTTTTAACACATATCCAATTTGTTCCCCTTCTTTTTGAAACTATTTGTAGTTTCTCACTCATGAATCCCTCTTGCTTGACATGTCTGTAGTTGTTTTTTTGTTTTTGGGGTCTTTGTTTTTTTTACGCTTTGTTACAGCCTCTCTCGTTCTGCTTAACCAGGTCCGATGGTCAACATTCTCTGGTACTCTGCTAAGCATTCTGGGTGTGTTAGTCTACAGTTACTGGAATAAAAGTGTCTGTCTACGTTTTATTCGCTGCTTTTCCTCTCCCCCTCCTTCCATGTTTTTGCAACACCTCTCGTCCATCACCCTCGCTAACTTACTGTCGGAAACACCAAGTAATTCTACGCTCCTCTTCACTGTGAAACATTTTGCTTTCTTTTTCTATTGATGTAACACTTACTGGCGGCAGTGGAAAAATCAATAGAGTCTTTTCATTTAGTGTCCGCTTGCGGACCTATCCGGGCCATGTGCTGGCCGCACGATTAATTGCTGTTATTTCGCTTTCGGTAAAAGATGTCTGCGTGTCCCCCCTTCTTATTTAGACATAGCCACGCAATCTGTCATATTTCTGCAGTAGAAATACAGTGTTCTACGAACTTTTCATGTTACTTTCATTTTATGAGTGCTGTAAGGGTTAAATCATTTATTTGCAAGCTATGTTACCAAAGTTACTAAAGTTTTGTGAAACATTCCAAACAGCATTATATAGATACTAAATGGCCAGATTAATGCAAGAAAGCATTACACTTATGGTTTATTTTCAAAACTAGTTTTATGGCATTGCCCTAGATACAGTATTTAATAGAAGAAAAGTAAAATAAAGAAATCACAAACTGAAGAAAACAGAGGGTTTTTCTAATCAGGTAAAAAAAAAAAAAAGTATTTATTACACAATTTTTATTACGTCAACTGATATGGAGAGTTTTCAGTAGTTGATATAATTATTAATAAGTAGACCATCTGAAAGCCAAAATAATAGTTTTTTTGGCATTCAGTGTTCGTTGGTTTGACCTGTATGGCATACAAACCTTTTACCCTTCCTATGCCGCCAACAGTGTTAATTCGCCCAAAGTACTCACATTTGCAAGACATTAAACATATTCAAGATGTGGTCTTACCATTGATTTATAAAGAAGCAAAGTTATATTTTCATCATGAAAATTAATGCCCGTTTTTATACATGACAATACTGGCCTTAGCAACTGCTGATTGACATTGCATATTGTTGCCTAGTTTGTTGTCTATATCTATTCCCAAATCCTTCTCGTGTGTTGCTATCCCTAATTCACTACTATTTAGGGCAGGCATAGGCAACCTTCGGCACTCCAGATGTTTTAGACTACACCTCCCATGATGCTTTGTCAGCATTATGGGTGTAAAAACATTATGGGAGATGTAGTCCAAAACATCTGGAGTGCCGAAGGTTGTCTACCCCTGATTTAGGGTGTAAGTTGCTAATGCATTTTTTACCTCGAAGTACAAAACTTTGCATTTATCTACACTAAATTTCATCTGCCATTTGAGTACCAGGTTTCCCAAATCTATCTAAATCCCTCTGCAATATCCTGTATTACGTTACAGTTTTGTGTCATCTGTGAACACTGAAATCTGACCTTTAATACCTATTTCAAGATGATTTATAAATATATTAAATAAAAGTGGTCCTAGAACAGAACCTTGAGGGAAACCACTTACCACGTTTGTCCAGCTTGAAAATGTACCATTAATGACAACTCCCTGTACTCTGTCTTTTAGCCAATGTTCTACGCAATAACAAGAATTATTATCTAGACCAATTTCTTTTAGTTTGAATACTAACCTATTGTGTGGAACCATAGCGAATATTGTGTAAAATCCAAGGAGATCACATCCACTGCAACACCCCAATCTTTACTTCTTCGTAGAATGCAATTAAGTTAGTTTGACATGATCTATGTTTTAATAAAACCATGCTGATTATTGCTAATAACAATGTTCTTCCCAATGAATTATTGGATATTATCCCTTAATAACCCTTTAAATACTTTCCCATACACAGAAGTTTAGCTCACATGTCTGTAATTTCCAGGCAAAGATTGTGAACCCTTTTTGAATATAGGAACCTCATTGGCTTTTTGCATGCATTATTTGCAAACTTATATTTTATATAGGATACCTATAAAAAAAATATATCTTTCTTATTTTAAATTTCTTGGTTTACATTCCAGCTAAGCCACATTGCTTTCAATGTATTCATTTGATATTTATTATCCAATGGTACATACTGAGAAATGTGCCTTTCTAATATTTGTTTTAGGATATTCCATTTATCCTTAAAGGACCACTCTAGGCACCCAGACCACTTCGGCTTAATGAAGTGGTCTGGGTGCCAGGTCCCTCTAGGATTAACCTTTTTTTTTTTTATAAACATAGCAGTTTCAGAGAAACTGTAAGGTTTATAATAGGGATAATCCAGCCTCTTAAGTCTCTAGTGGCTGTCTCACTGACAGCCACTAGAGGCGTTTTCCTGCTTCTCACTGTGAAAATCACAGTGAGAAGACGCAAGCGTCCATAGGAAAGCATTATGAATGCTTTCGTATGAGACTGGCTGAATGCGCGCGCAGCTCCTGCCGCGCATGTGCATTCAGCCGAAGAGGCAGAGAGGAGGAGGAGAGCTCCCCGCCCGGCGCTGGAAAAAAAGGTAAGATTTAACCCTTTCCTCGCCATCCAGCTCGGCGGGAGTGGGACCAAGTATGTTTTCCTGGCACTATAGTGGTCCTTTAATGTTGTTTTCACTAAAGAATGTATGCCAGTCAATATATTGTAAAGCAGCCTTGAATTTGGCCTATTTAAAATTAAATGTTTTAGTATAACCCATGTGCATTTGCCTTGTTGAATTTATTTCAAAATACATATAGTCCCTCAAGTTCTCCCCTACTTGAACGTTTGTCAAAACATCAACTTTGTAACCAGATCTAGACAAGCATCCTTTCTAGTTGGTGCTTGTACCAGTTGTGACCTGATTCCCTTTGCTGTACTACCAGTCCCTCTGTCCCAGTTAATATCCGGGTAATTAATTAAAATTTCCAATAATTAACATGTTACACAGATGTGCAGTATTTAAACAGATAGTGGGACAGACACAGTACAGAGATTAGTAAGTAGAAATAGTACATAGTGTTCCCACTAAATTTCAGGTCAAATCAGCTAATTCTAAACTTTAGATTTTTGTAAATTGGCATTTTTCAAATACAAATAAATAAGTTGCCTGTTAGTCAGAATGGTTGCGGCACATGTTTCCGACACTAGTTTTTACAGACTTTCCCCAGGCTGTCCTGGGACAGAGAATTCAAAGTGAGTTAAAAGCAGAAAGTCGAAAGTCTTCGGTCAGCACTTGATGTGTCTCCTACCAGCCAGGATACAAGGCCTCTGTAGCTACAATATGGATTTACTGTCTCCATGCAGAGAATACAAAACCCAGGCTAATGGATAGTTTATTACGTGTAATGATATTAGTGTATTATTGATACAGACAGCAAATAGTTGGCCTTGTTATATCGGGATAACTATATTAATTGATTAATGGGTTTCTACCAGCTCGATCCCTGTGAAGCGTTACATCGTGAAACTTTTTAACCTTTTTCAATCCTTTCCCAAAGACGAAACCTTTGGCATTTGAGCAGCTATGGCCCATGTCCCAAGTTAGACAGACTGCATTTGTAATATCTTCCAATCCAACCCCTAGAAATAAGGAATTTCAAGTTTTTAAAAGCTATGGAATGTGACACCTTTTATGCCTAAACTGCATTGAGCTGGATTACAGAACCACTAAAGTCACCCAGACCACTTAATTGAGATGAAGTGGTCTGGGTGCAGTGGTCCTGTCATTTTAACCCTGCAATGTAAAACATTGCAATTTTTTAGAAACTGCAATGTTTACATTGCAAAGTCAAATGCCATATTCTTGGCAGCCACTAGAGGCACTTCCTCCGCCAGAACCAAAAACTCGGTTCTAGAAAAAGGTGCTGCTGATTGCAACATTGGATTGGTGGAGCGCTGCGTTTGACCGTGCATGCCAAGTTCATATTCATTGCTTCTATATGAGAAGCAATGGATTGGAGGAGATCTTGAGTGATGGGCGAGGATGCCAACATCAATGGAGCTGGAGGCTGGAGCAGTGGAGTCTCAGTGCTGGAAATGAGGTGAACAAACTTTATTTTAATTACACTTTACTGAGCAAAGGGCTGTGGACAGTGATCACTTCACTATAACGGAACCTATAGTTACGAAATATTCATTGTTCATTGTTATAGGGATTAAAGGTTCCCTTTAACTAGTCAGGGTAAGAAATTACACCTCTAACCCTACATACATAAACAATGGCTGGGCTTGGTGGGTGTTGCAGTCCTGGGCAGGTCAAAGCCTTGTAGTGTATCCATGTGCAAGGCATTGTGGGATGCCTAGGATATAGCATGGTATATGTGCATAAATCTGTTTTAGTGATCTAGATAAACGTACATCTTTAAATAAAATATTTTGCATGTATTGGGTGCAAACCTTATCAATCTTAGGACATGTGGATGACTGATCCACTGTTCAAACATTAATTGTGTCATGAAAACAAATACATAATTTGCCATATTTCAAAATAATTGCAAATAAACCCAATTGCAATTTCCTTCTCAGAGTGCTTACAAATGCATCTTAGCTGCTCCTCCTAACAAGTAGGATGTGGTCTTTGTTTTTGTGGATCGACCTACGGCAGTTTCCTCTTTCGATTACTTAGAACCCAGAATTTGCCTTAAGGCCAGACAGAAGGCAGTAAATTCACCGAGATTGTGTTCAGTACAGACTAATATGTTCCCGCTGGGATGTCCCTGTTTGTTTCTTTGATATTGCAATCAGCATTATTTTGATCTGCGTACATTTTCTGACACTATTACAGATATGGAGAGAGACTACCTCACATCTGAAGTCATTAAATTATACATTTACACAAATATATATATTTCTTCCCAGCAAGCTCCTTTCCTTAGTGACCGATCGGTTCTTTTTTTGCAGTTTTAAATGTATACAACTGGTGAATGACTCCATAACTGATTATTATACGAGAAGAGGGAAATCATTTAGAAGACAGAAAGAAGCATTGTTCCTGAGACAGTTAAACATAAAGTTATAAGCTACATAAGAAAAAAGTTAGATAAGCCTAGAATTCGATTGTACTTTTCTGTCAGTGTATGACTCAAAACATAACAACTTATTGAAAAACAACGTATACTGAGAGGTTGAGGGTTGATAAAAATTAAATAGCACAACTCAGGCTTCTATTTGCTGCTAGAAATGGACAGGTACATGAGTTTAGTAGTGAGCCCAGTTTGATAAGGGCAATCATTGGCTCTATTCTCTGTCAGTTTGGAAGTTTGTCTAGTGAGATTGGCACATCATATGGGGACACTAAGCAGCTTTGCACATGAGATCTGTTGGCAGTATGACATATCATTAAATTTAATATATACCCTTATTTTTTTCATACTCGAAAGACAAATCATTTATTGGGGTGATCCAATGTACTATCCATTCAAGGTGTGAGTGATTGTGGTTATTTCTATGAAATCGCACCCTGGCAGAAATTACATTTTAATGCAAAAGTAAGGTGACATCTGACAGTGGGATTTGTCAAGGTCAATAAATGGATTAGAATAACAGGAGAAGAAGTAAAATAGAGTCGAAAACAAAAGCAAAGAGAGCAGGTAGATCAAGGATTAACAATCAGTTGGACATTAGCCAGAGTACCGAATGTTGTCGTCCTTCCATTTTAAATTTAAACTTGATTGGGGAATTCTACATGCTATATTAGGACATGCTAGGACTTCTGTAGATGCAGAAACCTCAGGCAGTAGCCTAAGTTGTCTTTTCGATAAAACTGCTATGTGCAAAGAGAGATTGGAAGGGGTTGGTTACGAGACAGAACACGACAAAATGTAAACAAAAACATATATTAAAGAAAAACTCAGTCTATTTTGTTCTAGTGCACATTTAAAAGGGGTTAACAAAGTAACAGAAAGTGTATGCCGCCATTCATTGACAGTCAACACTGTTTTCTATACTCGATTAAGATAGCTAAACACTGCCCTGATTCTGTATAATTAGCAAGCTGAAGGTTTGATTACAATAATATATGCAGCATGGCCTGGGTGTAAGGGTTGGGAATCACTCTGCTGTCTGGCTGGATCTAATATATTCAAAAGGACCTTAGGGCCTTCTGTTCAATAAAGATAGAGTAGTGTACGTGGCCTCTCAGCACACTGATTTTAAGGCTGTTTCATGTTTAAGAAAAAAAACACAGAGGTAATTAGTCCCTGAGTGAATAAACTGGAGGAGATTAGAGATTTTACAGAGGAAGCCTTTTTTAGCTTAAGATGTTAGTATATAAAGTTTTCATTTGTAAATATATATTTCATGATGAAAGAAAGTCTAGATTGGCAGCTATGTGTTTTAACCCTCTTAATAGCAGGTAGGGCTATTGGGTTAAAGCTATTCGATGACAGTGGTATAGCTTGGCTAGAACTTCAGACTGATGTTAGAAAAAGGTACCACGAATTCTCGTGTCTTATTTAACCCCTTAAGGACATGTGACGGAAATATTCCATCATGATTCCTTTTTATTTCTGATGTTGTGTCCTTAAGGGGTTAATCATATTTTCTATGATGTATTACTGCCCTGTGTGCTGGATGCTTTGTTTCATGATGTTTTGTAAGGTTCCAACTTTCACCGCTTTGATTTACGTCCTTAAAATAATTTACAACTGTACCTCATTTCCTTCTGTATCTTGTATATGCCCTAGTTTGACGGTTTGTCTTGTACTCTTAAATTGTCAATCGCAATAAAAATGGTTTTAGAATGAAAAAAGGTACAGCGAATAAGCAGCACTCATGCATTGGTATCATCACGATACCAATATCAAGTGAGCGCATTATATTTGTGTAAGAAGTGAATAGACTGACTCCCAATTTCAAAGTCCTTTACTGCCTGGTTATAGGACGTATGTCAGGTTTTAATCATGATAATGTGCATCCACCTGTTTTTCACAGGTTAAACTTCATCAGTAGTAGTCATAATGAGTTCAAACCACCTACACTTTTGCTTTCTTTGACAATCCCCAATTGAAGTTTTTACTATTATTTGCTCAAGCAAAGCACCATAATATTCTTCACAAATGGGATAGAAAAAAAAGAATAACATCTATATTTAATTTTTGCCCCATTAAAAAAAAAATTCTTACTTATTAAGCAATGGCAGCTCTATACCACAGTACTGTCACTAAGTGTGTGGGACATTCCATTTTAATAGGATGTTGCAAAGACCAGATTGTTATGATGGCATAGATTGTCATTGAACCTTAGTGGGTTAAACAGACAAAATATCTTTCTGCAGTTATTGTAGGTGTGATCTTCTACAAATAATTTACCATTTTTACAAGATGTTATTTGAGAATAAATGATACATAAATAAAATACCTCTGGGACCTTTTTTGCAACTTTGTGGAAAAAAAATTTAAACTATATATGTTCCGTGTTATAAGGTCATGGGATTTATTCACCTGTCACAAATGCAATTAGACATTGAGCTGTATAAGGAAGAGATACTAGCCCGTGGAAGCCAGTCATATCTTTCTTTATGCACTAAATTCCATCAGACTTGTTTGCCTGATTAATGATTTCTCCCAGATTAATTTGACGAGAACAGGGCAAACACCAAGATCTAATTAGAGCATCGAACTGGGCAAACTATTTCTTTTACACTCAAAATGTTTCCAAGTTTTATTGCCAATCAGCAATATTTAAACCATGATACCAACCTATGTCCTTGGTTAAAGTTGGTCCTAAGAGAGTGTGACACTTTAACCTTCCACTCTACGCCTCGTATGAGGATATATTGTCTATTCGATATAAAAATAAAAATGCATGAGAATCTTCAGCAAGGTTAAAGGCCAGCAGTCCATCTATTTTCCACTGATGATCAGTCACAAAGACATATTTTAGTAGGTGACTTCTTCAGAACATCATTTTGCTCTCCAGCTGAGTGTAGCAGATGGTTCATTAGCATAGTCTTGGCCTGTCCCAGGATTTCACTATCATTTAGAAAAATGTCTCATGGCAACAAGACTTCTTGTCTTATTTTATTAAAATTAACGGTGTGGCGGGCCGGACTCTAAATTCACCTTGGGTCAGAAAAATTAATCCGGAATGATATGAATTGTGTAGCACTCTGGTTTAGAAATGGGATGGACCCTAGAGACTCATTAGAAGATCATATATTATCTTCTAGAAGTGAGAATCTACAACCTTTGTGTTACTAAAGGGTTTGACCTTGTTCTGTTAATATTATCCTTGATTCAGCTTGATTAAAGGTGTAAAATAGTTTCTAATATAAAAAAAAAAAGATATGTTTAAAATATATATCTGAATATTTCAGAATAGATTTGGGGAACATTTAAAGCCATACAGTTACCCTCCGTAAAGAGATACTGTGAGACAGTTTTGACAATGCTGTGGAATATGTTGGTGTTTTATATAATAAAAATAATAATGAAGCTCATTTTAAAAATAAATTATTTGGCTAAATTCACCTCCTATCTTCTCTCTCAAAAAGAAGTGAGAGACTCTGACTATTGCCTATTTAGATTTCTCCTACCTAAAACAAATGAAGGGGGACACTCACAGACATACTTTTGAGTTGAGCAATTTTTTTTTATAATTAATGCAAGGATATGTAGTGTATGTAGTCCATAAACATATTAGGTATACACACACCTATGTTGCGTATGTTTATAATATTTTGTAATAATGTAATATTTTCCCAGCATATGACAAATCTTCCTACTAAACATTTTTTTGAATATTTATCTGTTAATAAATGTCTACTTTAAAAAGATTTAGCCCAGATTGGCTGAGTAAATTATGGATTCATGTTTTTCTCCTTTTATTTAGATGTCAAAAATTTGGAGAACTTTCAGTTGGTCGATGGCGTTCAAGAACAAGTCAATGCTGCTCTACTGGACTATACATTGTGTAACTATCCACACACCACAGACAAATACGGGCAGCTGTTGGTACGGTTACCCGACATTCGATCCATAAGTATGCAGGCAGAAGAATACTTATACTATAAACATCTCAATGGGGACGTGCCGTGTAACAATTTGCTTATTGAAATGCTCCATGCAAAGAGGGCCTAACTTTTTCTTTTTTTTAAAAAACTGTGCAGAAATATTTACAAAGACTATTTATCTCTAAAGACATTGAAACATTAAAAAAAAGGTATAATAATCAGAAATCTTAATAGTCAATAAGTGATGCATCAGGGTATTTGTATTTCAAACTGTGAATGACATTACATATTCCCAAAGGATTTGCACATGATATGCTAAGTGAATTCAAAATGACCTACCAGGTGGAATTCCAAGTGGCAGAACGGTTGTTCCTGTGCATTCTAAAACTGGGATCATCTTCAAAAAGAAGAACGTTTGAAAGACTGGGCATATATTTGACAGTACACAAGTGGCATCGGAGAGAGGGAACGTATTTTCAAGACCAATCCTTCGTTACTTTTAAAGTCGTCACATCGTATATGTTTATGCATTTCCAAGTGTGTTTTGTTTAAAATGAGGTTGGCCAAGAAACAGAATACAAACCAAAAATGTTTATATATATAAATATATATATTTGCATGTAAAGTACTCTATTGGTTGGGCAAATACTTCCTTGTGGAAGTTACAGAACAATTGTGAAATGATCTTAAGAGACCCCCATTTGCAAAAATACATGTGTAGTCTAAGAACATCTATTTGGTAAGTTGAAGCACCCATCTTTAAATAAATCATCCAGGATCCAGATATTACATTAAATTATGATACTGTAAGTAAGAGGCCACAGTGTTCATTTCCTTTGGAAAAAAGAAGCTATTGTTGTCCTTATGTGTTATTTGCACTGTGTTCATTGTATTGTTTTATTGTTACATGCTGCTGATTCACACACTTATATTATACCTGAAGAGTCTCACTCTATTTACTTTTTACCCAGATGCTAAATGGTACCAAGAATCAGAAGTACCACTAATTTAATATTTTTCAATACCAGTAATATTCAGTTATGTTCCAGTACCCTCATTCTTCATGTTTGTGGAAAACATTAAATTGGTCTTTAACAAAGAAATTTCTTGTATGGGTTAAGGGTTGACACATTATTTTCTGTAGGGTGTGTTGGACAGTCTAGTAAAATCTTTCATTGTTCTTGAATACTGCATTTTGCATTATTGCCTTTTCTCAGTTTAACAAATGAACAGGTAAGGCCCTTTTACCTGTCTGACACATCCAACTAATTCTTGTTCCCCGATCTAACAACATCTAAAAGAAAAATTACTCACACTTTAAACAGTTACCATGTATCTGTATAGGCATGTAGGAAAATGTTTGGAAGGAAGAGAACACAGAATGTTAAAGCGCCACTCTAGATACCGCAACTTCTGCTTTTTTTTAAAGGGGTTAAAGTGTCTGACACCATCTTTCCCCTCTATGCTTCTTGGGCTATTGAGGAAGTATTATCCTGAACATCAGTGAGCAGCTGTGATTGGCTGAGGGTGTCAGCTGACTGCTTGCAGCCTATTACGGTGCCTATTGCTGGTATGAATTAATATGGCTAGAAGGAAGTATCTAATCTCTGCTCTAGCCACATCTCCTGCAGGGACTGCACTGTGTGTGTTTATGGACTTGTGTGTATTGTTAAGCCCCACCAAAATAATTTAATACTGAATGTAGGGATGGTGCCAGAGGAATCTATATTTGCACTATAACAAATTCAATAAGATTAAATTTTTATATAAGTATATATCACTCAATCACTAAACAGACATTTCAAAGCTCTCAGAATGTAATAGTTGTATTTTTTTTTTTTTTAAATACATAACCGCTGCAAAAATAATGGAGGTTTAGTTATAGTATATGATCATACTTTACATAAGCCTGCAACAGTGCCAATGTACCCCATTCCTAGAAGGTCCTACTCTAGAAGCCTAATGCCTGCTCTTATGAGATTAATTCACTTACTTGGGAAATTCTTCCTCCTGGGATTCTCTGCAGTGCAAGGTTAATTAGGGCCCTATAAGATAGCACTCCAAGGACTTCTCCAAAAAGTTTGTTAAAACATCATTTTTATTTCTCGGTTTAAAAAAAATCAACATTTCTGTTTCATAAGCAAAACTTTCATCAGGGTAAGAGAGCTAAGCATGTCACACAAACAATTTATACCTTATGACAAAAAAAAAATTAATCCACCCCCATCAGTCTGCCACGTGAACGCTGGGTGTTAGCGCATGACCAAACCGAAGCACTCACTAAAACATGAACGCCTGGAACGGCTGCGTGCACATAGAGTGGTTGGCATAGAAGCAAATACATAAAAACAATAGCGGGATTGACCGCTAACACTACTGTCGATATGAGTTTTAAAAGGCAATAGTTGGTAAAATAGATATGAAATCAGGTCACAACTAAATACTAACATGGTCTAAATGCCCAGCGCGGAAGTACATTTTGAAGATCATAGAAGAGCTAAATTTGGGTAGAAAAGAGGACAAGCCAGATTTGGGATAAAAAAATGAATTTGCTATGGAAATAGCAAATTCTAACCCACTAGTCTAATCAAACTGGGAAAGTATCTAAACTGGAGAATCTTTTAAAAACCCATATGTTGTGGCCTTAAATCTGCAGGTCCTTGGTTAAAGCCTACCAATTTCTAGTTTAGAGAAAAACCCTCCTGGTTGCAAAATGTAACTGACTATATCAAAACTCTCAACATAAGGAGGTATGGAATTGGGATAGGTGGGACTACCTTCACCTTCAAGGGGACATCACTAATTTACTTTACACAGAAAACCCACTGAAATGACACGTCAAAGCTGGCCCCCACCATACAAGACTACAGCACTCACTGCATGGTCCTATTGTCCACTTCGAAGTGCAAGCACATCTAATGATGCCATCATGTTGACCTGCTGGGGAGAGGTCCATGGTTTTCCCAAATGCTGGACTCCAGGGAACTAAATCAGGACACATCCCCAAAATTGGGACTGTTCTGCCAAAAGTAGGACAGTTGGGAGCTCTGCTATATGGCTCTTTCTCAGACTCAGGTATTTCGCCCACATAGCGTATTGTGTAGTGAATAACACACCATACCTCCATACAGTGCTGTATTGGGGCTCTGTCTCAGGTTTGTTGCTTGTTGCCCCACTTGTGGTGATACCAGATAATTGTACACAGCAAGAACAGCACACTTGTTGGACACATGCTTGCACTGCACAAAGTACACCCAGTTCATTCAGCTGATTGCCACAAATCTTTAACAGCATTGTGTGTATGTGAAGCCCTGAGTGGAGCTAGACAGTGATGGCCAGTTAGTCTGGTGTGCATTCATGCCAGACTGACATAGCCTATTTTTCTGATAGGAATATGTATAGAAAACTGTGTGGTGGAGGAGCTTCAAATATTAGTAATTTTGAATAAAGATACTCTGCAACACTCTAGTGGGGATCCCTTTCACCCACCAGAATCATGCAAAAAAGAAAGTGGAAAAGAGCCCAAAAGCTTTTAAACTAAAGAGTGGAGCGTTAAGTAATTCAGATTAGACACCTACCCAAAATAGGGATAAACTGGTCCTATCAGACAATTAGGATAGTAGTGTGGTCCAGTTAATCTCAAAGCATATACAAAAGAAAAAAAATGGGGGGAACACATAGCATAAATCTGTGATATTAAAATATAATGTGTAAAAACTTTGGAGTGTCAACTCACATGTACAAGAGCCTTAAACAGGACAGGCTTAAATCTCAAAAGCATTAATGCCATCTGGTGGCACTTTACCCTTTAAGTCACTGTGAGTTTCCTCAGAGAAACAGACAAAAAAAAACAAAACGGGAAATAGTAGGTAAGGATAACTGGATGATATATATTTAAGTGCAAGTGGTTGATCACCATGTTCAGAGCCTGTGTACCTGGCGCTGGGTAAAATAGCCTGGGTGTCTATAAAGAGGACACCACCCTTAAAAGGACCCAAAACAGACTTTGAAGTAAAATGGATTTATTTGGTAACATTAAAATACTGATAAAAAAAATAAAATTAAAATAGCAATATGCTAATGTAAATGTCCAACACGGGTTCCTCTTTCCTAGACGCGTTCCACCCTCCACAAGGGCTTTTTCAATCGATATGATCTGCTCCATCTGTTATCCTTTTTAAATACGGCAGTCTGACTGTTCATTGGTGGTTCTCCGTGGTATGTAGCCAATCTGGTTCAATAATTAGGAGTGTGTTTTCTTCTCAGCTGTTTCGTATTTCTTCATTAAGTCCGTATCGGTAGTGACGTTGTGCACCATGCATCGTCACTTCCGAGGCTAGATTACTCATTTTGTGTACTGGCAAGTATTTGGTAAGTTCCCCAGAAATGACGGCGCACTACTGGATGTGCACGTCATTTCCGTATTCCGTAAGGCAGTCTCAGATATAAACCAATATTAATTGGTAACAGTATTCATAGTTCCTCCACATAAAAGGGAGAGAATACATAATAGTAAGTGTTAGGAGATAGTATTCACCAGATTAAAACATAAAAAGCTAAAAGAGATGGACACCTAATTTGTTTTAATGATAGATGTTATACATTGCATTGGCAATTATAAATAAAATTGAAAATGGTAGATATATCATCTTACACCTATAGTCCAGCAGCCTCTTACATTAATCCCTATATATAATACCAAATCTTCTTTAAAGGAAAACAACACATTATTCTGAAAGTGGCCATGCTATTCTGGAGTCTTATGTAGTTAAAATTAAATCTTATAGAAAGTGACACATTTCAAAATCATTATTTAAACCAAAAGTGGTCATGGTGTTAAGATTAAAAATCCACCACATTTCCTGTTGTCCCATCTTTCTAATAGGGTCTTCTCCTCTCCAATTAATGTGTACTATTTGGATTCCCATAAAAAACAATTGTCTAGGGTCACTATTGTGTTGGTGTTTAAAATGTTCCGAGAGACTGTGTTTCTCAAAGCCGTTTCTAATGTTGTGAATATGCTCATGGATTCGCACATGTAAAGCCCTAATGGTTCTACCTACGTACCCTAACCCACATTTACAGATAATAAGATAAATGACTTTTTTTGAATGACAAGTGAAAAGTTGTTTGATTGGAAAGGTATCTTTATCTTATTTTTCTGATAGTGCCTGTCCACTTCCAAACAGGCGATGTCCCTTTGGGTGTCACCAGTGATGCACACCCACCCCTGACCTGACTTCTTCCCTGTTGGGAGGCATAAAACATTCCCTACATTATTAAAAGGGACACTGAGTCAGTGACTAATGTTCAAAATTGGTATGTAGACAACATGAATGGGAATCCCAGTGTAGCCAAGTAAGTTTTAAACCACGAGGGATGGCACTGGGCAATTAGTGGTTATGGTGAATAGAGTATATCTTCAGATGTGGGAACCAAATGTCAATTCGCAGCAAGTGCTGCAAGTATTAGGCCTTCCTCATAGAAAGACATTGAATCTGTGCTTTCCTATAGGAATTTTGTTGAAACAGGATGTGCTCATGCAAAGTGTGAGGACGTCAAAAGTCGTTTCACAGAGTTTAACTCTGTGAACAGCCAGAAAGGTTGTTTTAACCCTGCAGTGTAAACACTGTAGTTTCGTTGGTGTTTGAATGTTATGCTACATAGAGCATTCAAGCGGTTTGAAAAAATCTAGAAGATTCTGAAGCAAGCTGAGCTTACTCCATTGACATCATAATGAGGAAGTTCACTCCAAATATTTATGAGAGGCTGTAAACACTGGGATATCGGAGGATTTTGTTGTGATGAATGTCTGCCAACATTTCTGTCAAATTGCTATTAGCTCTTTTTACACAAAATTTTAAAAAAGCGATATGTGTGAATTTGGCTCCATCCAAGAGATTACCAAGACTTAGTGAGGCCAAATATTTCTTGTTGAGCTCATGTGGCATGACTGTTGGATGGGTATTGAGGAAATGAAACCCGAGGGGGAAGGTTTAGGGTACAGGAAATTCAAACGAGAATCACTCATAGTTCTTAAATAACTCCATCAAATATTTGCATAATTATAACTCATGCAGACACATTTTTGTATGTGCAAACCAGAGATACAAATACATTTACTACAGTTAACACAAACATTGTGAATTTTGTTGTTTTGGATTTCAGTGACACATAATACCTAATATGTATATAGTAAACTTTCTAAACATCCTACGTTTCTAAAAGGGTCAGTATGGCAGGAGAGAGGGACTGGGATCTGGGTCCCAGAGAAGGATGCACCACTGTATAGATGGGCAATTGGTAGGCATTACTTGGTGAAGGCTTATCCTGAAGCACGCTGGTGAAGTTCGAATGGCTGGTTAGGAGAATGACGTGACCTCCTGAATGTTTCTGTCTGAGTGTGCTGCGTGGGATATAAGCAATTAAGAAAAATCCATAGTAAGAGGAAAACAGACTATAATAAACAAACAATAAATCAGCAATACGGAAACACAGTCCACGGAGTAAATAAACCACTCTATAAATTGTTATCTCAGATAATAAAACGTCGGGTTATCAGGATTATTAAGGAACAATGGATAATTCACAGGATAATTCACTAAACACCAGATTTTGTCCAAATGGACAAAATCTGGTGAAAATCGATCAGAATCTTTACTAAAGCTAATTACGGTTGGAATTCGTCAAACCCATCTGAATATGGACCAATTGGCCAGATGCATGCATTCGGTGTCTGGTTTAAAATCAGTACTTTTTGCACCCAATGCTGTACAAAATATAGGATTCCGAATGTTGACCAAGCCACGATTTTTAGAAAAATCATCACTGAATGCAGACAACCATAAAGCCACTAGAGTTGCTTCCTGCAGTTTTACGGAGTTTAACTCTGTTAAATGACACTGGATGTTCTCATACTGTGCATGAGGACCTAAAGCGTCTTGGAAAAGCTCATAGCATATAATTGATTCAATGCACAGTGATGTCGCGGGAGGAGCAGTTCGATCCAGCGTCTAGAAACTTTAGCGCTAGAATCAGGTAATTGCAAAAAGTTATTTTAACCCTTTCTTGACTGCGAGGGGAGTGGGACACAAAGGCAGAGGTACAATATATTGGTAGGAATACAGTGAACAATGTCCAGGTTTTGCAATCCAAATGGCTCCTTACAATACTGGATGTTTTTACCCCATTCAGTACAATGCCGTTAAGAGTTTAGGGAATTACCCTGTAGGAATCTCTGTCAAATCACACACCCAGCAGTGACTTCCATTGGGATCTTGCAGTTTGAAACTAGATAGCATGCAATATTGGGTTAGCACTCTCTGAGGGCCTAGGGCAGTGATGGCAAACCTATGGCACGCGTGCCACAGGTGGCACGCCGGGCCCTTTCTGTGGGCACGCGGCCATAGGTTCGCCATCAATGCAGAGTAGGCACCTGCCTGCCCAAAACGTCAGGCGCCTACTCTGCTTCCGTGTCGGGAGGCAGGGGGAGGGATCTGTGAAGCAGCTCCCCTGTCCTCCTGCGAGCAAGCTGTGTGGAGCGTTGCTGTGCGTTACCATGGCAACGCTCCACACAGCATCGCGCGGGAGGACAGGGGAGCTGTTTCACAGATCCCTCCCCCTGCCTCCCGACACGGAAGCAGTGCTTGCCACCACCGGACCACCAGGGATGGCTGTGTCCCCCCCTCCTTCATTAATGCTAAGAAGGAAGGGGGGGGGGGATACTGATTTAGCATACCTTTTTTTTAAAACACCTTTACCCCAGCCCCACACACACAGCACCCCTAGGCCCCCACAGCACCCCTACCCCACACACAGTACCCCTACCCCTCACACAGAGTACCTCTACCCCTCCACTCACAGTACACCTAACCCCCACACAGCACCCCTCCCCCACACACAGCATCCCTCCCCTCCCCACGCCCAGCTTTCCTCCCCTCCACCCAGCAACCCTCAACACCCCTACCCCCCACACACACAGCAGCTCCACCCCACACACAGCACCCAACCCCCACACACAGCACCACTACCCCCCACACACAGCACCACTACACCCCACACACAGCAGATCTTCCCCCCACACAGCACCCCCACAGCACACACAGCACCCCTACCCTCCACAGCACAGCACCCTTACCCTCGCCCAGCACCCCTACCCCCCACACAGCACCCCTCACACACAGACACACAGCACCCCTCACACACACACACACACCCCACACACACACACACACACAGCACCCCTCACACACACAGCACCCCATATAGCACCCCACATACACACACACAGCACCCCTCATACACACACACAACACCCCTCACACACACACACACATACCCCCTCACACACACACACAGCACCCCTCACGCACCCTTCACACACACAGCACCCTTCACACACACCTAGCACCCCTCATACACACACAGCAATCCTCATACACACACACAGCACCCCTCATACACACACCACCCCTCACACACACACCACCCCTTATACACACACACACAGCACCCCTCATACACACACAGCATCCCTCATACACACACACACAACACCCCTCACACACACACAGCACCCCTCACACACACACACAGCAACCATCACACACACACAGCAACCCTCAGACGCACACAGCAACCCTCAGACACACACAGCACCACTCACACACACAGCACCCCTCACACACAGCACCCCACACACACAGCACACACACAGCACCCCAGCAGCTGCATATATATAAATATATATATGTAAACTGTTCCTGATCTTTGTGTCTTCCAGCCATTTTGTGTGCCTCTTTGTTTCCCCTCAGCCCTCTGTGTTCCACCAGTCCTTCTGTGCACCCTCAGCCCTCTTGTACTTCTTTGACTACCTCTCCCTGTGATGTCTCCCCATCCTGTGCCTGCTGTTTACCTCTCTTTATGTAGTGTGGCACAGATGCAGACCGCAGTGCAAGATCTTCTGTTTCCTCTACCCGATATGACAGGAAGCTGTTTAGTTTTTCCAGCGAGCAGAGATCCTCTACCGCAGTCCACGGCTTGACCACACTGCATGCAGAGATCGACAGAAGGGCATCGCTGTGCATCGCCCTCCCCTCCTGCCGTTCACCAAGACATTGCTCCCTAGGTGGATGCCTAATTCCCCTAGAGGTCGTATGTACGTATTGTGAAACAACAATATTACTGCATTCAAGTTAGAATTAGAGGTACCTGCCTTCAATGTGTTCTGGATTGAAACTCATACCAAATTGAATATGTACTGAAAAAAAAAAAATAAAAAAAAAAAAAATAT